TTGTGCAACGAGTCATGCTTTGTACCTTGTCGCTCATCATTGTGCATCGAGCTTGAGTTTGTAAACCCATCAAATGCTGATTAACTTGCTGCTCTTGGGAATGTCGACTAGCTCGAAGATGTTCATCTTGTGCATGCTGTCCATCTCGCTGACCATGGCTTCCTGCCATTTGTACCAGTCGTTGTGAGTCTTAGCTTCGTTGAGGGAGAGTGGTTCCAGCAGGATGCTGTCCACACTGTGTATCTGCTGTCCACTTGCAATGAGGGCAGTGCCAGTCATCACAGTGGTCACAAATACCATACGATCTAAGTGGTGATTGCTGACGGTGGGTGCCAGTGTGTTGGAGCATGCCATGGTGAAGGCTGTGTAGCTGATGGGACCGGGCGACTCTGTGCAAGGTGTCTCGAGCATGGAGACGTCATCATACATGTCTGCCGTAGCATCACTGTGAGGGGTTTCGAGCAGTGATGTGCCATTGAGAGTGCTTGTGAGGTCTGGTAAGTGTTTCCCCCCCTCGGACATCATCACCTCCAGGTCTGCTCTCAGATTGGCAGCAATAGCATCGAGGTCGATGACAATCTCCCCAGCCTCTTCGATGGCTGTCATCATGTGATCCCACTTGTGATCGAAGCTTGGGGGTTCCGAATGAGTCGCCAAGTGTCGTTGACAAGAGTACAGCTGCAGTGAGGAAGGTACGACATCGTCCAATTCTGTCTCATCTGATGTGGGATCAGGAGAGAGCCAGGTGTAAGATCATAGGAGATTGTGGTTGCCGACGAAGATAGGTGTGTGTGGGGGGGGGGGGGGCGACAGTGTCCAATGGTTCCAGTTCCAAGAAACAGATGTCCCTGGTAATGACAACACAGTCAAGCTCAGGTAGCCAAACCTTATGGCCTTTGATTGCATGAGGTGCATCTGAGAAACCCAAGTATCTCCCCCAGAGGGCATGTGGATGGAGATGTTTGCTCACAACTGCATGGTCTCGGAGCCATGTTGAGCAAGTGCTCCCTCTGAGTACAACATATGCCACACATCCAAAATGTCGTATGTGTTGTAGTTCCAGGTGTTTTGTGTAGAATAGCTCATATGGAGTCACATTGCCATGAGTACTGCCTGCTAGTCTGTTGTGGATGAACGCTGCCTGTGCAACAGCATGGGGCCACCAGTGCTCATTCATTCCTGAGTCATACAGTAGACTACGTGCGATCTTCTGAACGGTCTGGATGGCCTGTTCAGCGAAGGCATTGTCCATATGATGTTGGGTGGGTGAAGCAGTTATCTTCACACCTGTTGATGAGCAGATGTCTCGAAAAGCGTTTGACCATAGCTTGCCTTGGTCAACCCTGACTTCCTTGATTCCATAGTCAATGATGACCTCCGATGGTTTCCTATGTGTGGCGACACACATTTCTGCTAGCCACCATGCAGCTTCTTGAGATGCCTCCTTTTTGTTTGTCAGACCCTGTACCCAGATCATGCCTGGATATGCATCGTGTATGATGAGCACATATACAAACTTCTCATTACCATGAAGTGGTCCCATCACATCCATCGAAACCAGCTCAAGTGGTGTTTCTAATCGCCTGGGGTGAGCAGTATTCTTTGCTGTGGCTTTGCTACACACACATATGTCACATAGAGTTCCAGTCTTGGTGGCAGTAATCAATGGGATATTGTGTGAAAGAGTCACTGTGCATGTCTGCATGATGGCATCATGACTGGCATGACCCAATTGCTGGTGCCAGAGATCTGCTTTATTGCAGGACCCATAGGAGTGGGTTGCATTCACCATCCTGGATGTGAAAGTGAGGGAGACAGAGGGCTCGGGCATGCTGTCATCCCATATCATCATGGCAATGGCAGGGTAGCCATCCCCACTTGTTGGTACACCAATTGCATGTCCATCCTTATCCTGTACCATTATGACCTCTTTCTCAAAGGTAACTTTTCCTTGTGCATGTGTTACCAACTTTGTGCCGATAAGGTTTGTCACAAGGCCAGGTACAAGCAGACAGTCTTTATAAATCATTTGTTCCCATTGCCACTTCTGAGGGCTGAAGCTCAGAAGGCTGACTGTGCCCCCCATCTTGATGGCAACCAGTTGTCCTCTGTCAGCAGTAGTGATGCTGACTGAGCCCTCCATATCCCTCCAACCTTTCCCATGTCGAGAAGAGTTGACCATGATGCAGGATGCTCCTGAGTCAAATACAAAGGGAATGAACTGGGGAGGTAGGTTAATGGGTGCTGGTTTAACTTTGGTAAAGAAAGCCAAGACCAGTGCCGCATCCTAGTCTTCCCAGTTCCCTTCCATAGGCAACATGATGCAGGCATTTGCATGGCCTTTGGGTGTCACTTTGGTCCTTTCTTGCTTCCATCGTGCATGGGCTTTGGCATCTGGGCATCTATTAGCTGCGTGGCCAAGGTCCCCACAAGCCCAGCAGTTAATCAATGTAGCTGCTTGCAATGCAGTAAGTTCAGACACCTCAGCTATAGGGGATAGATGCACAGGTGCACTCTCGGCAGTGAGCTCATAGCACTGACTTAGGATGTCGGCTACACTTTCAGCTGTTTGATCCTTTCCATTGAGTTTTTCATGCAATATAAACACTGAGTTAAATAGTGCATTCTTGTCTGAAGGTAGGGCATGCTTGAGTGTCCTGTAGCAATAATCTGGCATCCAAGGTTCCTGTAGGTATGTATGAAGCTCTGACACATGGGCTTCCCATTTGGTTAGGAAGTCATAAGCATGACTTCCAATCTGGTCCCAATGTAACCCATAGGTGGCACTGCAGAGCTTGTACTCTTTAGCAGTGGAGTATGCTTTACACTTGTTTAGTGCCCATTAGAATAGATCTACAGTGATTGGTATTGGTCAATCACCATATTTGGCAAAGTACTCTGTGCACAACTTATTTGAGAAGCTATGCATGATGATTGAGCTAAGCATAGAATCAGCATCCTCAAAAGTCACCACCTTTCAGTCGAGAACATTTCATGTGAAAGGGACAACCGACAACAAGGTGAATATCTTGCATCACCAAACATGCACAGAGACTGCCCTCAGATCGAGGAGGTCTTGTTTGTCCCACTTCATTCTGTCATTGAGACCCAAAAGTACCTTGAGGTGATGGTTTGTGATGGTGTTAAGCTCTGGAGTAGGCCCTGGCGTAGCTTCATACCCAATGAGATGATGGCTGGTGACATTTAAGTCTAGAGCGGGAGTGTTGCCTCTAGCTGATGTTGGTGCTTCACTCTTAACGGGGTGGTAGTGTCATTCAATATTCCAGGCGGCTTCAATCAGACCCTTGATCTTGAAGTCAAGTATACAGTTCACATCCCACTCCTCATTGGCGAGGAAGAGGACCACTCTAGCTCACATCCCTTTACCAAGTTCAATTTGGCTAGCAAATGGGCCAAGGTTGTGCATTGCTTTGTAAAGGCTACTAACACATTCAATTAGGATGGATAGAGGTGAGATGGTTTGTTCCTCATTGCCTTCCCGCATAGCATACTTCAGTAGTGTGCCATCTTTTGGGGCAGTAGGGGTACCATAGGTTTCATTTGCTATCTCTCAATTGAACCTGTTTTGGAGGATCTTTGGCAGACATGGTAGGAGATCCTGGATCATTTCGACAAAGTTGTCATAGTCTGAGTAGATTGGATTAGACATATTGAAAGAGATACTTTTTGTTGGTGTTGCTGATAGTGCAAAGGAGGCTATCAGATTGGGCTCATAACCTGTTGAATATAAACGTCGTTTAGGTCATGATACTGGCAATCGGGGAGAGTCTAAGTATGATGTTGCTGCTAAAAGACAGAACAAAATATACTCAATTGACTGAGGGAATGTGGCGAGAGCCTAGTGCTCTCTGTGAGTTATATATACATGTGAGTAGCACTTGTCTGATGTGGGGGTACTACTACTTCATGGTCTATCATGACAATGAGTGGGACTGTGTTGCACCTGATTTCTCCTGAGATCGACTTGACCTAATCTACGATCGAATCAGTAGCTCAACTGGATCGGCCCTATCTGATCTTCGATCAGATCGGCTCCGCGTCGTTCTTTTACCATCTCATTGGATCGTCATTTTCAGCATAAACATGTATATAGTCCCGCTCTTGGTCCGGAATGTAGACACACACTGTACACTATCGAGCTGCATCTGTGCGGGAAGCCAGAGCTATAATATGCTGTGCAACACTTTGTCCCCATACTCACTCCACTCGACAGCTTCTTCCAACACCGCAAGACCCCGGCAAAGCAGGCTAGAGAAGGAGCTCCATCAAGATGGCCACACAACCCGACTTTGACGCCTGCGCTTCGTGGCAAGAGATCGCGGCCAAGCCATCGCGATACTCTATACCTGCTATCTTCGACCAGATCCAACGACCCCGCCTTGACAGAATGGATTCAAAGGGCCAACGCAAGCCAAGCACCACCATCAAGCGACAGGCCAGGTCCATCACTCTCCTCGCTTCTCCACAACGACTCCACCCAGCGAATCTGGAGCTCCAAGCTCGGCTCAATCCTTGATGGCTACGGTGCAACCGCCATCGTCGAGCTTACACGCTCAGGCAAGCTCTCAGTCCAGCAAGTAACGCAGCATTTTCTCAACAGAGCTTCCATTGTGCATCAGGCAACCAACTGCCTCTCTCATTTCTTCGCTGAAGAAGCTCTACAACGAGCAAAGCAACTCGATCATAAGCGCAGTCGATTCGAGAAACAAGGTCGACTCAACCAGCTCGGCCAGCTTTTTGGCTTGCCGATGAGCATCAAAGGTCATCTCTCCTACAACCGACACGGCAGTCAACGAGGCTTTGTCTTTGATGTTATACCAGATCCAGCTTCTCATCCCCTCGTCAAACGCAACCTCACCCCTCATCAGCTGCAGCTTCTCACCTCGACTCAAGGCGGATAGGTTAGCCAAGACCCCATTCATGCTCACTTGGTCACACTTCTACTCGACGCAGACGCAGTCATTATCGGTAAGACGACCATGCCACAAGGTGTCATGCATCTCGACACCCGGAGCAATCTTTACGGTCAAACACTGAACCCGCACAACTTGGCCTTGAGTCCGGGTGGATCAAGTGGAGGCGAGAGTGCCATGGTCGCTGGCGGTGGAAGTGCGCTTGGTGTTGGATCTGATATCGGTGGATCTATTCGACAGCCATGTGGTGTCACTGGGCTCTATGGATTGCGACCAACGACGCAAAGACTGCCATATGCAGGTGTCCGATCGACAATGCCTGGCAACGAAGCTGTCACTTCTTCCCTTGGGGCCGATGGCCACTTCTTTGCGGGATGTCGAGTTGTTCATGTCGAGCCTGTTGAACGACAAGACTCGTCCTTGGCAGCGAGAACACGCGCTACTGCCGCTGCCTTGGCGAAAAGTCGAGAGTCTTCTCAACAGCAAGCCTGGCAAACCCCTCATCGTAGGTGTCATGATGCAAGACAATGTAGTCCGCCCCACCACTCCTATCCGCCGTGCACTCTCGCATTGGGTCGACAAGCTCCAACAATCAACTAGCGCAAATCGAGCTCGCATCGAGCTCCGACGGTGGGACCCCCTCGATATGCACCGTCGAGCATGGCATCTCATCCGTTCTCTCTACTTCATCGACTCAGGCAAACTCTTCCACCTGGTCGCCAAATCCACAGGTGAACCTCTTCTACCCCTCACCCAGTACATCCTCTCCCAACCATTCGTCCCTTCTGCCACCGCCAATCTAGAAGCCGATTCTTCCAACAACACTGCCTCGCCCAAGTTGGAGGAAATGTCTGTCACCCAACTCTGGGCGGCCGTGCGAGCACGTGAAGCTTTCCCTAAAGAGTTTTTCAAGCGGTGGAACGAGCTTCAGCTGGACTGTCTCCTGTCTCCCGTCCAGGGCAATGTGGCGCCTAGACCGGGAACGATCAAGTATTGGGGGTATACCAGTGTTTTCAACCTCGTCGACTATCCTGGGCTTGTGTTTCCCTCTGGGTTCAAAGCTGATGCGAGGAGGGATGAAGAATACGAGGAGAAAGAGCGCAGCTTGCAGGCAGAGTTCGGCCATACATCTAAGAAGCAAGGTGAATGGCTGAGCGACTTTGACAAAGACAACATGCAAGAGTACCAACAGCACCGAGCAGTGTTCGACAATGCTCCTGTCGGACTACAGCTGATTGGGAGGAGGTACAAGGATGAAGAACTGATCAAGTACGCAGAGCTTCTGCAACACCTTGTCAGCACGCACAAGTACATCTCGCAAGGGAGTTGCCCCATACTAGCGTCGTTCCTTCTGCCGATCGCTCTAAGCTCTACCTCCTCGCTACAGACTTGAACATTGCTTCTGGCACCTCTTTCGGCCAAGGCGCCTAAACGCCGCCACTCGACATTTCCCCGCCATCTACTCGATCGAATCCTCGGTCCATACTTGACTGCCAGCCGATCGGCAGTGTTGGTCAAGGCTGCAATGCAAATCGTCGTCTGAAGCTTCCATGTTTGCCTGTGCAACACATGACGAATCGAGCGTCTTTGTCTATCTTCTGTCTGTCAACATGTAGCTCTGCTTGCCATCATCGCCAATGAGCCCCAGCTTGCAACAACAGATAACGGTGTCCTTCTGCAATCTAGCACTGATTGTACAGCAAGCTCGCAACCAGACACACCTTCTTAAACCTGTCCGCCAGCGGGCTCAATCACCACAAACTCGCAAGATTACCGTCAAGGGTCGACAAGAATTGCCAACTTGCTCCTCCTCTTTGGCGTTTCAGGCAACCGAGACCAAAGACCTTGACGCACAGCAGACGGCACAAGAGAGAACCAGCAGCAGTCGCTGTCAAGTGACGCCATCGCCCTTACAGCCTTCCTGCAACATGGGCTCAGCAATGTCAAAACAGCTGCCTCTCAACCTCCCTCGCCTGGCAAGCACTTTAATCAGCGCTGCGCCTTCTTCTGACATGCTGATTCACAGCGCTTGACAACGTCCCATTGTGGGTGGCGGGAATATGACGAGTGCATCAGGCTCCGGCCACTTTGCCTGCTGTCCAAAAACGCAAGCGAACCCGGAATGTCAGCTTGTCAGTTCCGCATGGCAATGCTGACGTTGTGTTGCAGACAGTTGCTGATTCACCTCAAAGCACTCACCGTTGTTCTCGCTTACAGCCTTGGCTCAGAGTCTTGGCGATATCAGTCATGGTCGCTACGCTCATTCATGCTCCGCTTGCGCACGGTCGCTCAGCTGAACAATGTCGAATGTCTGCCCTGTGTCTTCTCACGGCTGCCCGCTCTGCTCAACTGAGCTGGATGAGAGAAGCTTGTATATAACCATCCACTCGGTCGGTCAGCTGAACTTCTTGGACCCTTTTCGTTTGTCCAACATCCTCACCACCTTCTCCTCCTCCTGCCGACTCCGGCGTTCTCTTCCGACGACAATCATGTTCGCTCCAACAGGCTTCAACATGATCCCGTCCCGCATCGACTCGAGCCAACCGCTCCGCGATGAAGAGATCCACCTGATCCTTCCCGATAGCAACGAAGGACGAGAGCGATACGACTTGGACTCGATCCAAGCCTTTCAGAGAGCCGCCAACTATCTCTCGGTCGCTCAGATCTACCTTCAAGATAATGCGCTTCTCCAAGAGCCACTCGACTACGAAGCGCATGTCAAGAAGCGACTTCTTGGCCACTTTGGTACATGCCCCGGTCTCATCTTGGCCTATACTCACGCCACAGCTCTCCTCGCTCGTATTGAAAAAAAGGTAGCCTCTTCAAAAGATCAGGACCAAGCACGAGGAATCTTTGTCACAGGCCCAGGCCACGGCGCACCGGCTATCCTCAGCTGTCTCTACCTCGAAGGCTCGATTTCCAAGTTCTATCCTGACGAATCACTCTCGCAAAAAGGTCTACAGACCTTTGTTAAGAACTTCAGCTGGCCCAACACTGTGCGACCTTCGCATGTGACGGCTACTACTCCAGGCTCGATCCATGAAGGCGGTGAGCTTGGCTATGCCCTGTCCGTAGCACACGGCGCTGTGATGGACAAACCTGATCTCATCGCATTTGCCATTATCGGAGATGGAGAAGCCGAGACAGGTCCGACTGCCACCGCTTGGCATGCACACAAGTTCATCAGTCCTGCCGAGTCAGGAGCTGTACTGCCTATCTTGCATTTGAATCGATTCAAGATCAGTGAAAAGACCATCTTTGGTACGATGGATCGCACCGAGCTTCTCGCTCTCTTCACTGGATATGGATACCAGGTTCGCTTCGTAAACTACTATCAGCATCTCGGAGCCAAGCATACTGTCCCTGGTCATTCTGAAGCGGCGGCATTCGATGTCGATATGGCTGCCAGCTTCGACTGGGCCTACTCCGAGATCCGCGAGATTCAAAAAGCTGCTCGAGGAGGAAACCCAATCACCAAACCCCGCTGGCCAATGATCATTCTCGCCTCTCCCAAGGGTTGGGGTGGACCGGTGACAGTGGATAAACTGCAGATCGAAGGCACTTTCCGAAGCCATCAGGTCCCCATGGCCGTTGACCCGGCTTCCGGTGGAAATGAGCATCTGGCGGCACTGGAGAGCTGGTTGAAATCCTACGATGCCCGTTCGCTCTTCCAAGTCAGCGGCGATGGCAAGTTAAAGCTAAGCGAGGTGGTGACAAGAATGCTCCCGAGTGACGAGCTTAGGTTGGGCCAAGTGCGAGAGGTTTACCAAGGTAGTAAGGATCTTGAGGACGTGAGCACCAGCGACTTTATGGTTCCCTCAGAGAGCTCCCAGAACGGCGAAAAGGCACGGGCATCAGCTATGAAGCAGTGCGGGGAATACCTTGCCGCCCTCATCCCCAAGAATGCAGACCGATTGCTCATCTTGAGTCCCGACGAGTTGGTGTCGAACAAACTCGACGCTACACTCCGTGTACCCGGCTTCAAGGCACGCAAGTTCGAGCACGATGCAGAGAGCTTGGTCACTGCTCAAGAGAGGAAGAACGGTGTCAAGTCAGGACGGGTGATTGAGGTACTAAGCGAGCACACTTTGCAGGGCTTTGCACAGGGCTATGCTCTGACGGGAAGGATTGCGCTCTTCCCAAGCTACGAGTCATTCTTGGGTATTGTAACGACGATGATTGCTCAATTCGCCAAGTTCCTCAAGGTTGCTAAATCGACCCACTTCCGACCTGCGGTACCTTCTATCACATACGTCATGAGCTCAACCCTCTGGCGCCAAGAACACAACGGAGCGAGTCACCAACAGCCAGGACTGATCAACTCTGTCCTTGATCTCCCACACAACGTTGCCCGAGTCTATCTTCCTCCCGACGCAAACTGTGCGGTTTCAACGCTTTCCCACTGTCTCCGCAGCCGCAACTACGTCAATTTGGTGGTGGGGAGCAAGCATCAAAACCGAGTCTATCTCGATCAAGCCGAGGCCAACGCTCACTGCAAAGCTGGAGGCTCGATCTGGCACGCCTATTCCACCGATGGTGGCAAGGACCCGGATGTAGTCATTGTAGGGATTGGAACCGAGACTACGACTGAAGCCATTGCTGCTACTGAACTATTGCGTTCGCAACACCAGAACGGCAATGATCCCCAAAAAGACCATCTACGGGTACGCTTCCTCAACATCACCGATCTCATGATTCTCAGCGAAGGGTCGGTTCATCCCCATGCACTCAACGATCAGACGTTCGATGAATTGTTTACCAGGGACAAGCCGATCTTGTTCAACTTCCATGGCTACACGACTGCCCTAAAGGGCTTGTTGGGTGACAGGTTGAGTGGCGGGATGGGTAGAAGACCGACTGCCTTCTTGGGTTTCATAGAGGAAGGAACTACGACGACGGCATGGAACATGTTGAAGGTCAATGCCGTGGATCGCTTTAGTGTCGCCTGTAAGGCGATGGATTTGGTTAAGCGCGATGTCGAGTTGAAGAAGTCCAGAGGTGCAAAGGTCGATGAGAGATTGACAAAGTTGGTGCAGAGTCAGAAGATGGATGAGTTGGCGAGGCAACTGCAGGCCAAGAGAGACGAGTGGCAAAGGTTTATTGACGAGAATGGAAGAGATCCTCCCGAGGTTGGTGCAGAATGAGGTAGCCACAGCAGCGACTGGCACAGTGTCGACCCTTTGTTCGGCATCCAGTTGTATCTCTTTTGCAATGCAGCTCTTGTTCCTTTGATTGGCCACTTTTTTGCTTAGAGTCTGTTGTTCCAAGCATGCTGTATACTCCAAGTAGGAGGGTGTTGATGAGTGACGACGTTGAGCAAAGTTGGCAGACATGTTAGAGCATAAGGATGAGGTCATACAGCGGTGCTGGTCTGTGCATAGTAAGCTGAGTCATTCCATCCGAATGATGACGAAGACAGTGTCGCTACAAAAGCCAAGGCGAGCGAGTGGCAAGCATGACCTCACATCACCACCATCCCACCTTTTCCGTCAGCGCTCGGACAAGGACTTTATTCAAGCCTCGACATTTGACGAGATCTCAACGATGGAGAACATCAAACATCTGCGAAGCAAGCAAGGCGACGACGATACGAAGCAGAAGCAGCGAGAAGGGCACATGCTGTGCCTCAATGCGTAAGTGCAATCGTTCAACAGCAGATGATTTCGCCAACCGATGTCAACTAACAAAGACCATGTTATTCTACCTTGACTCTGCACAGTGGCTCGTCTTCGCTCAAGCTCAAGCTCTTCGACCTTGCCCCCTCTACCTCCTCGCAGCTCGACCTGGAGCCACTGGTCAGTGGCTCGATCAAACTTAGCGATAGCTCGGCCAAGATCTCGCTCACTTATCACAATGGTCAGCAGCACACGGACACCAAAGATTGGACTGATATCGCGTCACCCCAAGTCCTACACTACCTCCTCACCACCTTGTCCTCGCTCCTCGGGCCCAACACCACCCTCAACATTCGCACCGTCGTTCACAGAGTCGTGCACGGAGCACACCTCTCGCAGTGTGTCGCGATCACCAGTTCGGACCAGCACCATCTCAAAACGCTCCAATTCCTCGCCGAATTCGCACCGCTGCACAATGCTGTTTGTGTGCAACTCATCCGGTCTTGTCTCGACTCGCAACATTTGCCGGAAGACCATGAGAACGTTTGTTGTTTCGATACAGTGTTTCACAGTACGATGGATGAAGCGAGGAGTAGGTATATGGTCGACCCGAGTTTAGCAGGCTCGAGTTTGCCTGGGGGGATGGAGTTGAGGAAGTGGGGGTTTCATGGCTTATCCTACAGCTCGATCTTGCATACCTTGGCCGGCGAGTTGGGGAGGGAGAGGGAGAGTTTGAATGTGATTATTTGTCATTTGGGCAGTGGATCGTCAATGTGTGCGGTTATGGGTGGCAAGAGTTTTGATACGACGATGGGATTGACTCCGCTCGAAGGTTTGCCTGGTGCAACAAGAAGTGGCAGTGTAGACCCTGTTTTGCCACTACACATATCCGCCGCTCAACTCGGAAAGTCAGGAGAGAGCAAAGACCCGTTTAGCACAGTCGAGCTTGCTCCCGGTATCACAGCTTCGCATGCCGAGCTGGTGCTGAACAAACACAGCGGCTTTAAAGCAGTTGCGGGAACGAGCGATTTCGAACAAGTCGCACAACGTCGTACCGAGTTCTTGCGAGGAAGGACCATCTCGAAGTCGGAAGAAAAGGAGAGAGATGCGGATAGAGGTGCAGCACTGGCGTTTGATATCTTTGTCGATCGGATTGTCGGCTATGTGGGCAGTTATGCGATCAAGATGAGTTCCAGAGGTGGCGTCCATGCCCTCGTTTTTAGTGGTGGAATTGGAGAGGCGAGTAAGGAGTTGAGGGCCGAGTTGGCGAGCCAGTTGAATCTCTCAGGTCTTTCACCCGCTTGCGAGAGTGTGTTGCAGGGCGAGCGAGAGGGTAAGAAGTGTTGGCAGTTGACGAGGCAAGAGTTGGGCTTGGCCAAGACAACCAAGACGATGGCGACGGCTCAGAGCGTTCCTTGGTTTGTTTGCAAGGTGAGTATACACACTTACAAACCAAGTCAAAGTTGATACAAGGTCCAGGATGCTAACAACTCGATTCCCATGCCTCTTGACCATTCCAGACGGACGAAGAAGGTGAGATGGCAAGACAGGTTTCTCTTGCGTCGCAGCAGGAGCAGGCGCAGTGAAAGCCCGCTCATCCTTGCTTTGCAGTCATTCATCATCAATCTCACCCTTCCCAAATCGAGAGCTTGTCCCGCAAGTCATCCTCAACGCTTGTGTTGTAGAGGTGTGCCCAAGCAAGCTCCACTGAGATGCTGTTGATTCGAGCTTGAGCGAGAGACCTCATTTCGAGCTCCGCTCCTTGTGAGCTTCCGTGGGACCATGACGGCCTATCTCGGCCCCACTTTTGCTGGTCCGATCTATCCTACTCGACTTGGCATGAGCACTTAGCAAAGGCTGGCAGGCAGAATAGCAGCACATACTGATGGAGAGCAAACGATATTCATTTCCACTAGTAGCTACGATGATTCCGAGAAACATTCCTTCCATCCTTCGTCCTTCCATCCTTCATCCTTCCGCATTCTCTCCGCTCACCGAGCTTGAACATGGTTAAGAGTGTTAAGTACAGCAGTGTAAGCCGGCTTCTTCTGATAACTTGCGTTCCACAACAAGGGATTGGTACTGCTTCTCCAACTCAAATTGTCACTAACCCCCCAGATGGTAATACCGACACAGTTGCTTTGGTTCAAACAAGCCTGTGTTGCCTTCTGGTAGTCACTATAACCGGCACCGGCAATATCCAGCTCAGTCATTGCACATTCTGGAGCAGCAGCACACAACTTTTGCATGGCACTCCCCACTTGCCTTGTATCTCCAAACCCTCCTGGAGCAGACAGATGCGGTTGAGACCCGATACCGTCGATGGGAATACCCTCGCTTCTCCACTGCCTGACTTTGCTGACCAACCCATTGAGCTTTGCGTAGTTGGGGCTATCAAGGTTGTAGTCATTAATGTAGAGCTTTGCGTTTGGATCTGCAGCTCGGGCGGCTTCGAAAGCAATCCTGACATACTTCTCTCCCAAGACTTTGTAGAATAAAGATTGACGCATAGTGCCATCTTCGTTGAAGATCTCGTTTACCACATCCCAGGCGTAAATCTTGCCTCTGTAACGACCCACCAGGGTGGCAATACGGTTCTTGATAACATTGGCCAAATCGGCGGGGTCAGTAATGTCTTGAACCCATTGAGGTAGTTGAGAGTGCCAGACGAGAGTGTGACCACGGATGAGCTTGCCGTTGGAGGTAGCGTAGTGGACGAGAGCGTCTGCGCCGGAGAACGTGAATCGACCGCGCGAGGGTTGAGTGGCATCCCACTTGAGCGAGTTTTCCGGCGTCACTTGTCCCATTTCGGTCTTGAGGATCGAGTTGACTTGGGAGATGGAGAATGTGTTTTCATCCGTAGCAGCGCCCAGGTATTTGCGGCCGTTGGCACGCATGGCGGCGTTGAGCGTCGTGGCCGCTCGTTCTTCGATCTTGTGAGTCTCGGGGATGACAGAGGCCGAAAGGGCAGAGCGGGCGACGAGGAGAGTGGAGAGGAGGGCGAGCAAGTTGGTCTTCATTGTGAGTGCTCAGTGAGGAGGGAGGAAGACGGAGTTTTGCTTGGATGATGTGGACGAGGAGGACATGGTGCAAGTATGGCCGCCCTTATATGAATTCGATGATATGCTATGCTATGCTATGCTATGCTATGCTATGCTATGCTATGCTATGCTGCGCTATATGTTCCTTGCTGGTGCTGCTGTATGAGCAGCGACATGAGCGGTTTGAGACCAAGCAAGCCAATACAGCCCTACATCAGGTAGGAAGCAAGCTTGAGACGAAACAAGAGCCAAGCTGTTGGTCTCAGTGGGAAAGAGACCGGCGATCCATCTCGTGATGCTACCGTCAAGGACCGCTGCCAAGGTGTATATCGTCAAAGCAGCATGTTGTCCCTGCTCTACTCGAACTGCTTAGTCCACTCAACAACTCCCATCACGACCTCTCAAAGCTCTGGCCAGAGGGCTGCGAATCGGCGGCTATCTACCAACACGGGACTCGGCCTTATTTTCGTCATCATAATCAACCTAGCAACACTCGTCTACACTACCCGCAACTCGATCGAAGCGCAGATCGAGACCAACAGCAACATCATCACCGGTAACCTGTGCAGATCTGGACAACCTCCATTGTCGCCTATTCAGGCTAGCTCCCTCCGACCTTCAGATCCCTGCATGAGGTTTGAAGGCTACCCAAGTTAAGCGGTCTACAGACACTCACATCTCGGCTGTCTATGAGGCTCTCACGCTCGTCATGTTGGTGGCGATCTGCACAAAACGCAGCTCATCGAATCGAGGTGTTTTGCGTTGATTGAATCTAAACTTTATCTATCCTGAGAGCTGAGCAAGGAGGGTCGTTGTTCTTTGCACCAGTCATGGTCTCGGCAACTCTCCAAGCCATGGGCTTTGTTCGATCGGACCCATGAGCCTCACGCGTGGGATGACACTCTGCTCTCATCGGGCGTTGCCACGTTGCTGTTTGCGTTCTGCGCTACTGCACCTTGAGCTACTGGTGAGAGCTGCTGGTGTTGCTGCTGGATGTTTCAGGTTGCGCTTCTCGCAGATCGATCTCACCACAGCTTGCCACCTTGACTCAAACATGGGCACCGATAAGAAAAGCGTCTATTGTATTGCTGCTTTGCATCCTAAACCGGTGCAACGACCTACACAGTGAGACAAAGGGGAAGAAAAATCGGTCGTCGAAACTGCATTTCCACCCACCAACCCCACTCGCTTGCTCCCACAACCGCGGGACATGGTATCTGCAACCCGGGCAACTGCATCTTGGATGCAAAACATCGCGCTGGACGCAAGTCGGGTTGTTGTTGATTGACGTTGGTGGTGATCATCTCGCGTCCACTCAGGTCACACTGCTTTCGCTTTGCATTCCTACTGGCCACCTTTCCAATGCATCTCATCTCGGGTGGTAGCTAAGGCAATCCTTTTGTCCACACGGCATTCTATTCTGTATTGAAAGCATCTTTGACATGCTTTTCTCCTGGACACGTTGTCGTCGGCGCGTTCAAACTTGTCCTCCTTCTCCGGTGCTAGCCATCGTCGTCATGATATACTTGGGGATAATGATCGTCTCTCCCGAACCAAGCTGTACGGGGGTGGGCGAGTGTGTGAAGGAAGAAACGGCATTGGGGCCTGAATGGATGAGCTGGCATTACAGTATCCAGAAGAGAGACGACGGTGGCGGTAAAATCAGATCGGCTCCGAGGAGACCTGTCAATTTCAGCGAGACCTCCCAATCAAAATCGAGATGCTGATGCGACGCATGGCAACACTCTGCGCGGACACCAAGCTCTGGTTGGTCACAAAGCCGGCAAGTGCTTGCCGCTCAAATCCTTGGCGCTCAAATCCTTGGCGCTCAAGCCCTTAAGCTGCTTAGCAAGGTCGGCACCCAAGACCTCCTCTGCAGAGGGAACGGTAAAGCCAGGAATGGCAGGAATGCTAGTTCCGCAGACCGTCTTGGCAGCTTTCCCAGCGTAGGCTTGGCTAAGGAACCAGAGAGCAGGAACAAGGCCAAAGAACTCTGCGCTGAAGTGTTCGGCGATAGGATATGTCTCGAAATGGATTTGTGCACCCTTGTCGCATTGCTCTTTAACATACTGAGCGGCAGGTGCATACGGAACGATCTCATCGAGCGCGGCGTGCCAAATGAAACGAGGTGCACGGACAACAGGAACATCGCAAGAGGCTTCGGATTGAACAAGAGTCTCTCGTTTGAGGATGGAACGGATCGGTTCTTGATTGAGCAAGTCGGTGCCGTTGACCAGGTTGAAAACGTTGGTGAAAGGGTAGGTGAAAACGACTTGAGCGATGCAGAATGCACGACTTCGAATCTGTTGAAACACCTTGACGCCTTGAGCATTCAACCGAGGCTTGATGTAAGCTTGCATAGCAGGATGAACAAGGGCCAAACCGGAGACACCAGCAATAGCGAAACCAGCAAAGACACCGCCGTTGATAAAGGTGAAAGTGTCCTTTGTACTGAAGGGGGTGCCACCGTGGGCAGTAGCGATGATGTTGATCTCAGGTGCATAGGATCCAGCAAGCGACTCTGCCCAAACAGTAGCATGGGCGCCTCCCGAATAACCATACATGCCAACGGGGCTGTCCTTTGGCAGATGCCTGAAGTTCTGCAAAGCACGAATAGCGTCAAGGATAGCCATACCCTCTTCGTAACCAGCAATAAAGGCAGCTCGAGGGCCCTCATGATCGGAGGAGAGGACGTAGTAACCCTGCTGAAGCGCCCAGCCGATGATGAGCGAAGTATCAAGGATGGTAGTAGCCTTATTGGGAGGATCAAAACCGGCCAGGTAGCTGTAGCTTGGAGCACAGTCGAGCTGCGTCGAGTCCTCGTAGACCTGGTAGGAGAAGATCTTGGGCGGAGAGGCAGGCTTAGCAGGGATCCAAACGGTAGCGACGTTGGCTTGAGCTTGCTGCTGCGTGTTGGTGGTGCGGTAGCTAAGCTGAAAGGCTTGGGCCTTGTTCGAGTTGCCGATGTCGGTGTCAGCTTTGCGTGATCGGATGATCTGACCGTTGGCGTAGGTGGCCACGTTCGACGGTTGCTGGTAGAAGGGGTCCTCGTTGGGATCCGGGAACTGAGCTCGCCTCTCCATGGGTACAGCGAGCGCAGCGATGGCTGCTGCGGCCAGGGCGAGCACAGCTCCAAGGAAGAACCTCATGTTGGGCAGGGGCCAAGGGGAGGGGGTTGGGGTTGGGGATAGGGCTAGGAAGGGAGAACAGGGGGGGGGTAAGAGGGCTTCGATCACGAAAGGATGCTGACAACGACCTTGCTTGTCTCCCTCCGCTAACCCTCCCCTTGGCCTCTTTATACGCAAACAAGTCTTGAATCGACCTGATGAGCAGCCAGCTGTCTTTGTTCTCTCTTGGAGCACACAAAGCGCACAAGCAAGACACAAACATCCACGCACGAACAAAGCGCCTTTTCCTATGCGGGGTAACATTGAAAGGGTGCTAAGAGAACAGCGAGCGGAGCCTCAGCTGGAGGCCTGACCGTCTGTGCAGGACTGGGTAGTGAATCAAGTCAAAACGGCACAAGGGGCCGAGCGGGGAATTGGGATGTAATGGTAGCTGTCGTCCAACATGTCAGCCTAACCTGACATTGGCAACTTGCGACTGGCTTCACATTCACTAAGCTGGTAGCAGTATATTGATCTGCAGACTAATATCGGCCAAGGGCCCGCCAGCGTTACAAGGATTGGGAGCATGTTGTGCATCTTGCATGGATGGCAGAGGAAAGCCGTTGTAATTTGACGTTCGTGGGGCCCCCTTTGGCCCTCTGCCTGCAGGATTTGTTAAGCGAAACACAAGGTATGGTATCAAATGATCTGCACGCCTGCTGCTGACGTTGCTGTGAAGGATGGGGAAACAATAGAAACAGAAACGAGAAGCTAAGCGATGGATGACCAAAACGACAGACGAGGCTTAGCCGAGACGCCTTTCTGCAGCCAGTGATGGGCAAGATGCAGCATGGGCTTGAGCTCCAAAGCCATCCATCTCTGTTTGATGCGATACAAGCTCTCTTGGCCTCCTCCAAGGTGTCAGGGGGAGGTGTCAGGGCAAGGTGTCAACGTCGAGGAATGAAAGGTCTACAGATCGGGAGTTGAGCCATGCAATCGGCACCCACTGCTTATCGCGATCGCTTCCTGGCGATTTTCGAAACATGTTAGGCCTTTCCATCCCATTTACTCTTGGCGATCAGAAAGATGCTGCTCAAGGAACCAGGAACCGGCAAAATGGAGGTTGCGGCCTTTGATCACGGCCCAACTTAACACTCTTGTCTTGCTTTCAAAGATAGGGCAGATATCGGGAGATCGGCAGTCGGAGATCGGAGATCGGGCCAGAAAAACTGTTACCATACCCACACCACAGAAGGAGCACCTTGGCCTCACTTTGGCCACTCTCGGCCTTGAGAGAGACAGAGCGAGCAATCAACAGAACAAGACCAAGCCAAGATCTAGAAGAGCAAACGTGTGTGTAAGTGTGTGTTGATAGAATGTAAAGAAGATTTGTCCCGATGATCGACGATCGGTGAGAGTCTGAGTTACGATGTCACTGGTGTTGAAGAGAGAAAGGTGTATACTCTATGGACTAAAGAACATGGTGAGGCCGAAGGTGGGAGTATCCTTCTTCATGACCTAGCTTGACAACGAGCGGGACTGGGTTGTACCCGATCTCTGGTGAGATCGGCTAAGCCCGATTTCTTTGGTATCCGCTTACGTAAACACGCATCATCATATTGGGAACGTTTCCTTCTGCATGTGTACATGTGTGTACAAGTGTGTGTACAAGTGTGTACAAGTGTGTGTATATGTGTGTGTATATGTGTGTGTATATGTGTGTGTATATGTGTGTATGTCTCTCTATCTCGGTTGTGTCTTCTGTGCAAAGTGTATATGCGTGTGTGCTCCTGAGTTGGTGAGAAGATCGTCAGCTCTTCACCTCCTCCTCCTCTTCTTCTTCTTCTTCTTCCCCCACCAGACGCTCTCTCTTCATCACCTCTCTCCTTGCCTCCTCCCGCTTTGCCTTTTTTGTTGCAACCAAAGCAAGCTCTGTCGGATACTTGTCCTTTTTCTCCTCCCTGCCATCGCTGGGGAAAGGAAATCGATACTGTGGAAGCCGAGTCAGGTTGCAACACCATCATCATCATCATCACCACCACCAGCATCCTCCACTAGGAGAGCTCTCCGTCCTACAATCCTAAGCTGCATCTCACACCATCCATTCTGGCATTGTAGCAAACTCACGAGCTTGTCTTCTTTTCTTTGGGGGTAAGTGTCTGTTCGTTTCAGCTAGCTCGGTGCCATGACCCACGAGTGCTTGTCCGATCCTCTTCGATCGTCTACCTACATCCACTCGCTACTCGGCACGACTCATCTCGGCCATCAACCTGATCGCTGCCCTGCCTGGCGACTTGCACTCCGTCTTCCCACGGAGCCAACGTTTGCCCGACTCTGAGGCCTTCGAGAAGAGCTTGGCTCCTCAATACACCTCTCCGAACACCTCACTGACCTTTTTGTGCTCTATCCTTTGCATTCGACACTTCCTTTCGCCTTCTGTCCTTTGCCTTGAGCAGCATCTACGTCGTGCTCTGACAAGAACTCACTACCCCCAAGACACATCGATATACGCAACTGTAACACTACTTGACATCATCTTTCGGCGCTCATACCTGTCCTACCATACCAGTCATCGGCAAGCTGCAATCACCTTGACAGCTCTACTTTCCGATCATCTCTGTTCGTATGGATCCTTGCATTTGACAATAACAACAACAACATCATCATCATCATCATCATCATTATCACCACCACCACCACCACCATCATCATCAACAACGCATTGTAAGTCCACATCTCAGCTCGCACAGCTTTTCCTTCCATCGCACATCATGCTCACCTCTCCATAACCTTTCACTTGTCCTCTCTGCTCACCGTCAAGACAGTCCCGTCCGTTGCATACCTTGTACAATTCTTGTAACACCACCTTTTGCAAACTTCAAGCGCCCCTCAATCTCTTTCCGACACGGCACTAGACCATCTATCCTACTCACTCGTCTCCCTATCCGCATCTACACACCTCGACATCAGCCCTTTCCCACCTCGTACTTCTCGCCCGCCCATCACCCAGCAGACGCACAAGGAGCATCGTCCTTGACTTTGCCTTCCAACACAATGTCGGCCAAGGATCAAGTCAGTTCGGCTATCGACGCCTCCATTGGCACCACTGCCCTCAAGTCGACTCCAGCTTCCGTCTCGCTCTCCGAGACCGACACAGCCGTCACTTGGTCGTCCCAGTCCGCCAAGGACTCCGATGCTGAAGGCGGCAATGCTAGCGACATCCAAACACGCATCGAGCAAAAGCGTCTAGAGCACGAGAAACAGCGTGCTATGCATCAAAAGGCATTCGAGCAACAGATGGCCCTCCTCGAAAAGCAGCAGCGCCAAGAAGAGCAGACCTTGCTCCAAAAGCGTCAGTCTGGAAACGATGCTGGTGCTGGTGTTGCCGCCGCTGCTGCTTCAGCTGCTTCCGCCCCGACAACGCCTCCAAACGAGGCTCTCAGTGCTGCTCATCCCAAGGCTCTCGCCACCGCATTGCAAGCCACTGACGCCAGCGACCCTGCTGCTCGTGCCAAGATGCCTTCTTCTCGTCGACAATCGGGGGAGAAAGAGCGATCGGCTGACGACTTGACTTCGGCTGTCGGTGCCATGTCGATGGCTGACAAGGCAAGTGCCGATGCCACTGCGGCCAAGACGAGTGATGCTGCCAAGGACAACAAGGGCGAGAACTTGACTCCTGTCTTTAACGAGCGCTTCCTATTCGACGACGAGCTCGACAACGAGGACTCAGACTTTGTGAACAAGTACAACCTCAAGGGCGATCAGGGACAATTCCCTCTTCTGGTTCAGCGCGACACCGCCTCTGCCCGGGATGCTGACTGGCCCAAGTTCGGAGGTGCTGCTGTTGATGCTGCTGTCCCCACTCCCAGCGCTGCTGCTGACACTACATCATCCTCGTTGCGTCGTCCGCTTAGCAGCAAGTCTCCACCTCCTCAAGGCACTCCGAACGTAGCTGCCTCTTTCGGAAGCAGTGCAGGCCGTCAAGCGAGCACCTTGCCTCTGCCTTCACCCTCGCCACGCCTCTCGCAGACAGGTCGATCGTCGCCCGCCATCAAGGCAGCCACCTTGGCCGGTGTGGCGTCCCGACAGGCTAGTGGTCCTGGCTCGCCCTCTCCTGGACTTGGTGGACTCGGCGGTGAGGTGGGTCGATCGGGTGCAGGTTCGCGTTTCGTCAACACTGCCCTCTCGATCCCAGCCGCCACCGCCGCCGCTGCTGCTGCTGCTGCTGCCGCCAACCTGAACAAGATAGGCCCCGCTGGTGGTGGTGGTACCACTGCTGGTGGGGCCGCTGCTTTTCCCAGCTTCAACCTTGGCGCCTTCTCGGGTGCGGGTGCCTCGACGGGCAGCGAGAGTCCAAGCCGCTTCGGACCTTACTCGCCCAGCAGCTTTAACGCGGACGCTGCTCGACGCGGCAGCCGACCTTCATCTGGCTTCTTTGACGCTTTCAATCCAACTGCTGGTGCCAACGCTCCTGGCTCGCTCTTCCCCACGGACAAGTATTCGATGGGTATGGTGGGTGCCGACGACCACGCCAAGCTTGGCGGTCCAGGCACGCACACTGGTGGTGGTTCAGCTGCTGCCAACGCGGCTCTAGCCAAGAACGCACGCAAGGCTGAGTTGGAGGCTACCACTCAGCTCGAAGATCTGCAAGGTGACATCTTTGCACTCTGCAAGGACCAGCACGGATGCCGATTCCTGCAGAAGAAGCTCGAGGAGAGCATGCCTGCCCACCGCGACATGATCTTCTCCGAGACGTTTACGCATTTCGCCGAGTTGATGACGGATCCATTCGGCAACTATCTCTGCCAGAAGATGCTCGAATACTGCACAGACGAGCAACGCAACTTGATCGTCGAGCTCGTCGCTCCCGAGCTGGTGACCATCTCGCTCAACATGCACGGAACGCGTGCTGTGCAAAAGATGATCGACTTTCTCTCGACTCGGCGTCAGATCCACTCGATCATTGTGGCTCTCTCGATGAACGTGGTGACGCTGATCAAGGATCTGAACGGCAACCACGTGGTGCAAAAGTGTCTCAACAGGCTCGGTGCGGAGGACAACCAGTTCATCTACAATGCTGTCGCCGCACACTGTGTCGAGGTGGCTACACACCGACATGGATGCTGTGTGCTGCAGCGTTGCATCGACCATGCTTCGGAAAGTCAGCGTGTTCAGCTGGTTGCCGAGATCACTTACAATGCTCTTACGCTTGTGCAGGATCCTTTTGGCAACTACGTGGTGCAGTACGTGCTGGACTTGAGCATCCCTCGCTTTACTGATGCCGTCGTTCGTCAGTTTGTCGGCAACGTCTGCCTGCTGTCGGTGCAGAAGTTCAGCAGTAACGTGATCGAGAAGTGCATTCGTGTCTCGGAGCCCGGTGTGCGAAAGCAGCTGATCGAGGAGCTGCTGAACCGTACTCGACTGGAGAAGCTACTTCGCGACTCGTTTGCCAACTACGTTGTGCAGACCAGTCTGGACTATGCCGATGCTGTTCAACGTATGCGTTTGGTGGAATGCATCCGACCTATCTTGCCGGTGATCCGCAATACTCCTTACGGTAAGCGGATCCAGAGCAAGTTGCAGCGCGACAACCTCGACCTGGGACCTCCCAACGGTGTTCCTTACTCGGTCCTGCACGCTGCCCATCAACAGCAGCTGCACGCGATGGCTGCTATGGCAGGTCACCGTGGCGGTGCTGGTAACCCGGCTTATATGGGCATGAACGCTTATGGACCACAGGGACACGCGATGCCTCCTCCTCCTCCTCCTCCCCCTCCTCCGCACATGAACCCTTACCAACAATATCCTCAGCCACAGCCTGCTCACATGTATGGCGGTGGTGGTGTTGCGGCTGGTGGTGGTGGTGCTGCTGCTGCGGGAAGCGGACAGATGCGTGCTCCACCTCACAACTTGCCACCTCACAACTTGGCTCCTCACAACTTGGCTCCTCCTAACTTTGCTGCTCCTGCCTACGCTGGTGGATTCGGTGGCGGCGGAAACTTGCCTCCTCCGATGGGTATGCAGCCGGGTGGTGGACGTAGTGCTTCGAGCGGTTCGTTGGCCAATGCTGGTGCTGGCGGATTTGGCAGCTACTAAGAACTGACCCTGCTCGACTCGCTTTCTCTCTCTCTCTCTCTCTCTCTCTCTCTCTCTCTCTCTCTCTCTCTCTCTTTCTCTATCTCTCTCTCTCTATCTCTATCTATCTCTCTCTACCGCTATGATCGAAACGACCTCATGAAGACCATCGATACACACAGCAAAAGCCCACATGTTGCGAATCATCATCTGTACAATGTTCATGATCGAGTTCCTACGGATGCCCACGTTGCTCTCCAGCCTCGAGCCTCTTGTCTATTTTTTATTTATTTTTTGCACGGCGTCCGTTGTCATTACTATGTTTCCCCGCCATTCTGTTGCCTTCTTTCTCGACCCGCCTACTTCTCATTCGTCTCTCGTCGTTTGGTATATATATATATACATACAGTAACCGCCTATCACGAGCTTTGCTATTGTGTCGCTTGGTGTGGCGAGGGGATGAATTTTGCAGCCTTAATTTTGAGCTTGCTTTTTCTGGCAGTCGAATTTCAAACGCGCGAAAATAAAGGGTTGCAATTTCTCGCACGAAAATAAAGGTTTCGAATTTCTCGCACGAAAGCCCCAATGTTTACAGTTGCCGATCTAACATTCATCGGCCATGCTTCATTGTTCTCATCCCTTCTGCTTTGCAATGCATGGTGCACAGAGCGGAGGGGTGAGAGCGGAGAGGTGGGAGCAGAGAGGTGGAGAGGTGGGGAGGTGGGGAGGTGTGTGTGCTTGGCATCTTGCTTATAGCGGCGGTGGTGTGTGGAAAGGCGAGGTTCGATTGGGGAAAGTTGCTCCTTTGCCACACATACAGAGAGATAGTCGAGCGCTCGTCTCCCTTGCCTCGTTCCTTTAGCTCCTTCATCTCTTTCATCATCTCTTTACCTCCTTCATCCACGGCTCTCTTCATTTCACCAAAAGCGGCTTTCATTCAAACAGCAGCTGCAGCTTCGCAACCCCATCATCATCGCCACTGCGGCTTTTCCCCCCAACCAGCATCCGTCTCTTCACCTAGCCTCGCCGCTCCACCAATACGAATGCGTCATCCTCTCCCACAGCCTCCTCTTCGCTCTGCAGCAGCCTCCAATGATCGATCATCTCGCTACCTCTCCCATGTCCACAACCATTGCCATTACAATAGCTCCTCATCCTATGCCTCAGCTTCACCCGAATCCTTCGTCCCTGCCTCGCACTCCACCTCGCCGTACTATTCCAGCTCGCACCCGAGTCCAGCTTCCACGATCTCTTCCTCCGGTGCCGGATCCAGCAGTCTCTGCACTCCACCTGACCTTTTAGTCAACGGCAGCAGCGCAGCAGCACTTCAGGTCCACAATACAGCAGCCTCTTCTGCAAAGTCGTCGTCGTCATCGTCATCATCATCATCGTCATCATCATCTTCTTCTTCTTCTTCTTCACCGCACCATCATTTGGCAGTCAACTCTTGGAACGGCTTGGCCGTTAAACCCCGTTTTCCGAGTAGGAATATGAATGCAGAGGAGATCAAGAGGAGGAAAAGGTTGTTGTCCGATTTGCCCAGCCTGCCGCTGCTCCAGTTGCCCAGTCCTCCACCAAGTCCCAAGTATGTTGGCAGGAGTGAGAGGGGGGAAGAGCAAGAGTTGCAAGATGCCGCGGGGTTGGCTAGGAAACGGGTTAGAGCTTCTCGTAGCCCCTCGCCTCCCATCATCGCCACTATCGCAACAACCACACCTCGCATCATCGCCCGAACAGGCTCTCTTGCACCATCAGCCTTGACCACCCTTGCAGCATCCTACCGTACAGCAGCGCGCCAGCTGAAACACACTGCCGATGCTCGCGCTTGCTCTCTCTCCTCCTCTCGCCCCTCATACCTTGCTGCTCGACCAACGGAGCTTTCTGCGTTGCAACAACTAGACGCTGTTCTACTCTTCTGCTATGCATTCTGGCTGGACGACCTCGCATCCTGCTCCTGCATCGCCAAGAATTGGATCTCACTCTTCGGCTTGCTGCGATATGCGACAAATGCGCAGAGTGACTTGGGAAACGATGTACTGCTCGGCATCTGTCGACTGATCGAAAGTGCCGTATTACGAAAGCTGCATAGACATGATTCTTCTATCCTCCTCCGCAAACTCTCCTCGTCCACATCCCCTACGGAAAGGTTCAGGTTGGATGAAATGCAAAAGCTAATCCAACAACAACACGCTCACCTCGAACGATCAGATCGCCTCGCAACTCAATCCCGCACGCTCCTCTCCATCCACAACCTCTCCACATCCTATCCAGACTTACTCCAAAAAGCTCTCTCATCCACAATCCCGAACAACCATGCAGCTGCCAACATGGTCGATCCAAGCAAACATCCAAACTGTAGCCACTTTGCTTTTCCTCTCGACCCACTGAGCCAAGTGCCACACTGGGTTGCTTTTGGTAGATGTGCAGTCCGAGAACATGCGCTTTTGAAAGAGGTCGAGTATGAGTTGGTGCAAGTTGATACTAGTTAGCAGCCATAGCAGTCACAGCAGCGATAGCAGCGATAGCAGCGATAGCAGCGATAGCAGCGATAGCAGCGATAGCAGCGATAGAGAAGAAGCTTGCAATTGCATTTCACCCGCAAAACAAGCGCCACGAAGAAAGGTATGGAATCACTTGGTTCTTTTAGCCTTGCCTCTGCCACCTCGAGCAGCAGCTTTACTCTTCTCTTTAACCCCCACCGGAGCTTTAGACTTCTTCACAAGCTTATCCTTGCCCAAGTCATCCTCATCCTCATTCACCACCTCCTCCTCCTCCTCTGGGACAACCTCTTCTTCAACTACATCCTCCAAATCAGGCACCGGCTCTTTACCAACCTTCTTGATACCCCCCACATCGAGACCTCGATTGAAGGCTATCGGATGACTAGTCGAATTATACTTCCTCGTAAATCCCGCTTTCACCGCACTAGCAACCTTCTTCAACACAATCTCGGCATTGTGCGGTTCCAGTCCTAACTCGAGTATCGCCTCCCTATCTGCAATGCCGAGATAGTATTCATCCATCAAATCAATCACCTTGTCCACTCCATTCGAACCTTGCTGTAGGATTGGATTGACCAGCATCGTCCACATAGTTGGAACATAGTGCTGCCGAAGATCATGTCGACTGCTTGAAGAGATGAGACTCATCTTGGCCTGCAGATCCACTAGGGATCGGAGCAATCTTTGCTGTTTGGAATTTTGGCCGAGCCAGCTGGGGAAGGTGGGGAAGCCTGTTTGTGTACCGCCGTAGATGAAACTACATGGTCGAACACTTGAAGCGATTGAGTGGAGGGGCATTAGAGACCAGTGTGGTTCGGAAGCGTGGATCATTCGATCAATCATATCACCATCACTGATACTTTCGGATGCTTTGCTTAGTAGGTGTAAATGCTTAACCTCTTTCATTGGACCTGAATCTTGGCTGAGAAGTATAGGTCGGGCTTTGACATAGTTTTCGGCAACCATGAGTGGTAGGAAAGAATGGTCCTGGAAGTATAGTTCCGCTTTGTCGTTCAAAGTTTTTCTCGAGGTCGTACCGAACATGGAGGCACTGCTCAAGTCTGAGTATAGAGAGAAAGGTGTTGCCAGACCAGGTTTGGCTTGGTCGAAAGAGAGAAGTTTGCTTTCGTCGAAATCCATCGTATCTTTGCTCAGCTTCCAAGCAGAAAGCATATTGATGAGGCTTCTGATATCTGATCGAGCTGCTTCGATAAGTTGCGCCATAACTTCCCCTCGTATCTTTAACTTTTCTCGAAACGCAATCGACAACATCCTCGACTTGACCTGAGCAGCGTCAGGCTTACGGAAAGAAAGGTTAAACGTCGTATGCTCAAAAGGCCTCATCTTCTGATCTCTTCGATCATTGCAGATGCAAATAATCGGCACTTTGGTCTTCTTAATCAAAGCATTAATCGCACCTATTCCACCACGATCACCTCCAGACATCCCATCCACCTCGTCCATAATCAACACAGTCCTCTCATGCATCCTCGCCACATGACTCCCCGTGCCACCACGGGGGTTATACCAACTATCCAAACTCTTGTTGTTAATCGTATCCTCAAGCATAGCTTCGATTAGCTTCTTACTTCTAGCATCGCTCGCGTTGAATTCCAATGGTGAATACCCTTCCCTTTTCGCCACGAGATGGGCAGACGTAGTCTTTCCGATCCCTGGACTACCGGATATCAACACAGCTCGGTAAATGCCCATGCCATCCTTGCCCGGCTTTTTAAAGCCACTTCGATACGATTCAGGCCAAACCCTCAACCATCCCGCTAACTTCTCCACCGCCGCTTTGTTGCCAACCAGATCCTTCATCTGCTTGGGAGCATACTTTGTAGTCCACAACATACTCCCATATTCCACCGCATCCACATCTGCACCTGCACCTGCACCTGCACCTGCACCTTGGCAAGGAGGACCGAGAGTTTTGGCAACTTGCTCGATCTTGTCCTCCTCCGCTTTCATCTTGGCTTTGGTCTTGTCATCCAGTTGACCCGCGGCACGGGTGCGGATGAGGTTGAGGAATTCATCTTCGTCGAGGGTGGGGATTTTGTTTTTATGGATGGAATCCATTTTCTTAGGTCCTGCTCCTTGGCCAAGCACAACGTAAGAAGTTTTCGAGGATGGCGATCCCGTGATCCGTGCTCCGTAGCGTTTGGCTAGTTCCACAGCTTCTTCGCGACTCAGAGAGCAGAGTTCGCCCGTGAAGACGAGCGTGAGGCCGGCAAGACAGTTCGGTGCGCCCTGCGGGATTTCTTTGGATCCAGGGGCCGAGGGACCCGCTGCTCGACGCGCTTGCATCTCTCTCCAGTTCGCTTTGGCTGCTGGTGCCGCTGTGGGGGGTTGAGCATCAGCTTTAGTAGTAGCAGCAGCAGGGGCAGGGGCAGGGGCAGGGGCGGGTTTCTTAGCAGGCCAAGCTTTAGCAGGAGCAGCACCTTTGTTCCCACTAGTGATGCGTTTGGCTGGTGGTGCAGCTTCGAACTCGCTATCCTCTTCATCATGGCTATCGTCAATCTTGATTGCTTTCGCGTTCGCTGCGGCCGGTCGAGTAGGCTGAGTTGCGGTGGATGTAGCCGCCTTAGCCTTGGACGCAGTAGTAGCTGGCCGCTTGGGCGCAGGTTTAAATTCCTCATCCTCATCCTCATCCTCCTCATCGTTGTAATCGTCATCCTGGTTGTCATCCGAAGAACCATCCTTTGCCTTGCGCTTTATCGTTGTTGACTTCCTGGGGCTGTTCTTCGCAGAGGCAGGCTTAGCTTTCGCTTTGGGAGCGGGCCTGTCGTCGTCGTCATCGTCGTTGTCCGAATCGTCAATCACCATAGGATCCGCTTTGGTAGCTGTGGTTGAACGACGACTTGTCGAGCTTCGCGTCTTGTCGGCGAGATAGTTGGAGGTAGGTTGCGCTTTCTTTGTGGCTGGAGAGGTGCGTGTGGCCGAAGGGGCCTCCTGGGAAGAAGCCAGGCTTGAGGCAGGACCTGCACTTTTTGCCCCACCACCACCGCCGAAAAAGGTGGACAACGAGGCTTGACCTTTTGGAAGCGGAGTTGATGGCTTCTTTGACGGCATTGTAGAAGCGACAGCCGTCTTAGAGCAGTAGTGGGGACGAGGATGGTGTTGGGATGAAGGCAAGGTGTTGAGATCAAGGCGATCAAGCTAGTACTCAGTCAGGTTCGCACAAGAAGAATTGAATCGCATTACTAATTATCCTCTGGCCGTGGCTCAGTTAATTTCCTCTGTTAGGGTTTGTAGGCCTAACACACAAAAACACGCCAAAAATTAAAAAAAGGCCGTTCTGTGAGTAAGGCTGAGATGTAACATTTTTGCATTTTAGCCTCCAGAAGTGTTGGCCCATTCGCAACTCGCAACGCTGTGTAACTACTCTCCTCTCCACCACAACTTGGATAGCCCGCTACACCAACGCCTTGGCCACAATGTCGCAGTCCTCTGGCAGTCGACATCACTCCTCATCCCTCAAAGTCGCCATGCGCCCTCTACAGTCCTCCTTCTTCGCCGGCGAAGACTTTCTCTGTCAAATCACCTTCACCAATACCAACCAACGTCTTGCCCACACCCAGCCTCTTCTTCAAGGCGAGTTGCCATCAGCAGCCGGCTCCTCACTACAAGCTTCTCCTGGTCGCCCTTCTTTCGATGATAAGGCGGCTAGGAGAGTTGTTTCGTCCATACCTACCCATTCCAAATCTCGCAGTGTAGACATCCGAGCTCTAGGGCGAGGCAATCATTCCTGGGGTTCCTCTTCCAATCTCCCCGCCTCAGCACGGTCAGGGGAAGCATCGAGGCATCTGGATGGCCATGTGCTGCCTGAGAGAAGGAACTTGATTGGAATGAGTATGCCTTTGCCTTCTACGACGCACTTTGTTCATCCCTGGTCTGTTTCAGGAGGCGGGGCAGGTTCGCATCGCTCCACGCAGTCTGTCTCCTTGACTTCTTCGCAAAGGCCAAGGCCGAATTTGGGGCTCGGTCGACCAACTCTGCCCGCCTCTGCTGCTACTCCGACCAAGCTACCGGCTGCCGACTCGAACCGGTTCTCCCCTAACCCTCCCTCGAGGATATCCTCCCTCCCAGGTCTCAACACCAAGAGGACACCTTCTGCTATGATCTCACCAAACCACTCCCACTCGCGCAAGAAATCAGTAGCTCAAGTACAAGCACAAGACCTCACAGAAGCCTTTCAACTCGATTCTCTCGATTCAAACCTTGCCTCGGCTATCCCAACTGCTGCTACTCCAACTTCATGGCTCAGTCACCAACCCGACCCCAACACATCCTTCTACAGCCTGGGAAGGAACGATACAATGGAGAGCGTCTTTCGAGAGTCTGTCACCGATTGGTCCCACTCGAAGCGTCGATCTTCTCCTTCCACCACCACGGGTCAGGGCGTGAAAAGGGCGATCTACCCACCATCGGACATGTTGTCGCCTGGAACCGAGAAGGTTTTATGGTCATTCGCACAATTAGCAGGGACGATAGAGATAGATGAAAGCCTCATCAAACCCGGTGACTTTGAGAATTTGAAAAGGAGGTTGGCCTATGGTGATTTGACCGGTGCAAATGCAACTCCGCATTCTCTACCGGGTACACCCAGGACCTTGGGTGGTGGAGATCTCGCACAGACCTCGGATGCGGATGAGCAGGGAGCAGGTGGCTCCAAATGGAGCAGTATTCTCCGCAGTCCCTTTGGTGGCAGTAGGCTTCAGTCGCATAGCAGAACAGGATCGACATTGCAAGACGCACAAGAGAGAACAATGCAGAGTCGTAGCGTACCCACTTTTTCCACCCCTCCCAGCATTGTTGCCGTCGATTTGCTCTTGGCTCCGGGGGAAAGCAAGAGGTTTCAGTTTAGGTTGAGGTTGCCTGTGGATTTGCCCCCTTCGTATAGCGGGAAAGCGATAAGGATCAAGTACGTGCTCAGTCTGGGAACCAATCGCTTGCGGATGCCACAAGGGCGGAAGGAGGGGAGGTTGATTTCCATTCCGATTAGAGTGTATGGTTATGTAGGGGCGAGTGGGTTTAGGCCTTTTTACGATTTGATGAATCCGGTGATTCAGACAAAGGAAGAGGCTGTGGTGGAGGTCGTTGGCGATGATGACAAGACTCCAGCGGCGGTCTTGTCAGGACAGGGTGGGAGAAAGGCAAATGCGACAACTCAGATCCAAAAGAAGGATCTGCAAGAGTACACAAAGCAATTACTCAAGAGTAAAGCTTCAGATGACACACCTACACCCGAGTTGCGCATCTCCACCATACAAGCCTGCAACAACCACAACAGTAGCAATTCGTGCAAAGCTGCAGTAGAAGCCTTAGCGCGAACGGCAACCAAGGTCTCTTACGATATTTCAAAGGATGGAAAAGTAGCAGCTGTCCTAACGCTCGTCCGGTCTCGTTATCGGCTGGGAGAAACGATCACGGGGGTTATCAACATTAATAACTCTCAGTCTCTCGCTCGCATAGCTCGGATGTCTGCGGTACTGGAAACGTTGGAAGAAATTCAACCCTCGATTGCTACTCTCCCAGCTGGACCGTCGCAGAGAGCAACAAGGATCGTTCACGCAGAACACCACGAAAGCGTTCTCGACAAGGGCCGTGCAGCTTTCGACCTTTCAATCCCTTCCAGCGCATCGCCCGAATTCGTGACTAGTGGAGTAAAACTCATCTGGCTCGTCCGACTATCCTTCCTAACCATCTCGGCAACCAAAACTCTAGCAAAAGCAAAGCAAGCGCAAGGCGCAACACAGAAACTGCAACAAAGCAATCTACTTCCCCCTCCACACCTCGTCCCTAGCCCAACAGACGGGTTTGCAAAATACCATATCAACCTCACAGCTCTAGACAGTCTAGCAGGTCCAGCAACACACTATATCAACAACCAAGCAGCAACCCTACTAACTACGATCGGCATGGCACGAGAAACAAAGCTGGAAACAGTGGAGTGTGCTATTCCCATTTCGGTGTTAGCGAACAGTACGACTTTCAAGATTGGCGATGCTCTCTTTTTCGCCTAACCGGGCTTTGCGTTCTACGCTGGACCTGTCAAGACATATGTGACTTGGCGAGGTGGATAGTTCAGGTTCGCTTTGCTAGGCTGTCGATCATAGCGCAATGATAACTCGCACATACATCCGCACACTTTTGATAGAAGAGAATCAAACTGTGAACCTTAGCTATCTTGATACGTGAAGCAAAGCTGGTAAGCAAGGAAAACAAATCCGAACAAACGGAGCGAAAAGAACGAATCCAAACGAGCAACTAAGGAAAAGGAAAAGGAAAAGGAAAAGGAAAAGGAAAAGGAATGCAAACAACTGTAATGCAAACGTTATCAGCAGCATGTCCAAACACCTGCCGAGCATGCCAGATTCTGTGGGAGGAGGCACCATGGAATCAGAGACAAGGAAACAGAGGCAAGCGAACAAAAAGGACTCCAGTGGCTGCAGCTTAGTATGGACAAGGGCGCTCCGACATTTCTGGAGCCAACTGCTGCGGGTTGATGGTCTGTAAGATGGTATCTTTAATCGCGGGGAAGACAGTTCTGAAAGCGTCGACACCAAAGATCATATCGAGATGTTCATAGTTCTGCAACTCGACTGTATGAATCATCTCTATGTTTTTCTCGATGCGTTGAATACGTTGAACCAGAGGTTTGCCAAGTACAAGATAGTCGATATCACCGTAGAAGATGGAATGCGGTGGGAAACTTGCTGGGAACCAAGGATCTGAAATGCGTGGATCGAAAATGCATCCTCGGTGGGAGAAACCTGACATGTACCAATAGAGAAGTTCGGAAGAAGTTGGGATGGGAACCGTACGAAACATCTTGGGTTTTTGACGTCCAAGCCAATTGTGATCATGGAAACCAAACAAAAACGCAAAGATAACATAGGCAATATGACCAAACCAAAAGGTAGGCAGGAACTCCTGTGCAATACCAATAGCCGGCATGAACTCGCGAACTCCAAAGACCAACCCCCACCACTTGCGCGAACGGAATTGACGAAGTAATGAGAACGGGAACCTTCGCAACACCGATCCAGCATAGACAGAGGGGCCAAGAGCAACAAAGCAGCTAAGCTTGTTGCCTATTTGGGGACAGATACCAGGACTAAGAGCAAGGTACATCGATCCCGAACCTTGCGAGTGACCAACATAGGCAAGTTGAGGACGACCGGTAGCAGCAGTGATGTAATCGACAAGATCGCCAAGATCAAAGGCAAGCTCTTTAAGACCCCAAGCCCAGAAACGTGGATCGGGTCGAGTATATTGGGTATGAGCGGCTTTGAAGTTGGATCGGATATTGGTGATCCAAACGTCGAAACCTTGATCGACGAGCCAGAAAGCCATGGAACGTTCTTCGTTGACAACAAAGTGGGACGAGTTGCAAAGAATACCGTGTTGAAGAACAACAGGATGACCTACTGCACCGCTACGACGAGGGTCTGAAATGCGATGAGCTTTGAGAATCCAACCGCCTTGGGTGACGATTTCGTGCTCGTCGCACTGGTAACCCCAGAATTCGGCATAGTAAGCAGGTCTTCCGGAACCCCTCTCACCGGTGATCCTGCGCTCGTATTCGCGATCGGCTTTGGCCTTTGGTGGAGACTTTTTGAAGGGGTTCAAGTAGGCAAAGTAAGCAGCGACAAGAACGATGCCGAGTGCGGCAGTGCTGAGGACAAAGGAGATGGCCTGTCGGATGTTGAGGCGGATGCGTTGGAATGTACCGTAGTTTCCATAGCCAGCAACGACGTGGTCGAAGAAGGGCATCTCGAGCGGAGCTTCCTCCTGATAACCGGGGAAAGTCGGGTCGAAGAAAGGTCTCTCATCGCGATGATAATACTCTTGAGCGCCGGGGTCTCTCCTGATCTCGACACGCGGAGGCCGAGATGGCTCGACCTGGCGACCGTCGAACTGGGCCGATCCATCTTGGAAAGAGGCATCATCTGCTTGGGCACGACGTGGTGCGGCGCGGGTAGGAACATCTGCGTTGCTCTCAAGGTCGTCACCCCGTTGTGAGGCAGCATCGGATGCGCGACGACGCTTGGAATAGTCGATGAATCCAGAAGCCATCTTTGAGTGATTTGGTGGCCGATGGGTGCTATGCTACCCTGGGAGTGGTGATGATGGTGGTGGTGATGGTGGTGGTGATGATAGTCGAACGAGATCATCGCGGTGAGAGGAAAAGAGGACAGAGCGGCTGCTCACTTGTGCGGGGAAATTCAATCCAACCGCAATCCAAGCCTAATTTTAACTAACAGAGAGACAGAATGGCTGCTGAAAGCCTAGAAAACCTCGCTTACGCATCTGCAAAAATCGAGTAAAAAAGAAAAAGAAAAAGAAAAAGAAAAAGCAAAAGCATTGATTCAGATTTCGCTTCTCTCCATTCCAGCCCAGCAAAAGCGAGGTCTGAACATACAAAACCTCATATACTCGATCAAAGACACAAGATGGCCATCGATTGGCGTTCATTTGTTGGGCGTTCTGAGCGTTGGTGGCTGCTCGGATCGTCTCGCTTATGCAGTGGCTGCTTTCGCCTTTTGGAATGCTCCAAGTCAAATCACTTTCAGTCGCTTCGTAGCTGTCGCTCGTGGCATCCTCTCGAGTGGCATTATGAGCGTGTCTAGGTTGGTACATGTCTGCAGACCGTTGAATGCTTGTGCGGCTCAAAGCCTCCAAACCTGGAGCTCATCTCGAGAATCGCATTCGGTGGGCATTGCTGACTTTAGCGCTCTCAATCCGAATCCGAGTCCGAGCCGCTCTCATCGGAAGAGCTTTCCGAGTGAACGAGATCATCGTGTCCTCCTGCTGCTCCACCTACACCGCCAATGATAGCATCTGCATTACCAAACTGGTTCAGCTGCTCCTGCAAACGTGCGATCCTCTCAGCCTCTTCGCCCTCGTCCAAGTTCTTCTTCTTGATACCACCTGTGCCACGTTTACGTCCATCCAAAGGCGCCGACTTGCTGTTCTTGTTGGGCGTAGGCGCTGGCTTCTTGGGTCGCACCACGTACTTGTACAGCTTGTACAGCGTCTTGGGCGACAACTCGTCAATGTCGAGCTCAATCTCCTCTTCATCGTTCTCGTTCGGTGGCTTGTCCTCGTTGATGATGCGGATCGCGCCATCTAGACGCTCTTCTGACAGTTCCGTAATCTTGGCCGCCAACTCCTCCTTCTGTTCGTAGGTGACGGTGCGGATGTCCTCGTCGCTGTTGTCATCTCGGCGGCTGGAGCGGTCCTTCTTGTTGCTCGTAGATGGCTTCTTCTTACAAGCCGAGCCTGCCGACTTGGCCTTTTTGGCGGGCACGTATTCTGCCGCTGCCGCTGAAGCTGAAGCTGAAGCTGAAGGACTGCCAGCAGACTTGGCTTTACTCTTCTTCTTGCTCGCTGCGCCGCTCTCGGATGCTTTCCTCTTTGTCCCCTTGCTCTTGCTCTTCTTGGATCCTCCTGAGCTGGCGTAGCTCTCCTGTAAGGATGCCAGCATGTTTTTCGTGTTGGCAATCAAACCAGCGTTCTGGTTCTTTGCACCTTCCAGCATGGCCAGGGTGGAAGAGAGCTGTGAGATCTGCTCTTGAAGCGTGGCCAGGAATTCGGGTTGCACATCATCTTGGTCCTCGTCTGCACCTTGGTCCTCCTCGTCGCTTTCTTCATAGTCCGGCAGAGGGGCGGGAGCGGGCTTGCGAGACATCTTGTCCTCATACACCGCCTTGAGCTTTTCGCCCATCAAGGCGACGTCCGAGCCAGGTTGGTTAAAGGTGAAGCAGTTTTGGAAGAGCAACTGCATGTCGGCGTCAAACTCGTCGGCATGCGCATACTGACCGGCCCTGATGTTCTTCTGGATGTCACGAAGTGCGATGGGCTTCTTGATCATCTGGAAGTAGGCAGGCGCCCAGTCAAAGTCCATGGTAGGCTTGTCGTAAAAAACCCAGGCAAGATTCGAGTAAGTTGGCTTAAGCAAGTCGTCAATGATTCTGGTGCAGAAACGCAACTCGTCTTGGGCCACTTTGGCGTGGTGCGCCTGCTCGCGTGCTGAGGATCCAGCGGCCTTCTTGGCGGCCTTTCGTCGTGCCGCTTTACGCATCTCGGAAGATGATGAAGCACTTTGGGGCTCGTTGGCCCAGGGAAGGTCCTTGGGCGGAGGGGGATGGATCTCTCGTTTCGGTCTGCCGCCGAGATCGGAGGAAGAGCGACGAATGGTAGGGACAGGGTTGGATGGACGACGAGCACGTGCTGCAGAGGCATCCGCAGACGACTCGGACGAGTTGGGAGCGGGAAGCTCGTTCATGTACTTGTCAAATGCGGCTTCGAGGACTTGAGCGTTATGCGTGTAAGGGCTGTCCGGACCGTTGAAGAGTCCACAGTTGAAAAAGACCTGGCGCACGTCGGTGTCAAAGTCGTGAATGCGTCGGTAGTAGTCCTTGTTCTGATCAAGACCAAACTTGCGCGCTGACTTGACCTTGTCGCCTGGCTTTGAGTTGGGCTTAAGGACGAGGGCAGTCAAGGCGAGCTTGATGTCGATGGTGCCAAAGTCCATGGGTCTCTTGACAATTGTGGGGTAGTGAGGAATGCTGAGAGCGATGGGGTCGACAGGGACAAGGAAGGCTGCCGCCTCGCGTCGAGTTTTGAGAGATTTGAGTGTACTTTGTGCGAATTTCAGCTGAGCTGGGGTGATCTCGATGGGGCCGTGATAAGGTTTGACCTCGACTGCATCGGAATCGGTCAGTTGTCGTGGAGCAGACTGTGCAGTGAAGCCCTGCGACTGCGACTGTGACTGCGACTGCGACTGCGACTGCGACTGCGACTGCGACTGCGACTGCGACTGCGACTGCGACTGCGACTGGGCCTGTGCTTGTGAGACTAGCGCGGCTGGCTGAACACCGACGCTCGAGAGGGGCTCTGCAGTGGGTGGAAGAATGGGAGCATTTGCTGGCTCGAGTTTTGCAGGCGTGGCTTGGAAGGTGGAGGCCAAGCTGGCATCATGATTTGTCTTTGGCTTGACAAAAGACTCGATTGCAGGAAGCGAGGAGGATGTAGGGAGGGCATGTCCGTTGGTGGGTGTGCTGTTGTGGAATGTAGGCTCAGACATAGTGGGCTGGCTGAATGCGTTGGGGAAGAGAGGTGCGGTGCTGGTGGTTGCAGAAGCAGAGGATGGATGCGCAACCGCCGTGTTGATGACCGAACAAAGCGTTGAGAGGATAGCAGCAGGAATGAGGTGGTTGGGTGGCGGTTCAGGTATGCGGCCAAGCGGATGATGGCTGGATGAAAGGGTGGATGGATGGATGGATGGATGGATGGATGGAGGTGATGGTGACGGTGATGGTGGATGGATGGATGGATGGATGGATTCGAGATTCGAGATTGGAAGCAGTTGAAACAGCGTGAGCAGCACTTGCCGACGTGTCTGTGTGAGCTTTTCGAACAGCGACAAAGTGAGAAATAAATCGGGAAGGAAAGTCCGACTTGCAAACGCGTCCTCCTCTTATACTTTCTCGACTTTTCTTTTTTTTTTTTTTTTTCTCTTTTTTTCTCTTTTTTTTCGCAATTTCCACTTTATTTCTTCACGCGCCTAAAATGTCCAGTTCGAGAGTCAAGAGAGTTCAGTCCAGAGCGAGCAGCGACACGCGCTTTTTCTTGTCCATTCGGCGACACGCTCAGCCCCTCACAGCTCTCGTCGTGTTTTCTCTCGTCCGTCGTGTTTTCTCTCGTCCAGCTCTTTTTTTTTTGGCTTTTCGAGCCCGATTCGAATTCTCATCTCTCGATCCTCGCGATCTTCTCGCTTTTCAAGATTTTGAATCCAAATTTCAGGCCCCATCAACCTAACAAGAAAGAGTGCCCGCTTTTGCATTCCGAGTGCCGAGTCCCGAGTGCCGAGTCCCGACTACAGAACGGCAAGATTAGTTCCGAGATTTGAGATTTTCGATTTTCGTCTGGTTTGGCTTTTCAGTTGAACCAAATCCGCTCGCCTTTCCGCTACCATCCACGCTTGAATTGCTCTTGACCCATCATCCATCGCCAGTGCAAAGCTAGGCAACTCCATCACCTTCTGCTGGCATCCAACAGCAGACAGGTCTCAGTAGCTGTGATCCGCAGCACTCGGACCTGTACCGACCATCAATCTCCGCTGCAAACTCCAAAATCTTTCATCTCTTCTTTCTCCACCTCGCTCTTGTATCGTTGGCACTGCATGAGCAGACTATTGCCTCAAACATCTTTCTTGATATGGCCCTGAGCGCCGCTCTCCGTGCAAGCTTTGGCTTCCTACTTGACCGCCATCACAATGTACCACTCCCCCACACCAACATCCACCTCACTCCCGCCAACGCACTTCAGTCTCTCTTTCGTCGCCAAAGAGACCTCTCACTTCCTATAACACCAGTAGCCATTCTTCCTTTCATGCTCCAATTCGAACATCTTCAAGCTCTTCTTTGCGCTTGGACGCTTCTCGCCATCCTCCTCCTCTTCGCCTTCTGGACCAATCCGAGTGAGGCCTCTTTCAGGCCCTTCCTTACAGACCTTGTCTTCCGCCAGCGCCTCAGACTCCTCGATGACCAAGATGCCGTGCATAGCTCTCATGTCCAGAGCGACAATCTCGCAGATACAGCCTCCAAGCACATCCTATCCGCTCGCAAATCCGACTCCAATGCCTTTTCCTCGTTGCTCTCTACCGCTTCCTACTCTTCTCGCCCATTCGCTCTCACTTTCCGTTCCAAAGTTGCTCTTTCCCTCCGCACTCCGCCCTTCCATCGCAAAGATCTTGGCTTGCTCTCCATAGTCACCATCTCCCAGAGCATGCCCAGTCACTCCCTTTATGACCAACAAAGAACATCTCAGCAGAACAGGCCCCATGCGCCTCCCTCTGGTAATGTCGACCGTTCCATCGATTGCACATCCCTCTTCATTGGAGCTTTCGGCAAGTGGTGGCTTCTGGCCTTTGGTATCCCCGATCTGCCAAGTGCAAGGTCGCAGATCCCTCAGCAGTCAACAAAGGCCGGTCGCGAGGAGTTGGAAGAAAACTTGTCCGACATCGCTGATTGGGGCCTACTAGAGATGCGTGCCCTTGACCCCGAGCCTCAATCGCGACGCAATTCAAACTTTGCACTCAACACCATCGCAGATCAAGCTACCGCTCAGCCACTACCGCGGCATGCGCCTAGCATCGATCTCACCGCTCACCCCGGAACAACAGCATCCTCTACAAATAACCATCTCAATCTCGATACGGAAAACGAGGATTGTCTCAGTATTACCGCCTTGGTATCTCGCTCTCAAAGCGAGATTGTCGATCTTCAGGAACAGCTAGCCTCTGTCAAAAGTGCCTCCACCCGTGCTTGCGAAGCGCTCGAGCTTGACCTTGAGCAGGTCCGAGCCAAGAAGAAGGAAGAGGAAAGACTCAGATCCGATATCAAGACAAGGACAAAGGCTTTAGACGACAGTAAGAGGCAGGTTGAAAGCAGTCGACGTGAGGCAGAGAGGAGACTCAAAGCTGCCAACACATCTCGCGCTCTCAAGCAGGCCAGTATTCAGCAAAGCAAGGACCAGATGGAAATGCTTAACAAAAGACATACCATCATTATCAACAAGAAATCCACCAACGCTGAGAAGAGACTTGAACGATCCCAGCAGCTCTCGGCACTCATCAGCCAAGTTAAGGAGAAGGCTGAGAAGCTACGCGGTGAGATTGATGGATTGCGTCAGCAAGTGCAAGCCGCTCAGCATCAACTGCAGTTCGAGAAGAACAATGCTCGCTATGCTCAACAAGCCGACTTTTCCCGCGATTACCCTCGAGCCGAGCCGCAGCCGCAGCCGTTCATGTGGAATCCTGCAATCCATCCCACCCAGCTGAATGGACACGAAGCGATGTATGCTCACTTGGCCGCAGCACAAGATCCTCTCGTAGATTCTTTGGCTCGAATGGAGGAGCAGCGTGCGTTAGCTGGAAAGCGTTTCAGCTCGAGCCCATTCGATGGCGATGCTGCCCTCTCGATCAACAAGTTGCCCAACGCCCACACGGATGCATATGCCGACCTTGGTACCAGTGTGTTACGCAACGCTTTCCGTCGTGCCAACGCCGCTGCTGTAACAGACGTCCGGGAGATGATGCCCACTGCCTCCCAAGGCCTGGCTAATCCTTCTCTACAAAATGCATCCAACTTCGAGGCGATCAAGCAGGCTTTTCAGCCGACTGTCGCCACCGAGGAAGACGGCCGACAATCATGGTCCGCCTTCGATGTCTGGCAGTCTGATCTGCGTAATGGCAGCGATCGACAAAAGATGCAATGGTCTTCTGGTGGCGCAAATGCTAGTGCCGACTCTTTGCCCCATTTCAACGCTAGCAGCGCATTCCTGCCTCTTGATCGAAGTAACAGTGCTGAGCAAATGCCTTTCTACAATCTTCCAGGCCAGGCCGACTCAGAGCAAATGCGCAACATGTCCAAGGTCAAGAGGGCTTTCCGTTGGCCCTTCAGACCCAGTCAGGTGCAGGATGACCTGGTCTAGCCTGTCCCTCGACAGTCTTAGACGTGGATCCACTCTGCCCCTCTGTCCTCTTTTCGTGAGCCTGTTATCTCTGTGTGTACATCAATGGCGATCCTATCGCTCACTTTGGAAATTACAATCACTCGTACATCAATCATCCTTTGCCTTCTTATGTCTTTCGTCCTTTTGACCTGTCCTCGCAGCGACTAACTGCTGGCGGTCCCTCAGGTAACTTAAGTACATGTCTTTCAAGTCCTATTGCGATGGTGCCATCAAGTACAACAAGATGACGAGTATATATGTCTTCCCAGTATCCTGTCCATTTGCCTGCTGGAACGGTGGAACATGTTACGGATCCGAGTGAGCCAAGCTAATGAAAATGTGAGATCGAAATAAAACTCACACAGTTCCACTCTTCTACTTAATTTAATTCAACACACGTGTCAGCAGTCGCGTGCCAGAAACCTGAAAGCTGTTGTAGAAACCTAGTATAACTGATGTCCATGAAAAGTGCAACAAGGTTTTCCTTACTTTTGATCTCCACAAGATATGCTGCAAGGGTGTGTAATGGTAGGTTTCAACTAACTGTTGTGAGCACTTCATTCAGAGGATACACAGCACATTGGGTGGGATAAGGTTGTCTTGCTGTGACTATACCAAGTACAGGATGTCGACATCTGTTGTAGCATGAGTATTTGTAATGCTGGCAGTTGCTCAACAGTAGTTGAGAGGTGTCTGGACCACAATAGAGTTATTGCCTGCAGATGGGTTTGAGCCAGACTGCAGTAGAGACACTGCCTTCGGTGGATGACTGGACCGCAGTGGAGACACTTTTCAGCGGTCGCACACCTGGAACCCGAAATCTATTGTAAAAGCCAACTAGAATTGGTCTTGGCAAAATCTATTGTAAAAGCCTTTTATGATCTTTCTTGCTGGAATAGATTGTAACAATGATTTAGAATGCATTCTGACTAACCACTGTGGACATTCCATCCAGTGGTAGCATGGCACAATCAAGGTCCTAGAGAACCTACTTGGACCACACCAGGGTGTGTTGCAACAGCATCTGTGTTGACATGAGCATCTGTAATGTTGACAGTTGCACAATTGAGTTGATTGATTGATAACCAGACTGCAGTGGATGACTGCCTTTGGTAGGAGATCAAGAGTTCCAGACTGCAGAGTCTGCCTTTTGTATTGATCAGTATCCAGACTGCAGTAGAGTACTGCCTACAGATGCTGTCAAATAGTGGTAATACAACACACTCACTATAATAGAAGCAATGGCCTGCAATTGCAACTGGTTGACAGAAACAACTAAGTATATGATAAGGTAAAGATATAGCTAGTTAAGTATAGAGTGGATGAGGATCCACTCAACAACTATGAAAAAGGGAATGTGTAGTTATATAGATGTTCTTGCAGTGTCACCTGCAACACTTCTCTTGCTCCTCTCAGGGAGTGTAGGTTCTCCTTTGGCACTGCTCCTCCTGCTTCCTGTCCTGTCTTCGCTCCTATTCCTCGTACCCCTTGTCTCCAAGCTGGAGTGAGGGCGAGCGACTGTAAGCGGTTGCGTGCCTGAAACCTGAAAACTGCTATAGAAATCTAGTATGACAGAATACAACAGATTCCCATGATAAGTGTGGGAATCATATCCTTACATTGTAATTCCATGGGATGTACTGTAAAGATGAATAAGAGTAGGTCTTGACTAACCACCTTGAATGCTCCATTCAGAGGCTATGTGGCACGTCAATGGATGAGGATGATCTTGCTATATTATGACAGGAGTGAGGCATCGACGTTGTCATAGGGTCTGCGCAGAAGACCCGAAATGAGGTATGGGGTGCCTTGTGCGCACAAAATGTGAAATCTACTTGATCACAGGTTTCCAGTTGATTTCACCAACAACAACTGCATCATGAGTTTCCAATCGATTTCACCAAATGCGCCACAAGAAGCTCCCATCAGTACAGAACGGGCCAATCGGCGATGAGGAAGCAATGGGAGGTTTGGAAGAGAAGGTCTCCATCATCAAGGGTAAAGGATAGGATAACAGAAAAGGTTTCACATGCAAGGAGCAGGTCCAAGTTCAGCCAAGAAGAGGACAGAGCTCAGGAGCATGAGGTAGGTTACCACACAGGGGGGGCTTGCTCAGGATCACATGGGACCAGTCACAAGGGAGGCTGCATGGATGGGAGCAGGACAATAAGGGTGATCACACAGTCAGGGGCCCACCAGATAGGGGTCAGGAGAACAGCCATGGATTGAGAGGAGAGGGAGATGGACCAAGGGGACCAACATGGGAACCATGAGGAGGACGGGCAGTGTTGAGGAGGTCAACACACAGCTCAAGGGAGAGGAGGAGACAGGAGGAGGATGGGAACACTCTCCAAGAGGAGCAGGAGCGATGCCATGGACGACACCCTCCAAACACATAGATACTACCACTTCACCATAGCATATGAGTGGATCCTCATCCACTCTACTCTTTATCTTACTTACTCTTGACTTGTATCATTGCAATAGCATAGCTTTGCAATGACATCTTGAACATGTGTGTTGTATCACCATCAGATGTCAACTGTAGCTGGTGTTCCTCAACACCTGCAGTCCAGTTTATCCCTGTAGGTGGTGTTGCTCAACATCTGCAGTCCAGTCAGTTACTGTAGGTGGTGTCAAAGCACTTGCAGTCCAGTACATTCCATCATCTGTAGGCAATAAGTCTTATTGCAGTCCAGATGACAACAAGAGCAATTAGCACTATGAACACTTGTGCTGCATTAGGAGAGTTGTGTCTGATACCACTCTCACCTCAATGTGTTATGGACATGCTGCACAGCCTCTGAACGGAGTGTTCAAGGCGGTCAGCCGAAACCTACCAGAACTCAACTGTCTGGTGTCAGAGGTCACACACCAGAAACCTGAAATCGGTAGTAGAATGAATACTGCTACAGAACCTGTCGAGATATGTGGTAATGTGCTGTGTATTATGATTCTTGTTGAGATATGTTGTAGAGAGGCCTCTATGACTTTCCTCACTCAAATCTGTGATAGATTGATTGTTATTGCAGGTTTTGACTGACCACTGTGGACACTCCATCCAGAGGTAGCTTGGCATGATCAATACTATGAATGTATTATGATGACACCAAGGTCTGGTGTGAATGGTGTTGTTGGTGCTGACACAAGTGTCCAGTGTGTTGACTGAATGCTTGAAGTGATCCCTGGACTGCAGTGGATGACTGCCTTTGGTTCTATGATCACAAGCCAGACTGCTGGTTGCTATGAACCACCTTCAGTGTCGATTGTTATCCGGACCACAGTTAATACTGCCTTTGGATGTCAGTGAATGGTGATACAACACACATGCTACAATGGAAGCAAACTACTATGATTGCAACTTGCTGACAGAATACTAAATATACTTATGAGAAGTTATAGCTAGTAATATATGGTGTAGAGTGGATGGGGATCCACTTGCTTGCTGTGACAAGGGGCATGGTTATATAACCATTCCTGAGGCATCGCCTGCAATGCTGCTCCTACTCTGGGAGGCCTCGTCGACTCTGCTCCTCCTCCTCATCCTTCCTATCCTGTCCATCCTTCTTGTGCTACTTCTCATGGTCACTGCTCCTCTCACTTCCTGTGGATGGATGGTTCTTGTGCTACTTCATCATTGTCAGGGGCCATCCCCACTTCATCTGAGTGGCAACTTGCATCTGTTCATCACCCTCCTGTCATTAGCACCCATCTGCTTGCATCAACTTCATCATTGTGCAAGGTCCCTACTTCATCTGGTGGCAACCCCCTTGTTCATTGTTACCCCTTGCTGTATCAGCAATAGAGGTTTCCCTTGGGCCGATTCCTGTGAGATCTGTAGCAGCGAGTGTGGTCCTGCTGATTCTATTGACTCCTGTAGTATGACCAGTGTTCCTACTGATCTTGACAAGTTATGTCATAGAGCTGTTGATCCTACTGATCTCACTGAACTCTGTTGGAACTCTACTTTCACCCAATCCATGATGGTTGCGCAAGATCTCTCCATATGAGTCCCGTTTGTCCTGCACATCCATTCGATCCCATGACATCTGGTTACTTTCACCCGAAACATATCGAATAAGGCATACTCAATTGATCTCACCAAAACCAACCGGAAGTACCCAATCTGGTTTCAGGCGCGCGACCGCTTACAAGAAGCAAGGAGACAAGGAGCAGTGCCGTGAAGCTCAGCACACAGCTCAAGGAGAGGAGGAACAAGAAGGTCAGAAAAGTTGAAGAGCGTCATCGAGATCAATCGGTGGTGCGTCGAAGTCAATGATCACAAGTGTCGATTGCGATGATGAATGATTTCTAAGTACATGGTGAATCAAGCGTTTATATATGCCTCAGCTCTCCCTGTATGCATGTATGTGGTACTAAGAGCCAATAGGGCAGGAGCATGAGGAAATAACTAAGAGGTTGAGGAGGAAAACACTGGCTGTCTGGTGACCAGTGTCTTGAGGTTCAGCAGTTGGCCTAGACAATGCACTAACTCTGAGTGAGCAAAGTTGGTGATTGGATGTGTGGGCTCGGCGAAGGCTGCATTTGCATGCTTCAATCGCCGAGACACCACATGCTTCAACTGGAAACACTCCTCAGGAGGAGCAGGAGCGGTGTCGCAGGCGACACCTCACAAACACATAAATACTCTCACTTCACCATAGCATGCGAGTGGATCCTCATCCACTCTACTTTACATTTACTTACTCTTTACTTAGTTATGTTTGCATCATTGCAATAGCAGGGCTTTTGCAACAACCTCTCGATTGCATGTGTTGCATCACTGTTGGAAGTCAACTGTAGGCAGTGTTCTTCAACACTTGCAGTCCAGTCAATCACTGTAGGCGGTGTTGCTCAACATCTGCAGTCCAGTACCTCCTGTCTGTCAGGGGTCACACGTCTGAAACCCGAAATCTGTAGTAAAAAGACAACTACTACTAATCTTATCAAGATCTGTGGTAAAGGCCCTTTATTATTATTCTTGCTGAAATCTGTCATAGAAGCCTTCTATGACTTTTCTCACTCAAATATGTGGTAGCTTGAAGGTTATCACAGGTTTTGACTGACTGCTGGGGACACTCCATCCAGAGGTAGCTTGGCACAATCAATATCCTATAGATACCTTGAGATAAGGTGGCACCAAGGTCTGATGCTAATGTGATGGCTTTGACATGAGTGTCCAGTGTGTCAATGAGTTGAGTAGGTGATCCCCAGACCACAGTGGACAACTGCCTTCAGTTCTAATGATCAAGAGAGCTGGACCACAGTGTGAACCGCCTGTCATGGGCCTGAATGCTCAAGAAGCAGGAGGGTCACTGGTTCATATGGAAGGAGCACAGGTATCAGAGATCTAGTCGATACCAGTAGAGAGCATGGTCATAGTGCAGTCTCCATGGAGACCATGGACTCCTACAGACTCACATGTGAGGAGGGCCAGGCACAGCCACGAAGAGGACCAAGCTCAAGGAGCAGGCACAGCCACAAAGAGGACCAAGCTCAAGGAGCATGCAGATGGTTACCACTCAGGGGCTCGAGAGACAAGAGTCAAAGGAACCATCACCAGTCAAAGGAGAAGGAGCAGTGTAGAGGGAACTGGCAAGCAGGTCCTGAGGAGGAGGAGCAGTGTCGAAGGAGTTGTCACCACTCAGGAGGCACAGGGGTGCCAAACAAGCAGGATAGCAAGGAGGAGGAGCAGTGTTGAAGGAGTCGACACAGCTCAAGAGGCACAGGGGTGCCAAGCAAGCAGGAGAGGCCCCCTGAACAGTACTCGATGAAGAAGGTACCCTCTGGAGAGAGAGCAAGAGCAGCATCACTGGCGACACTGTGAAGAGGTATATAACCATACTTTCTCATCATCAAAGGTCAAGTGGATCCTCATCCACTCTACACCCATCATAACTAGTTATCACTTCAGCATAAGTATATATTAGTTTCAGTCAGCATAGTAGCAATCTATCAAGGTTGCTCCTCATTGTAGTGCATGTGTTGTATCACCACTACCTGACATCTGAAGGTGGTTCATAGCAGGTTAGCAGTCCAGATCAAGATAGAACCAAAGGCAGTAGTCCACTGCGGTCCAGGGATCACTTCAAGCATCAAGTCAACACACTGGACACTCGTGTTGATGCCACCAACCCTATCACCAACACCATCAACCTCATTACCATCAACACTCACTGACCTTATCACCGACACTGTCAACCTCATCATCATCAACACTCACACCAGACCTTGGTGTCATCATAACCTACATATTGATATTGATCATGCTGAGCTACCCCTGAACAGAGTGTCCACAGAGGTCAGCCAAAACCTATGATAGTATATACAACAAACACCACCCACTGTCATCGCACAACTTGATAGTTGCCAAACAACTAGCTCATCGAGACCAATACCAAGACAATAGCTGTCACACAGTTTGATAGTCACCAAGCATCTCGACAGACCGACCTGGGTTTCAGGCGCGAGACCCCTGACACCGCCTTCGGTATTGATCATGATCCAGACAACAGAATGAACCACCTTTGGATGTTGTCAAGAAGCAGTGATACAACACATGCACTATGTAGGTGCAATGCTCTGCAAGTGCAACTGTTGACAGAACTACTAATGTATACTTATCTGAAGTTATAACTAGCAAGATATGGTGTAGAGTGGTTGAGGATCCACTCAACTACTATGACAAGGAGCATGGTTATATAACTATTCCCACAATGTTGCCTGCAATGCTGCTCCTGCTCTGGGAGGCCTCCTTCAACACTGCTCCTCCTCCCCTTGTCCTTCCTATCAGTTCTATCCACTTTGTGATGCTGCTCATTGGCACCACTTCCCTTGCTTCCTGTGGATGGACAGTCCTTGTACTGCTTCAACATTGACAGGGGCCATTCCCACTTCATCTGAGTGGTGACTCACACCCCTTGTTCATCTTGCCCATCCTCATGCTCCAAGTTCATCATCAAGTTGTCCCCCCTGCTTCATCAGGGTGGCAGACCTGGTGTCCTCAACATCTGTCCTGCTGTGGGATCTGTGGAATCAGCACCCCTTGCACCAGCTTCCACAAGATCCATCATACAATCATGATACTACAGATTCTGGTGGGATTTGTTGTACAAACCTGCTCATGCTGATTTGGATGAGATCTGTCATAGAGCCTCTCTACTACAGATCTCAATGAACTCTGCTGTAACCCTCGTTTTGCCCAATCCTGCGATTCCTGTGCTCCTCCTCATATGACATCTATTCTTCCTGCTTCTGCGCATCTGGCCCTATGACGCTGTCATCTGTAGGCGATAATCTTATTGTGGTCCAGTTAATGACGAGGATCATCAAGCAGCAGCACTACAAACACTTGTGCTGTAATGGGGAATTGTACCTTATATCAATTCCAATCAAAGTGTTACAGACATGTTACATAGCTTCTGAACAGAGTGTTCAAGGCAGTCAGTCAAGACCTACCAGAACTCAGCTGTCTGGTTACTTTCACCAAAACATACTGAACAGAGCTTACTCAGTTGATCTCACCAATATGAACTGGAAACACCAAACCTGGTGTAAGCGGTCATGTGCCATAAACCTGGAAACTACTATAGAAATCTAGTATGGCAGATTTCTGTGAAAATCATGATAGTGTTCCTTTACATGGAATAGGCTACAGAGGTCTGATACAATAGATTTCTATGAAAGGTGCAGTAACAATTCCTTATGTTGTAATTCCACAAATTATGCTGTAAGGGTGATTAGGAGTAGGTCTCAACTAACCACCTTGAATGCTCCATCCAGAGGCTATGCAGCACATCAATGAGAGAATGATCTTGTGAGGTTATGCTATGGGTGTGGTGTCAACAACAGCAGAGACACAAGCATTCATAGTGTTTGCCAATTGCTTGACAATGTGATGATGTCTGGACCACAATACAGTATTGCCTACAGATGGATTTCAAGCTGGACCACAGTGGAGAACACTGCCTTTGGATGACATCCCAGGTGATATAATGCATGCACTTGAGATGACCTGCAATGCTCTGCAATTGCATGGTATGGAACAAAGTAAAGAGTGAAATAAGTAGTAGATAGAGTGGATAGGGATCCACTCATATGCTATGATGGAATGAATGTATATATGTGTTTGTGCAGTGTTGCCGCAACACTGCTCCTGCTCCTCCTGCTCCTCCTAGATGTGTAAACACTTCCATTGTTGGGCTGCTCCCTCTCCTTAGAACAGTGTTGATCCCTTCAACACTGCTCTTCCTCCTGAACGATGTGGTGGTCCCATGACATGGTTCCCTTGTCTTGTGAATGCCACTGTTCATGTGGACACTCCTATTGTTCCCTTCCCTTCCTTGTGAGCTTGTCCATTGTTCTCCTCCCCATCTGGTATGCTACCATTCCCCTATGTGGTAACTTTCTGCATGCTCCTATGCTCAGACCTCCTATGCTTGGAGCTCCTATGTGCTTCCAAGCCCCTTATTGCAGTTCACATGACAAAAATGGTCAAACTAACTTGCTATGACCGTTTTTACTGAAAATGATTGTAACTAAGCAATCCAACTGTTTTCGCATTTTCGTGTGCATGCTGCACATCCATGCATGTACAGGGTCTTCTGCGCAGACCCTGTGACAACCTTCTGGTTCTTTTCACCGAAACAGTTCAGAAGGAGCTTACTCGATTGAACTCACCGAGATCAACCAGGTTCAACCAACTCAGATTTCAGGCGCGCGACCGCTTACACTTGCCACATAGTCCGCGATCCAAGTTGACATATTTGGCCACCGGTAGTGTCGCTTTGCCGATTGTAACGTGGCATCCTGCCCTACATGGCTTGCTGTGATGCCGTCATGTTGGAGATTACGATCCAGTCCGATCTAGAGGATGACACAGATCAGATCTGCAAGAGATCGGGCAGGGCAGGTTTGATCAGAGATCGAAAGAGGCAGATCTGATCAGGTATTGGGAAGGACAGATCTGATCAGGATCAGGCAAGACCAATACAAGAGAGGGATTGGGTACAACCATGTCCCACTTGTTGCTATACACGGTCATTAGATAGGATGCGCCCACACTCGGGCATGTGCCACACACTTGTATATATAGCTAGCAGGGGGCTCGAGGCTCCCGCCACATTCTTTTCCTATGTCATTTTAGTATAGTGTTTTGCTCCTTAGCTCGAACACCGTACTGAGACTGATATCTCCCGATCTCTGTCGCCAAGTGTCATCGTTATTTCAACACGTCATGACATTGCGACATCACCATAAATTGTAATTATTCAACAGAGAGGGATTGTTTGTCTACCTCTCTAGCGCTGCGTGTCTTCCGCTCATTGGTTTTACCAGGCATAGTCACCTTTGGAATGTCCAATCACCCGTCTTTATACCATAGTTTGTCCTTGAGCTCGAATGGTGTTTTAGCATGTATATCACGGAGCTCCTTATCCAGAGATTGAAAGATCCTGGTCAATTAATGGAGTCCTTGTGTTGCTATTGACTCCATGTCTGGCGTAGTGGCCACTAGTGCTGAGTATCCACCATAACTGGGCGTTTCGGTGGATTCGCTGTAATCGGTCGTTTTGTGCCTTTCAGACCGATTTCCGCTTCTACCTCCTCGAACACTCGAGACGGCAGCACTGTCGCATGTTGTGCTCCTGCTCCTTGCCTGCAGGCTCCATGTCCTTTCGTCGGGTTAGAGCGTCGGGTTCACCCGCCTTTGTGGAGAGAATAATGGAAGACGGGTGTCTGATAAAAGATTAAAAGGTGGGGGTGTCGATACTCAGCGATCGACGTCAATCAGAGCACAGTACTGCTGCTATTAGGGCAGAAACACTATACTCATTTGACTAAGGAACGTGGTGAGAGCCTAGAGCTCTCAGCTTGATATATATACATCTTCGCGGCATGTGCCGAGTGTGAGAGTATCCTACTTAATGATGAAGCGTGACAACCAGCAGGACTAAGTTGTACCCGATATCTGATCAGGTCGGCTCTGCCCGATCTTTTCAGTATCGGCTTCCGTCAACTTGAATCATCATATTGAATCGTTATCTTCAGCAGTGTCGACACTCAGCGGTCGACAACAGTCTAAGCACAGTGTTCAAGCTATTGAGCAAAAACCCTATACTATATTGACCTAGAGAAAGAATGTGGTGAGCCTCGAGCTCTCCGCTCAATATATATACAAAGTAGCGGCACATGCCAAAGGTGGGAGCATCCCCCTTGAAGACGAAGTATAACAACGAGCGGGACCCAATAGTACCCGATCCCTCACTAATATCGGCTCCGCCCGACCTCTTACCATTTCGACTTGTGTCACTTTTAGTTTCTTTGCTGGATCGTTGCCTTCAGCAGTCGTTTGAATCCTTTTTATTAGTTAGGACAAAAAAATGATTTTTCACACTTCAGACGTTCGCGTTTAAATAGGGGACCGATTAACTTAGCGTGTCATAGACTGTCTTTTGTCATGGAATCTTTCGACCACTTTTGTGATAAAATAATAGAAAGAGATGGTTATTGACGCTTGACGGTCGATATAAGCCAGAGCACAGTATTTCAGCTATTGAATAGAAATACTATACTATATTGACCTGAGGAAGAACATGGCGGCAGCCTGGAGCTCTCCGCTTGATATATATGCATGGTAGCGGCACATGCCAATGCAGAAAGTGCTGAAGATAACAATCCAGCAGGGCATTAAAAGCGACATAAGTCGATGTGACGAGAGATCGGGTAGAACCAATTTGATCAGAGACCGGGCAGAGCCGATACAGAAGGAATTGGAGACTGCTGGGTCCCGCTCGTTGTTGTACCTTGTCATTAAGTGGGATGCTCCCACCTCTGGCATGTGCCAACACCATGTATATATATCAAGCAGAGAGTTCGAGGCTACTACCACGTTCTCTGTGTCATCTTTTAGCATTTTACTGGATCGTTACCTTCAGCAAATGACTCATGCTGTGATGCATCACCATTAATTAACAATAGGCACGCAACATAACTTACAAACTTGTGCGCCTTTGATCTGGTCCCAAGAGAATTCGATGACAAAAAATAGCGGAAAAAGTTAAGATACAAATTGAGGAAATAATATTAGAAGGACGAGTGTCGACACTCAGCGGTCGACGACAGTCAGAGCACAGTGAGAAAAGAAGAGTGACACTTCGCGACGTTGATCGGGAGATGCCAGTCTAAGTACGGTGTTCGGGCTAAAAACGAAAAAGCTTACATAAGCTGCGCAAAGGGAAAAAAAAAACCGCGTTTTTTAAAAACACAGGTCAGGAGACGGTATTGTGAAAACATGGAAGGGTTATCACTCCACATCTTCTCTCCTTTCCTCACTCTCATTGCACTTTTGCTCACTCCCTCTTCCTTGCACTCATTCAACATGACCTCCTCCACTGATGATTCTTGTGACATCTCTGCAGAGTTGTTATGCCAGTCCACTACACCTACAATCTCTGCAACTCACATTGAAAGTGTGCCTGCACTGTCTCAATCTGGTTCTACAAGTGCTTCTGACATCTGCACTTCCTATCCAACTTGAGCCTCTAGATCTGCCACAGGCAAGAAGAACTTCACATGGTCAGGTGCCAATGTTCTTCACCTTGTCACAATCCTCTACAACAGCAAGTCCTACCAGCATGCTCTGCTGCCATCTTGAGAATCAGCTGAGAGCAATCCAGCCCTCAAACTTCACAAACATCCCATTTTTTGGGAGATCTCCAAGATGATTTTCCCAGGTGCATCTGTCAATCCCAATTGCATCAAGGCCAAGCTGAGGTGGCTGCTAGAGACATACTACAGGGAGAAGAAGAAGCTTTCACTCACTGGAGCTGGTATGCTGCTGGAGGACATGGATGCATCCAACCTGGTAAGTTTTTGTGATCTTTGTTGCTTGCAATGGTATGCTTGAATGCTGATTCATACTTTCAATTTTAAACAGTCCTACATATCTCACATTGCCCTGTCAACAAAGTACACTTGGTTTGAAAGGATGCACAAGATGATGAATGGCTGATTCTATGCCAATCCCACAGCACTTATCACAACTCCCAGTCTTGACTTCACCAGTGATGACAAGGCTGACATGCCTTCCAATGGCTCAGCTGACATACCCATGGATATTTGTGGCAGCAAGCTGTATGATCACAGCACTCACAGCTGTGGTTTGCCTCCTATTCTCAACTTGATGGAACCCACCAACCCCCCTGCTGCTGTTGCATCCACTTCTGGTGCATCCTTTGCTGGTGCTGGTGATGATGACATTTTTACCACACCTTTGCCTTCACCTTTGCAGGCTCAACCACCTTCCTCCACTGCTGGTGGCTTGGATGTCTTTGATTCCACCTCTTTTCAACCTTCAGCCCAGCTCTCTCCAAGCACCAAGCACAAGCAAGGTGCCCTTGATCACAAGTGCAACACACTTGCTGAAGCTTTCTATCATTCTTCCATTGATACCCTTCAGATCCACCTGCAGCTTGAACAGGAATGCACCAGACATGAGAAAATACTGGAGGCTGAGCATACCAAGCATGAGGAGATGCACATGCAGCACGAGAGGGAGGAGAAAGAGTGCAATGAACACATTCTCATGTGTGATCATGACATGGTGATGGAGATGGTGTGCCTCCTTGCTTCTCAGGCCAGTGGTGAACAGGACACTCATCAGAACACCAGCAACAACAACAACACAGACTCTTCATTCAATCTTCCTGTCTTGTAGCATTACATGTACCATCATCCAGTCTCAATGCAAAGTCATTTCTGAGTGTTTTTCTGTAGAGTGCAAGTATGAGGTGAATAAAAATGATGTGCAGTGCAGTCATGTAATGAGCTCCAAAGCATTTAAACAAATTTTTCCACTCTCACACCTCTTCCATTACTACCACCACTCCACTCTGCAACCTTTTGGCATTGCTCTTGTTGCCATCCCCCCTCTCCATGCTCCCTCTCCAACCCCCTTCCTCCTTCCAGCCATGGTGTGCTATGTCATGGGCCTGGATGCTCAAGAAGCAGGAGGGCCACTGGTTCATATGGAAGGAGCACAGGTATCGAAGATCTAGTTGATACCAGTAGAGAGCATGGTCGTAGTGCAGTCTCCATGGAGACCATGGACTCCTACGGACTCACATGCAAAGGAGGACATGAGCCACATGCGAGGAGGGCCAGGCACAGCCACGAGGAGGACCAAGCTCAGATGGTTACCACTCAGGGGCTTGAGAGACAAGAGTCAAAGGAACTGTCACCGGTCAAAGGAGAAGGAGCAGTGTATAGGACACTAGCAGGCAGGTCCTGAGGAAGAGGAGCAGTGTCAAAGGAGTTGACACCAGGTCATGAGGAGAAGGAGCAGTGTCGAAGGAGTCGACACCACTCAAGAGGCACAGGGGTGCCAAGCAGGAGAGGCCCCTGAGCAGTACTCAATGAAGAAGGTACTCTCTGGAGAGAGAGCAGGAGCAGCATCGCTGGCGATGCTGTGAAGAGGTATATAACCATACTTTCTCATCATCATAGGCTGAGTGGATCCTCATCCACTCTACTCACCATAACTAGTTATCACTTCAGCATAAGTATATATTAGTTTCAGTCAGCATAGCAGCAATCTATCAAGGTTGCTCCTCATCATAGTGTGTGTGTTGTATCACCACTACCTGATGTCTGTAGGTGCCTCATAGTAGGTTAGCAGTCTGGATATAGATAGAACCGAAGGCAGTAGTCCACTGCGGTCTGGGGATCACTTCAAGCGTCAAAGTCAACACACTGGACACTCGTGTTGACACCACCAACTTTATCACCAACACCATCAACCTCGCTATCATCAACATTCATCAACCTTACCTTAACACCAACGTCATCAACCTCATCATCATCAACACTCACACCAGACCTTGGTGTCATCATAACCGAAGCATTGCTATTGATCGTGCTGAGCTACCCCTGAACGGAGTGTCCACAGAGGTCAGCCGAAACCTACGATAGTATATACAACGAATGCCACCTGCTGTCACTGCGCAATTTGATAGTCACCGATACCGGGACAATAGCTGTTGCACAGTTTGATAGTCACCGAGTATCTCGACAGACCGACCTGGGTTTCAGGCGCGAGACCCCTGACATGCTACAGCAACAAGCAAGTAATTCTCAACAACATTGTCTGCACTCTTGAGCTCTCTATACCTGCAGAGGTCATCCAAAATGCTGACAGAGTGCAGCACTCCTGCAGCACTGACATTGACAACTTGGATGACAATGGCAACCCACTTCTGCTCTCATGACACCTTGTCTGCTTGTACACTTTCATATGCAAGCAAAGGTACACAATCACATGTTACACTCCTCTTGGCTGCACCAATAAGCTTATCCACCTTCTCAACAGGTACAAATCAAGCAATCATAGGATGTATCATGGACTTGTTCATATGTCCCCTGAAGCATTCAACAATCTTGCCATGTGACTCCAGAAAACAGAGGCTTTCCAGTGGAACTACAGCAGCTCAGGTTTGATGTCTCTCAACAGAGTGCAAGAGATCCTTTCAGTGGCTCTGTACAGACTAGGCCATTCTGGAAATGGAGGTGGTGAACATGACACTGCTTTGCAATGCAGCTGTGGTGTTGGGAGCATTGTTGGATACACCAATCACACAGTCAATGGCCTCCTTGAGCTAAACAATGAGGTCATGCAGTTTGCTTCAGAGGGAGAGAGACAACATGCTTCTGCCTGGGTGTGCAATACAACTGGGGTTGAAGAGTGGGGTAAGGGCTGGCTTGTGGTGGATGGCATGCACATCCCTCTTGCCTGGAAGCCAGGAGTGCTCAGTCAAGAGCACTTCTGCTATAAAGGCTTCCACAGCATCAATGTAGCACTGGTGATCCTGCCACACTCACTGCAGATTGTTGAATCAGTTGTTGGACAGCCTGGCAGCATTCAGGATTCAAAGGTTTGGACCTCAGGCAGCAACATCCTCAAGAAGCCTCACCTGTACCTTGATGAAGGTGAGTTCACCTGGGTTGATGGTGGATATGGCCATTCTGCCTTCACAGTTGGACCATTCTCTCACATTGCTGCTGACAAGAGTTGAGACCTTCAACACTTCAACTACATGCTCTCTTGAGTCTGAGTATGAGTTGAACATGCCATTGCATACCTGAAGAACTGCTTCCAGTGCCTTACAGGCTATTGTGGTAACATCTACCATGTCAAGGACTGCATCACTGCTGCCAAGATGATCCAAGCCTGCATTGTTGCACACACCTTTGCAAGTTGATATGACTGTCCTGCTGATATTGCCAACCTGCTGTTGCCCTCTTTCTCTGAGGATGAGGTGAATGAGGTTGTTCAAAGCCTCCAACTTGATGCCAGGGATACATGAGAGCTCAGGAGGACAAGATGCACAAATCAGCACAGATACAAACTGGATTTTGCCTCTGCAATGCAAGGAATGTTGCAGTATGCAGTGTCAAGACTTCAAAGTTCTGCTGCACATGATCTTCAAGAGGATTTGTTCCAGGTGCTGTTCAGATCCACTGGGCACACTGAGGAAGACACTACTGCATTGTCTTGACATCATGAGAGGACTACTGTGGACTACAATGCCATGACTCAAAGTGCTTCAGCTTGGAGACAGGAGCAAGTCTTGACACAACCATTCTTGATCTGACAGGCACTCTCTCTTCTGCTGTTCAATACAACTCTTCTCACCACCATATGAAACATTACATTGAGTGCATTGTGTGAAGAGGAAAGCAAGATATAAGCAAGCAATGGGTGATAGCAATGAGAGCAGGACAAGTAACATATGCTCACTGTTAGGTTACATCTCTTATTGGCCATATGACTTCATCGCATTTTTGGAAACCTGCATTTCCTTGGGGGGGGGGGTTCAAATTCCCTCCAAAAATGTGCTTTTCAAAAAACCCGCATTTTTAAAAATGCAAAAACTTTGATACCCCCTAAAGAGCAAAACACTATACTATATGGAGTGGGACATGCTTGTACCTGATCCCTCTCTTGTAACAGTCTTGCCTGATCCTGATCAGATCTGTCCTTCCCAATACCTGATCAGATCTGCCTCATTTGATCTCCAATCAAATCTGCTCTGCCTAATCTCTTGCAGATCTGATCTATGTCATCCTTTAGATTGGACTGGATTGTAATCTCCAACACCCCCTCTCGACCTGGTTCATCCTTATCATACTGTCAGGTCTAACAATCATTGAAGATATGTAAGTCTTGGTGTGGCAAGGGGCTTGGTCAGGATGTCCACAAGATTCTCGCTACTTTGGACAGGAGCTATTGTGAGTTGGCCATCAGTGACTTCATCCCATAAGAAGAAATGTGCAATGTCAATGTGTTTTGTCCTCTTGAAATGCTGTGGATTGTTAGCAATAACTCAAGCTCCAGATGAGTTGCTATACAAAATTGGTATGGTCAGGTCAAGTGCTAGTTCTCCATTGTGTGAGTGCAGTGCCCAGGTTTGGCAGTCACATGGATTGCCAATGTCCTTGATAGTGATTGGTCCAGTTCTTTTAGGAACATGGATGTCCATAGCATTTCCCTTGCTGCAGCTGTTAGTGTGACATACTCTGCTTTGACTGAACTGTTTGCTACAGTTGGTTGGAGTTGGGAGGACCAACTACATACAAACCTGTCAATGGCAAAGATGTACCCTGTCATTGAGCAACTACATTCTTGTGATCCTGCCCAGTCTGAGTCCATCCAACCTTTTAACACCTGTCTGCTGCTAACCTGGCTTGCTACTAGGCTTATGTCAATCATTCCTTTTAAGTACTTGATGATCCATTTGGCAACTACTAGGTGCTTGCTTGATGGGTTGGCAACAAAATGAGCACACTGTCCAACTGCAAAAGCTATGTCAGGTCAGGTCCCTTGTGCGATCCAGAGTAGCAATCCAACCAGTGAAGTGTAGTACCTGATCTCCTCAGCATTGGCTCCTTCACCTTGTTGCAGACCCATTTTGTTGAATGCTTCTGTGGCTAGTGATTGTGCTGACCAGGCTTCATGCAAGCCAAACTTTTCAAGGATTCCCTTGATGTATCTGCTTTGATCAATTGAAAGGGTGTGTGATTCATGATCATATTTGTTGTTCATGCCAATGATGTGTGACATGTTTCCCTGGTCCATGATGCTGAAGATGTTGGATAGCTGCTGTCTGACTGATCCGATGTGTGACAATGTTGCCCCAATGACAAGTAGATTGTCAATGTAGACTGCAAGCATCACCATGGTGTCTTTGATTCCCCAAGTGTAGACACATGGTTCCATGCAACATTGTTTGAATCCAAATGCCTGTAGTTGTTCATTGAGGGCAGCATGCCAGAGCTGGCCTGCCTGCTTGAGACCATAGAGGGCTTACCTGAGGTGGTAGCACTTCCCATCATTTTCGTGCGTTTTGTCATGGAGATGGATGGATGCACAGGAAGAACGGGAGTCAGATGAAGTGACCATGTGCAACAATCATGGATTGGGCTACACGAGGTTTCTGACAGAGATCAGTGAGATCAGTAGGATTGAAGGCTCTATGGCAGAACCTGTCAAGATTGGTAGTAGCAGAGGCCTTACTACAGAATCCATTGGGATCAGTAGTATCCAGCTCATACAACAGATTTCCTGAAGACTGGTTTGAGGATATGTCTATCACTGATCTCACAGCTGGTGGGTAACATATGAAGAAGGGGCTTGCCACCCGATGAAGAAGGGGACTCAATACACTAGTGAAAGTGGTGCAGGGAGGTGGGCATCATTGTAGAGGAGCATGATGAAGGAGGGGTGCTTCACACTTGGATGAAGTGGGAGTGACCCCTATCAGTGATGAGGTAGCACTGGTGCTCTGTGACACAGGAGCAAGAGGAGTCATGCTTGACAAGGGAGAGGCACCCCTATAGAAACCACTGACACAATGTCGCAGGCAACAGTGTGATAACACCTATATAACCATGCTCATCACTATAGTCGTTGAGTGGATCCCCATCCACTCTACACCATATGTTACTAGTTATTGCTTTCACATAAGTATACATTAGTACTCCATCAACAGTAGCAATTGCAGAGCATTGCTTCTATGTAGCGTGTGTGTTGTATCACCGCTCACTGACATCGATCAACACCGAAGGCGGTTCATACTGCGGTCCGGGGATCACTTCAAGCACTCAGTTGACACACTGGACACTCGTGTTGGTGCCCACAGCATCACTCACACCAGACCTTGGTGTCAGCACAATACATCTAATGCTATTGATTGTGCCAAGCTACCTCTGGATGGAGTGTCCACAGCAGTCAGTCAAAACCTGCAATAGCAATTGATCTATCACATATGTGAGTGAGAAAAGTCATAGAGGCCTTCTACAACAGATCTTGACCAAAATAATAATACATGGTATCTTACCACATATCTCGACAGGATCAGTAATAGAAGTGGTTCTACTACAGATATCAGGTTTCAGGCGCGAGACCCCTGACACGTTTCAAATATAGGAGGAATCTGCATGTGGACAACCTTGTCTATTTTTCCTTTCAAGAACGCTGTACTCACATCGAGTTGAGTGGCATGAAGTCTGTATCAATGGGCAAGGGCAAGGAGTATACACACTGTTTGGAAGTGAACAGCCAGACTGAAAGTTTGGTTGTAGTCTAGGCCAGGTCTTTGTGTGTAACCTTGTGCAACAAGTCTTGCCTTATACCTAGTGGCACAACATTGTGCATCTAGCTTCAACTTGTATACCTAGCTCACTCCAATGAGTTTACCATCTGTGGGGATGTCCACTAGCTCAAAGACATTCATTTTTAGCATGCTGTCCATATCAGTGACCATGGCTTCCTTCCATTTTGCCCAGTCATCTTGGCTTTTCACTTCCAACAGTGACAGTGGCTTGAGCAGGATGCTGTCTGCACTGCAGAGTTGTTGCCACTGGCAGTTAGGGCAATGCCATTCATTACAGTAACTGTGAAGGCCATCCAGTCAAGGTGGTGATCCAGGACCTCAGTTGTTGGGTCTACCACACATCTTGTAGCAAAGGCTGTATAGCTATGCAAGGCCAGTAGATCTGACATTTCACTATTTGGTGACTCAGGTCTCAACAGCATGTAGTTGTCATGAGAACCAAATTGAGGTGACTCAAGTTGAGAGGTGTTGTTGTGATCTCCTAGGTTTGTGTTGGTGTCCCCCTTTGGCCATTGCTACATCTAATTGTTTGTGGAGGCCAGCTTGAATAGTGTCCATGTCAATGATGATCTCACCAGCCTCTCAGATCTCAGACATGGTTTGGTCCCATTCTGGGAAGAATGTTAATTCTACATTGCCATTGCAGAATGGAGTGTGTTTCACTGTCTCGAAAAGGATGATAAGGAAGGAGTAGCTTTGTCATTGTCATTAGATTCTGGTGACTCATCACTTGTGGGTAGCCAGCTGTATGAACACAGCAACTCGTTTTTGCAGGATAAGACCAGTGTATATGGGGACAGTGTGTCTTCACCCAGGTGTTCAAGCTCTGAGAAGCAGATGTCTTTGATGATGAGGATGTGATTAAGTTCTGGTAACCAGACCCAGTGCCCTTTGATTGCACAGGCTGCACTTGAGTAGCCTAGATAGGTACCACAAAGAGCATGGGGGCATAAGTGTTTGCTTGCTATTGGGTTGTTGCAGAGCCAGGTGGTCTTGGTGTTACTGCACAATACTACATATGCAATGCATCCGAAGCGATGGACATTATGGAGATCAGAGGTCTTACCATAGAAGAACTCGAAATCTTGAATGGTGTCTTGTTTCCTTGCATTGTTCTGGCGATTTGTTTGTGGATGTACACCGCCTGTGATATGGCATAGGGTCACCATTGTTTACCAATGTTAGCATCAAACACCATGCATCGTGCTACCTTCTAGATGGTCTGAATGGCATGTTTGGCGAATGTGTTATCAGTATGCTGTTGCGTCGGCGAGGCTGTGATCTTGATGCCAGCTGCCGAACATAGGTTGTGGAAGGATGTTGTTGTCAGAGGTTGCGCACCTGAAACCCGAAATCTGTTATCAGAAGGCAACTACAGCTAATCTCCACGAGATCTGTAGTAAAAGCCTTCTATTATTGTTCTTGCTGGAATCTGTCATAGAAGCCTTCTATGACTGTTCTTGCTCAAATATGTTGTAACTAAAGGTTATCACAGATTTCAACTGACCACTGGGGACACTCCATCCAGAGGTAGCTTGACATGATCAAGGTCCAATAGTTTGTCTGAGGTGGCACCAAGTTCTGATGCTAATGTGTTTGCTTTGACATGAGTGTCCAGTGTGTCAATGAGTTGGTTGATTGATCCCTGGACTGCAGTGGATGACTGCCTTTGGTTGAGATCAAGAGAGCTGGACTGCAGTATGAAATGCCTTTGGTGTCGATTGTTATCTGGACCACAGGAAGTACTGCCTTTGGATGATGTCAAGAAGTGGTGATACAACACACACACTACAATAGAAGCAATGCTCTGCAATTGCAACTGTTGACAGAATACTAAGTATACTTGTGTGAAAGTTATAGCTAGTAAAGTAGAGTGTAGAGTGGATGAGGATCCACTCAACTACTATGACAAGAAAGCATGGTTATATAGATGTCCTCACAATGTCGCCTGCAACACTGCTTCTACTCTAGGAGGTCCCCTCAGACACTGCTCTTCCTCCCTCATCCTGCCTACCTTGTGATGTCGCTTGTTGGCACTGCCTCCCTTCCTTCCTGTGGATGGAAGGTCCTCATGTTGCTTCATCATTGATAGGGGCCACTCCCACTTCATCTGAGTGGCAACTTGGCCCCCTTCTTCATCTCACCCATCCTCCTGCTCTGAGTTCATCATTGAATAGGCCCCTGCTTCATTGGGGTGGCAGACCCAGATGTCATTACCACCTGTCCTATTGTGGGATTTGTGATATTGGTGTCCCTTCATCAGCTTCTGCAAGATCTGTTGTATGATCATGTTACTACTGATTCCAGCGGGTTTTGTTGTAAGATCCCGCTCATACCAATTTGGGCAAGACCTGCCGTAGAGCCTCTCTACTGCCGATCTCAATGAACTCTGCTCCTCGTTTTGCCCAATCCTGCGATTCCTGCGCCACTCCTCATATGACTTCGGTCCTTCCTGCTTTCTGCGCATCCGGTCCCATGACAGTTGTCCAGAGTTCCCCTTGGTCGACTCTAATCTCCTTGATACTTTGAGCCAGCATTACCTTGCTGGCTTGATGTTGGGTGGCTTGGTGCACCTCCAATATCCACCATAATGCCTCTGTAGTCGCTTGGGCCTTGCTAGTTAGGCCCCAAATCCATATCATGCCTGAGTATGCATCATGTATCACCAGAATGTATGAGTACTGGGGACTCTTATGCAATGGACCCATGACATCCATGGAAACTAGCTCCAGTGGGTACCCAAGTTTGCGAGGGTGTGGAGTCGTTCTCGCCGTGGCTTTGCTACATACTGTCACAGGGTCTGCGCAGAAGGTCATGCACAGAAAAAATCTGAAAGCAAGCATTGGGTGTTGACAATCTGATCGGGCTAGTTGTGCACATAATTCACAAGATCAACCACAACCTAGGGTTTTGATTAATCTCACTGGGATTGACCAGAACAAGCCTAGCCAGTATGTTTTACCAAAACATGCTGACCAAAGCCATTGGTACAGAATGGGTCACTTGTCACAATGAAGCACAGGAGGATCAGAAAAAGGGGCCCTGACATTGGAAGGCAAGGGAAGCATATGGGAACAATCACATGCAAGGAAGAGGACCAAGCTCAGTATCACATGGATGGTCACCATGCAGGGGGACATGCTCACAGCCATATAGAGTCAGCCACAGGGGCAACCACATGATCAGGGAGCATGACAATAAGGTCCAGCACACAATCAAGGGATTTGCAAGATAAGGGATGAAAAGACAGTTGCCAGTTAGGAGGGGGAGAGCTGTGTTAAGGAGACCAGGGATTAACCATGGGGAGGAGGAGCAGTGCTAAAGAGGTTGACATGTATCACCAGGCAAGGAGGAGCATGGAGGCAAGGGGGAAGTGTAACACAAACCAACACACTGCCTGAGCAGTAGAAGAGCAGCATCGAAGGAGTTGGCACACAGCTCAAGGAAGAGGAGTAGTGTTGAAAGGAGGCAGTAATCCTCCTTGGAGGGAGCAGGAGAGGTGTCGCAGGCAACACTAGACAAACACATAAATACTCTCATTTCACCATAGCATACAAGTGGATCCTTATCCACTCTACTTTACACTTACTTACTCTTAGTTACAATAGCATCATTGCAATAGCAGGGCTTTGCAACGACCTTTCAATTGTGTGTGTTGTGTCAGAGGTCATGTGCCCAAAACCTGATATCTGTAATAGAACTGCATCTATTACGAATTCTGTCAGAATATGCAACAGCACTTGTGGTATTATGATTTTTGGCGAGATATGTAGTAGAGACAACTCTATTACTTTTCTCACCCAAAGATGCAGTAGTGGTTTTGCTATTGCAGGTTTCAACTAACTGCTATGGACACTCCATCCAGAGGTAGCTTGGCATGATCAATAACTGATATGAACTGGTACTAACACCAAGGTCTGGTGTGGTTGAGATTGTCATTGTCGCTGACATGAGTGTCCAGTGTGTCAACTGAGTGCTTGAGGTGATCCCTGGACTGCAGTGGATGACTGCCTTTGGTTCTATCATTAACTGGACTGCAGGTTTCTATGAACTGCCTTCAGATGTCAGGGAGCAGTGATACAACACACACACTATGATGGAAGAAATCTTATTGAGATTGCAACTTGCTGACTGAGTACTAATGTATGCTTAAGTGTAAGCTATAACTAGTAATGAAAGGTGTAGAGTGGATGGAGATCCACTCATCCACCTATGATGAGAAGGTATGATTATATACATCTTTGCAGTGTCACCTGTGACACTGTGTCATGGGCCTGGATGCTCAAGAAGCAGGAGGGTCACTGGTTCATATGGAAGGAGCACAGGTATCGAAGATCTAGTCGATACCAGTAGAGAGCATGGTCGTAGTGCAGTCTCCATGGAGACCATGGACTCCTATGGACTCACATGCAAAGGAGCACTGAGTCATATGCAAGGAGGGCCAGGCACAGCCACAAGGAGGACCAAGCTCAAGGAGCAGGCACAGCCACAAAGAGGACCAAGCTCAAGGAGCATGCAGATGGTTACCACTCAGGGGCTCGAGAGACAAGAGTCAAAGGAACTGTCACTGGTCAAAGGAGAAGGAGCAGTGTATAGGAAACTGGCAAGCAGGTCCTGAGGAGGAGGAGCAGTGTCAAAGGAGTCAACACCACTCAGGAGGCACAGGGGTGCCAAACAAGCAGGATAGCAAGGAGGAGGAGCAGTGCTGAAGGAGTCAATAGATCAAGGAGGACAGGAGTGGTGCCAGAGGGGCCCCCTGTACAGTACTCGATGAAGAAGGTACTCTCTGGAGAGAGAGCAGGAGCAGTGTCGCTGGCGACACTGTGAAGAGGTATATAACCATGCTTTCTCATCATCAAAGGTCAAGTGGATCCTCATCCACTCTACTCACCATATAACTAGTTATCACTTCAGCATAAGTATATATTAGTTTCAGTCAGCATAGCAGCAATCTATCAAGGTTGCTCCTCATCGTAGTGTGTGTGTTGTATCACCACTACCTGACATCCGAAGGCGCCCATAGCAGGTTAGCGGTCCGGATCAAGATAGAACCGAAGGCAGTAGTCCACTGCGGTCCAGGGATCACCTTAAGCAAGCATCAGTCAACACACTGGACACTCATGTTGATGCCACCAACCTTATCACCAACACCATCAACCTCATCATCATCAACACTCACACCAGACCTTGGTGTCATCATAATCTACGCATTGATATTGATCATGCCGAGCTACCCCTGAATGGAGTGTCCACAGAGGTCAGCCGAAACCTACGATAGTATATACATGAACGCCACCCATTGCGCAACTTGATAGTCACCGAACGACTAGCTTGCTGAGACAGATACCGAGACAATAGCTGTTGCACAGTTTGATAGTCACCGAGTATCTCGACAGACCGACCTGGGTTTCAGGCGCGAGACCCCTGACAGTCAGCTGAAACCTACCAGAACTCAACCATCTGGTTATCTTCAATTGAAACATACCAAATAGAGCTTACTCAGTTGATCTCACCAAAATCAACTGGAAGCACCCAACCTGGTTTCAGGCGCACAACCGCTTACATTAGTTCTTCTGCGCATGTGGTCCTATGACAGTCGATAACACTCCTCAGAGGAGCAGGAGCGGTGTCGCAGGCGACACCGAATAAACTCATAAATACTCTCATTTCACCATAGCATACGAGTGGATCCTCACCCACTCTACTTACTACTTAGCTCACTCTTTAATTTGTTTTGTATCATTGCAATTGCAGTGCATTGTAAAGACATCCAAGCACATGTGTTGTATCACCATTGGACATCACTGTAGGTGGTGTTCCTCACTGTGATCCAGCTCTCTACTGTAGGCGGTGTACTTCACTGGGGTCCAGTCCTATCAACCGAAGGCAGTGTCTCCACTGCGGTCTGGCACTCTCCATCTGTAGGTGATAACTCCATGACGGTCCAGATATCTTCCAAATATCATTGAGCGACTTTTAACATTGTGAACACTTGTGCTTTAACAGACGTCGATACACTATACCTTAGGTATAGCCACAGCAAGACAAGCTTATTCCAACAAACGTGCTGCATAGCCTCTGAATGGAGTGTTCACAGCGGTTAGTCAAAACCCCTCAGAAGTTGGCCTACTGATCCCTTTCGCTGAAACTGTTTGAAAAGAACTCACTCAGTTGATCTCGCCGATATCAACCAGAACCACCGAATTCGGGTTTCAGGCCCACAACCACTGACAACACAGACCTCTGAGAACCGCCATGCCACCTCTTGAGACGCTTGGCCCTTGCTTGTCAGACCTTGTGCCCAGGTCATGCTTGGGTATGCATCATGGATGATGAGTATGTATGTGAACTTGGTTGCACCATGTAGTGGGCCCATCACATCCATTGACACCAGTTTGAGTGGTTTCTTGATGTGTCAAGGGTAAGCTATGTTTCTTGCAGTGACTTTGCTACATACACAAACATCACAAAGTACACCAGGATGAGTAGCTGGGGACAAGGGAATGTTGTGGGAGAGGGTCACTGCTTGTGTGTGCAGAATCAAGTCATGACTAGCTTGGCCTAGCCTGTGATGCCAGAGATCTGCTTTGTGGCAGGATCTGTATGGGTGCCCATGCTTGCTGTCTTTGTGGTGAAGGCAAGGGAGACAGTGGGTTCAGGCATGCTGTTGTCCCATATTATCATGGCAGCAGCAGGGTAGCTGTCCCCACTTGTAGGCACCTGGATTGTGTGACTGTGTTTGTCCTGGATGGTGACAAGTTCATCTTCAAAGGTCACTTTGCCCTGAGCATGTGTGACTGACTTGGTGCCAATGAGGTTGGTCACAAGATTGGGAATGAGTATACAAGTCTGATATGTCATCTGCTCCACTGATGTATCTTGGGGCTGAAGCTCAAGAGGCTAACTGTCCCACCCATCTTGGTGGCAGGGAGTAATCCACCATTGGCAGTTGTAATGCTGACCACATTGTCCATATATCACCAGCATTTCCTGTATCAAGAGGAGTTGACCATAATGCAAGATGCCCCTGAGTCAAACACAAAGGGTACAAACCATTGCAGCAAGTTAATTGGTGCTGGCTTGACTTCTGTGAAGAATGCCAAGGCCAGCATCATACCCTATTCCTCTTGAGTGTTCTTGAGTGGCAGCACAATACATGTGTTGGTGTGGCTCTTGGGGGGCACCTTGACTTTGCCCTCTTTCCATTGAGTATGGGCAGCATCATTTGGGCAACAATTGGCTGCATGACCAAGCTCACTGCAGGCCCAACAGTTGGTGAGTGTTGCAGCTTGTAAAGCAATGAGTTCAGACTCCTTGGTTGTGTGTTGCAGGTTTACAGGAGCACTCTCAGTGGCAAGCTTGTAGCATTGACATAGAACATCAGCAACACTCTGGGCCATCTGCTCTTTGCCATGAAGTTGTTTGTGCAATATAAACACTGAGTTAAAGAGAGCATTTCTGTCAGAGGGCAGAGCATGCTTGAGAGTCTTTTAATGGTGATCAGGCATCCAGGGGTCTTGCAAGTGTGTGTGTAGTTCTGACACATGAGCTTCCCATTTGGTGAGGAAGCTGTACACATGGCTCCTGACTTGATCCCAATGTAGAGCATACATGGTTGTGAGGAGTTTGTGCTCCTTTGCAGCAGAGTGTACAGTGCACTTCTTTATTGCCCAGTCAAACAGGTCCACAGTGATTGGTACCAGTCAATCACTATGCTCAGCAAAGTACTCAGTACACAGCTTGTTGGAGAAGCTACACATGATGATCAAACTGAGCAGAGAGTCTGTGTCTTTGAAAGTTGCTGCCTTTTGGTCAAGGACATTTCAAGCAAAGGACACTACAGACAGCATTGCAAACATCTTGTGACACCAAGCATGCACTGAGACTGACCTTGGGTCAAGGAGGTCTTGCTCATCCCATCTCATCTTGCCATTTAACCCAGAGAGTACCTTTAAGTGATGGTTCATGAGTGTGTTAAGCTTGGGAGTGGGACCCAGCATTGCATTGTGGCCATTCAGGTGACAGTTGAAGTTGTTCAAGCTAGAAACTGGAGTGTCACCCCTGACCAACATGGGGGTATTGCCCCTAGCAGGATGAGGTTGATGTTGGTGAACATCACAGGTGATGCCCACTGGGCCTTTGGTCTTGATGTTGAGGAAGTGAGTTGCATCCCATTCTTCATTAGCTATGAAGAGGTTCACTCTGGTTCACATTTGTTTGCCAAGCTCAGTGCAGCTAGTGAATGGGCTAAGGTCATGCATTGCATAGTAGAGTGTACTAACACACTTGATCATGATAGAAATGGGTGGGATGATCTGTTCCTTATCATCATTGATGGCAAACTTCAGTAGTTGGCCGTCTTTTGGGGCATTGGGGGTGCCATAGACCTCTTCTCCCATGACTTGGTTGAACTACAACCGACAGGCCGTCAGGATATGCACTAGCAGTTACAGCGTCCCGGAGCGGGCTGTCGATGATCCAAACGCAATACCTGACAGCTGTGAGGTTCTCAGCAGGATCCCATTGATTACCCAACCCTGGTTGCTTCTTCCTTGGAGTCAATGGGAGTACAACCAACAGGGTTTTAAGGTTGTATGCAATGCCTGCCCATACCTGGATGCTGAAATGGCTGGAACAGAATGTCAGAACCATGTTGTTGATGTCTTCTCAAGTGTTTTTCCAGCAACTAACCCATGTGTGCCCGGGCCAGTAGCCAACCTTGACAGCTGCCTAGTCCATGAACAGCAGTTGTAGCTATGCAAACACTGCTGTGTCTGAGCTACGTTCTAGCTTCTCTTACACAGGTGTATCATAAAGGCAATGCTTGAGATTTCTATGTGCTATAGCTACAGGAATGCATGTATATATATACCTTTGCCTGATCCATGAGATTGTCCATTGTCACTTTTCAAAATGTATGTGTCATGATGTGTCTTGGTGTTGTCCTCCTTGTGCTTTGGTGTTTTGCCTCATGAGTGCCTCCTAATTGGCCACCACACAATTACCATGCATGCAGGCCATTGGTCTATCAGCATCTTGGCTTTCCTGCATATTTGTTATTCTGGCGTATCTTCAACTCCCCCCTTCGCTGGCATTACCAATCCTATCACTTGAGCCAACCTAGATGTCTCCAATCCTCTTAGCAGTTTCATGAGGATGTCTGCAACATTGTTGGTGGTCCCAACATATTCAATCCTGATTTCATCCTCCTGTACATGGTCTCTGACAAAATAGTAATGAGTATCAATATGTTTAAGTTTCCAGTGTTTGGCAGGGTCCTTACTTACCTGTATGCAACCTTGACTGTCCATGCAGAGGATCAGCTTGATGTTGTCAACACCCAGGTCTTGTAGCAAGTAAGAGAAGAACAGGGCTTCTTGTGTTGCCTCAGATGCAGTGGCAAACTCTGCTTCTACTGCTGAGAGAGCCACACACTTTTGTACATGTGAGTGCCAACTTACTGGGCATCCATACAAGTATGTTATCACCCCTGATGTGCTCCTCCAACTGTTAGTGGGGTCCAAGGCCCAGTTAGCATCAGTGTACATAACTATTGCTTTGTCCTTCTTGTGTGGCCTTCCTCCTAAATGCAGGTGGTACTCACTTGTTTGGTTTAAGTACTTAAGTACATGGATCACTGCCTTCCATGCCCCTTCAATTGGTGTCAACATGTGTTGTGCTAATGTTCTGACCATGAAGGAGATATCTGGTCACACCATGTTTGACACCCATAAAAGTTGTCCAATTAGCTCTTGATAGTCCTTGCTTTGCTGTGGCAAATATTTGTCTCCTTTTGCTCCATCTGCTATGCTTTGCATCGGGATCCAAGACTTTTTGGATGGCCATCCCAGCCATTTGTTTACCATGGCCTTCACATATGCTGCCAGATCCAATGACATGCTCCTTTTACTCCTATTGCAAATGATTTTTATACCAAGAAACTCTTTAATTGGGCCATTATCTTCTGTTCCCCACTTACTCATGATCTCACACTTGGTGTGATCCACTTCCTTGCAGCTTGGCAATGCTATCAGCATGTCATCCACATAAGCCATGATGACTGTGATGCTATTTCCTGTTCCCCTCATGTACAAACATGGTGCACTTGGCATGCAATAGAACCTGATCCTTCTAAGATGTGAGTCAAGTTTGACATTCCATTCTCACCCCAATTGTTTGAGCCCATATAGTCCCTTTATGAGTTTGAATACCTTCCCTGGGTGTACCTTCATGCTGATTGGTGGCTTCAGATAAATGTCATGGTGTAAGTTTGAATTAAGGTATGCTTGTTTAATGTCAATCAAGTCCACCTCCCAGTCTTGGACTGCTGCAAAAGTGAGTATTCCTTGGATTGACTGGATTGGCACTACTGGTGCAAAGATCTCTGTATAGTTGGTGCCTTCTTTCTGGGTGAAACCCCAGGCTACCAGTCTCACCTTAAACTTTGTTGGTATGAGATTTGAGCCTGTCTTGACTTTGAGCACCCAATGAGTGTCAACCATGTGCTTACCAGGTGGGAGATCTGTAACCTCCCATGTGCCCATGGCTTCTAAGCTGTCCAATTCTTTTTGCATGGCTTCCTCCCAGAGCCCCCTGTTTTCCCCAGCAAGTGCTTCTCAGATGGTCAGATCTAGGTTTACCCCTGCTTTGACATTCATAGCCACCAGTCCAAACACTTTGTCATCAATCCATGTTTTGGTGCCATAGTGTCTGTCTGGACCCACTGTTATCTCCATGTCATTGTATTCACATAGTGGGTCTGGATCTCTTTCATCAAATAAGTTCTGCTCCATATATCCTAAGTTTATTGGACTTTCTTTGTTGGTTGATGTCAGTGGTGGGTGTATATCCACTGGGTGCCATTGAGTGTGGTCTGCCCAGCATTCATGCTCTAAGAACTTCACTGAGTTGCTCCAGAACACATTGGGTCTGTAGTCTGGGCTGTAGAAGAGCCAACCTTTGCATTCCAAACTGTATCCTATGAAGATAGCAGCAATTGCTCATTGATCTAACTTTGCATTGTCTCACTTGGTCTTTGGGATGTTTACCCAAGCAAGACATCTGAAAACACATAGGAGCCATATGAGCCATTCTGGTGATTTCTTGAACATCACCTCATATGGAAGCTCACTGTCAGTGTTTGGAGTGAGGTTGATCTTGAATGCCACAGCCTGGATTGCATATGGCCAGAAGCTCTTTGGTAGCCTTCTTTGCATTAATAAGGTCTGCATCTTCTCACTTAGGCTTCTATTCATTCTCTCCACCCTTCCATTCTGTTTGCTGTTGTAACCCACAGTCATTTGCCATTTTATTCCTTTGTCCTGCAACCATTCTATAGCTTTGTTGCTTCACCACTTGGTTCCTTGATCAGATTGAATTGCTTTTAGATTCCTTCCTGTCTGTGTCTCAAGGAACATGACCATTCTTCTGAGCTGCACAAATGCCTGACTCTTTCATAGCAATGGTTGTGCATAGACATACTTGCTGTGATTGTCAACCAACACCAGTGTGCATGTGTGTTCTGTCACATGGGATGTGTCAATGATCAAGTCCACATGTATGAGATCTAGTGGGGTGCAGGCTCTGTCACCACTCCCCTTTCCCATTCTCGCCATGGTGCTTTTGGACTGTATACACTGCTCACATGTCAGAGCTGTATCTGGGTCTACCTCTATTGCAAGCTTGTCTCCCAACTTCCTGATTATTGCCCTGGCTTTGTCTCAACCTGGTTGTCCTAGATGCTCATGCCAGAGTTGCTGTGTTGAAGTCCTGGGTTTCTTCTTGATTGGTTCTACACTTTTTTTAACACCTTCAAACAGTTGTGTTGACATGATCATTGCACTATCCTGCCATGTGTCAGAGGTCACGCACCTGAAACCTGAGATCTGTAGTAAGACCGCTTCTATCACAGATCCTGTTGAGATATGTGATTGTATATGTAGTATTACAATTCTTGTCAAGTTATGCCATAGTGATGTCCTTATGACTTTACTCACTCAAATCTGTGATTGGGGTTGTGCTATTGCAGATTTCGACTGACCACTGTGGACACTCTGTTCAGAGGTAGCTCAGCATGATCAATAATGATATGAACTGTATTGACACCAAGGTCTGGTGTGAGTATGAATGCTTGGTGGCATCGACACAAGTGTCCAGTGTGTCGATTTCTTGCTTGAGGTGATCCCTGGACCACAGTGGACTACTGCCTTCAGTTCTATCTTGAATCTGGACTGCTGGTTGCTATGAACTGCCTTCAGATGTCAGTGAGTGGTGATACAACACATGCACTACAATGAGAGGCAATCTACTTGATTGCAACTATGCTGACTGAAAACTAATATGTACTTATGCTTGAAGTATTAACTAGTTGATATGGTGTAGAGTGGATGGCAATCCACTCACTTGTTGCAACAAGGAGCATGGTTATATACCATGCCTGCAGCATCACCTGTGACACTGCCCCTCCTCCTTGTCCCTCCTATCTGTCCTTCTTTGAACTAAGTGTTGATCCCCTCAACACTGCTCTTCCTCCTCATAACCTGTTTGCTGGTATCCTTGTCACAGCTCTTCTTCCTCCACCAGCAATGGTTCTCCTGGTCCTCATCTTGTGACCCCCTGAGTGGTAACCAGCTGCATGCTTCTGAGCTTGGTCCCCTTCTTGGCAATGCTTGGTCCTCCTTCACATGTGAAGTTTGCCATATGACCATCTTTGCCACTGATCTCCATGGAATCTGCCATATGATCATGCTTACTGCAGATTCTGGTGGGATTCATGATATCAACTTTGCTTGCACCAATCTAGGTGAGATCTGTAATAGAGCTGTCTCTACTACAGATCTCAGTGAACTCTGCTGCAAATCCTACAATCTGCCCAATTCCTTGATTCCTGCACTCCCTTCATATGAGTTGACAGATCTTCCTGCTTCTTGCGCATCCAGCCCCATGACACCATGTGTTGCCTGTGAACTCTAGCAATCCCCATTCATTACTCTTTGACACCTTGAGTGATGTTCCATTCACAAGGTGTATTAGACCACCTGTGTGGTCTAGGATCACTTGTGCTCCCTCATCCATCAGTGAATTGGTTGATAGCAGGTTAACATTAAGAATTCTAACATACAGAACATTCTGGAGTGAAACATCTCTGTGCTTGGTCAATATGTTGACATCCCCTACAGCAGTTGCCTCCAAAACTTCACTTCCAGCAGTGAATATGCACTTTTGGCAAGCCCTTGGATGGATGAGTACACTGTAGTCATTAACCATGTGAAAGCTAGCTCCTGAATCTAGGACCCAATGGTTTGTGTCCTTCTGACTTGAGTGCTTCTGTCAATTTGGGGTGAGGGAACACCAGATCTCCTAGTCAGATTCCATGAGTGGGGAGTTCTCAGGGATGCTAATTGAAGCATTGCACTGTTTGGCTCCATGTCCAATTCGCTTGCAAACATAGCAGTGGATCCTTTGGTGTTTGCTCCATGTTGTTTTAGTGTTGTCAGTGTCTGTATCCTTGGCCAAATCACCTTGCTCAGTGCTGCTGGCAATTCTAGCATTGGCCTGTCAGGGGCCCCACTTCTGTGCAGGCATGCTCTCTACTGCCAATTGGCATGTACTAAGGGCAATGGCAAGAGCATTGAATTTAAGATGGTGAACTGTTGCAATGGTATCTTTATACACAGGGTGCCTGATCATGCACTTCTGGAGAGTGGAGAACATGGTGTCATCTGCAAATGGTCTTCCCAGGATGCTGCTTTCTGCCTGGATAGTCCTGATCTCCTGGATGAGCTTCTGAGCATCAGCATTGAACATCTTAATGTTGCCCAGTTGAGTGATGAGGGTGAGTTGGTGGGAGTTCCTTGTAGCCTTGCCACCCAGGCCATTCTTGATCCTCTTCCAAACCTGGTTGAAGGTTAGGTACTCCTTGATGATGTCAAGAAGGATGTAATTGACATTATATTCTCCTGTGGTGTCAATGGTGCCTCAGGTGGCATTGGTTAGGGCATCATTGAAAGCACAGCTCCACCTTGGGTGGCTTGTGTTGTATGCTCCTTCAAGGTGCTCCATGGCATGTGGCACTGATCAGAGGAAGGATTTGATGTGTGCACTCCAACTATGATAGTTCTGAGATGTCAACTTGGGCACCAGTTCAAGGAGCTTTGCCAGAGTGCAAAAGTTGTATTGATTGCCTACATCATCATTGTCTGAGTTGGAATCCAGCTCTTCATTGGCTTTGCCTTTGTTGGCTATGTTCTTGGCTTGGGCTTGTCATGTGAGGATGACTTTCTTTCCACCTCTCTTTGATCTCTTGGTGATCTTGCTAGTGCCAGCTTGAGGGTCATTCTCTTCAACCATGGTTGATTGTTGTCTGGCTATGGTTTCAGACTCTTAATCAGTTGTAGCTATGCAAACACCACTGTGTCTGATCTACATTTTAGCTTCTCTTACACAGGTGTATCATAAAGGCAATGCTTGAGATTTCTATGTGCTATAGCTACAGGAATGCATGTATATATATACCTTTGCCTGATCCATGAGATTGTCCATTGTCACTTTTCAAAATGTATGTGTCACAATGTGTCTTGGTGTTGTCCTCCTTGTGCTTTGGTGTTTTGCCTTGTGAGTGCCTCCTAATTGGCTGCCACACAATTACCATGCATGCAGGCCATTGGTCTATCAGCATCTCGGCTTTCCTGCATATTTGTTATTCCGGCATATCTTCAACTACAGCACACCCCTCCAATCAGTGGAGCCGTTAGCCTTGGCCCATTCTAGATGTTTATGCTGGTTTTTGGCTGTCAAAAATGGCTTTCAAAGTGCAATCCAGTGGTTGATACTGGCCTGGTATGCTGCTTTCCAGAGCTGTGTTATTGGAATGCTGCCAAGTGATGCTGACAGCTGTTGCCATGATAGAAACAGGTTTTTGAGTACCTCATGCTGAAGGTATCAGTCTGAGGTAGCTGTCCAGGAGTGCAAACAGCTGGATTGTGCTTTTGTTTGGAAGGAACCACACTCCTTAAAGTTATGGATGGTCTTGTGAACTGCTGCTGTCTTGGAAACACTGCTTAGCTCCACAATTTGTCAAATTGGCAGCCCAGTATCATGCATTGCAACAATTGAAGCATGCTGTGTTGGAGAGAGCTCATTGCCACAGACCATGTCAGTGTTTGAAGTGTTCTTGCTTAGTATGATGGTAGTGCTGTTGCTCAATGATGACAATGATCCAAATGCAGTGTAACCAGCTAAATCGGGAAATTACCCAATTGTCCTCAAACTTACACACAGGGACTGTAACGGCTTTGCCCGATCTCTGATCAGATCGGCTCTACCTAATCTTTACCATATTGGCTTGTGTTGCCTTTAGTGTCTTGCTGGATCGTAACGTTCAGCAATAGAAACATGCTACCCTGAGGACGAGGCTGAAAGATGAGGGGGCAACTATCTTCTCCTCCTCGGGCATCAGATAGCCGGTATGCCTCAGCCTATCGCGATAATTGGCCTGACGCAAGCCGATATGCCCTCGGACAACATGCTAGGATTCGAGTGAGCGAAGGTGGTGAAAATGTGAGATCGAAGTAGAGCTCACATAGTTTCACCGTTTGTGCGACGTCAAAGCGCGATGGTGGAAGGGTATCAAGATGTCCGGCCAATTGGTGCGTATCTTGACAGGTTCTGATGTTGAGGTGGATCAGCGTTTGGACTTGACGATGAGATGCCACTGTGAATCATCAGGACTTGCATCATACGAGCGTCCAGGCCAGGCTTATATTCCTCAAACAGCACGCTATAACAAGTCTGCAAGCGGCCTAAGCAAGCTCAGACCTTAATCACGAACCGCGGAGCTGTATCGTAAGGCTTGAGCGCCTCGAGAAGCAGTGGCCACCATGGCGCTTGATAAGACCCTCGAATCGATCCTATGTAGAGAATGCTCTCATCTTGGAACATCGTTCACCTCTCGTGGTGCATCATGGGTGCTTGCGCAGCCTAGCGGCTTAGCTCTGTTCGCCAAGATCAACAGCTCGGTCGAACAGACGCTTGGAGAAGCGGAGAGTCTGAAAGCATTGGGTGCCGCATTGAGTAGTGGTAGTGACAAGGGTGGGGTTGAGGAGAGGCTGACACCAGAAGTTCATGCCTCGGGCAAATTGCAAGATGGACGAGCCTATTTGATCACAGACTACCTTGATCTGAGGCCTTGGATTAATAAGTCTGGCCAAAAGGTGCTGGGCAGGAGACTAGCAGAGATGCACAAGAGGGGGGTTAATGAAGATGGTCGTTTCGGGTTCGATGTTGCGACTTACTGTGGTGTGACTGTAGGTCATCAAGCTTTTCGTAGGAAGGATAGGAGGCTTGTATACTGATGAACCTTAACTATTTATCTTTTGCCGTCGAATCAGCGACAAGACAACAGCTGGAACACTTCATGGCCCAAGTTCTGGGCGGATCAAAGGATTGGCGATCTTGTCAACCGGATTTGCGCGGACCAGAACGATAACGAGCTCAAGGATCTTGAGAAGCAAATGCGGGGCAAGTGAGTGCTTAGTCGATGTCGCGGCTGCCTTCACCTTCTGGTACTGACATAATCTGACGGAGATGTGATAGAGTATATCGGGTCCTACTCGCGCCGCTTGAGGGCAAGGTGAAGCCTAGCATTCTGCACGGAGACTTGTGGTGAGTATCATTGCAAAGAGCGTTGCAGTTGCATCTGATGGCAAGAAACCCTAATCAACGGATTCTTCTCCCTTTTGATCGTCTATCCGCAGGTCCGCCAATGCTGGAACAGTAAATAACACTGGCGGCCCAGCCATCTTTGAGTAAGTGCATCTTCAAACCACTAAACAAGGAGCATGAACAGTTGTTAAAAAGCTGACACGACCCAACTTGCCACTACCGACCTTCGTTGGTCGCTCACAGTGCGTAAGTGAGAACAAGTAAGGCAAACGTATTCTCGTCTTACTAAAGCCAACATTACTTCTGACGAGGCACTACTGCAGTTCGAGCTACTACGGTCACAACGAAGCAGAGTAAGTCTGAAAGCAGACTGAAAGGATTTTTTTTGGAATGTTGCAGACTCTAATACAGATTCGTCGATTCGTTCCTCACCTCAGGCTTGGCATGATGTACATGTTCGGCGGTTTTACGCAAGTCTTTTTCCAGGCCTATCACGAGGTGATACCCAAGACAGAAGCTTACTATGATGAGAGACTGCTTCTATATGAGCTGTATCATCAGTGAGTTGTCTACATCCCATTCATCTTGAACCGTTGTTGTGAGGTTGCACTGACTTGCTTGGTCTCACGCCTCTGGTTGTTCATCTGACCATGCCCAGTCTGAACCGTGAGTATCTCTGCACGAGACCTGGCAGGCCGGTTAAGTTGAAGAGGTGGACAAGTGGCGATTGACACAGACAAGGGAGGAATTTTATTCTGCGTTTTTGCATGTTTAGATTTGCTTATGTTCAAAGACGGATACAGATCTGGAGTAGTTTCGATCATGCGGTCATTGATCGACTCGTGCTATCCGGCGAAAAATGCACAGTGAATCTGCATTATACACGATTAAGCAGGTTCAAGCAAATCCGAAGCCTTCTCCACCTTCGTTGATGGCTATGAGCAGCAAGGATCTTAGCTTGTCGTACGAGTCGTACTGGGGCAAGTCGAGCTGGTTGAAACAAGTGTGTGCTGCTGGCAACCTATCGGCACCGTAAGCCTTGTGAATGTTGAACCTTTGTGTGCCCTGAACACCTTGGAGATGGGCGAAGCCTTCCAATGGTACTTTGCTTGTACCTGTGATGAATTGCAACAGCTTGGCTTTCTCGGTCTGGTCGAAGGAACGAACTGCACGCCACCACCACTGGATGACAGCGTCGCCTGAGCTGTAGCCGTGCAGCTCGGTGTTGTTCTTCCAAGCATCGACGTCGATATCGGGAAGACCAGAGATGAGAAGCTCGAGTTCTTGCTCTGAGAAGATGCGAATGAGATCGGTGGGGATGATCTCGTTAAAGCCGTCGAGGAAAGCATCGATCTGTGATCGAATCGACTTGGTCAGTCTCTGCTCAGTGACGAGACGAAGGTATTCTTGCTTGTTGAGCTCGGTAACAGCGATGTTAGTGCCGTTTGGTTTGAGATCGATGACTTTGGTTTCGCCAAACTCCTCGTCGTCGACAGTAAATGTCAAGTCGAGGATATCTGTGATGTCGTTGTTCAGCATCCACTCGAGACTTTTGAAGTACTCTGGGTCGATCGACTCCAAATCTCTGTAGTCGACGGGCTTGCCGAGAATGTGCTTGTAGAAGCTTCGGGTGAAGTAGGCGTCGAGCAAACGACCGTCATAGATGGCTTTGCCAATAATGCGACCGACAAACTTGAAGAAGGAAAGGTGATCTGGGTTGACATACGACATGCGGTTTGGCTGGTAGGTTGTTCGGTCCGCCGCACAAGGTTGGAAGAGTGCATAATCCGGGTTGAACATGGCTCTTGCCAGAACCTGGAACCATTCTCTTGTAACACCTCCTGCATCGATACCTTCCTCGTTGTTGAAGCGGACGTTGAGTTTGCCATGTTTGACCTCTGGCCCAGTCTTTCTGGAAAAGTAACGGAAGCTGTCCTCGAACACCGAGTTTCTGCGAACGGAGAGGGAGAGGGGTGTGTAGTGATCACGTCGACCCTTATGTAGCTGCTGTGTGAAATAGTTCTTTTTGTTGTCAAAGTCGAGCACCTTGGGATTGCGCACCAGCAATGCAAAAGAACCGGACATGAGAGATGGATTCTGTCGCACCATGATGTTGAGAATCTTTCGGTGCTTTTCAGTGAATGCAAAGAAGTTGTCTTCCATTGCTTCTCTTGGTGACTTGGGAGCGCCCTGGATCGAAGAACGGCTATGTGGTGGCCGAACTAATTCGCCAGAAGTGCTCGAGGTATCGGGTTCAGGGTTGGCAACGTGCTGCGAGACAACCATCATGCTCTCGATCAAAGGTAGGAGGATCTGAGCAGCACCAGGGTCGTTCTTCATTCTGGAAAGTACATCGCTGAGCTTCGACCAGAGGGTATCGAACTGGAAAGCCTCATAGATATTTGCGAGCTTGGCTTCATCTTGTTCGCGCTTCTTCTTCTGTGCTTCGCTGTTGCTGGAGTCTGGCTTGGAACGTCCTGATGGGCTAGCAGTGGCGTTGACGCGGTCGATGTTTCGCAAAAAGTCGCTAAACATGCCAAAGCTTGGTGCGACCGACAAGTCGGTTCTCGGTAGGGCACCATCCATTCCGACTGGTATGCAGCGCTCGTCGATGGTAACGACGCTGGCGATGCCAGGAAGATTGTCTGATGACTCTGCTATGGGTTTGTTTGCACCGGACGGGGCACTTGAGCGAGGGCGTGACAATGTGTATGTCGGTGATCAGGAGCGACCGCCTCTACTTGACGTCAGACGGCAGGTTTGAGGAGAGTCGTCGAAAGCTGTAGAGCACCAGCTCGCCAAAGGAAGTTGTGTCAATGCTAAGCTAACGCAAGTCGTGGGGGCGGGAAAACTCGCGTACGATTGAAGCTGGGATACTGACAAGCAGACTCGTGGTATGTCTTGGTGAATGCTAGCAGATCTGCGGTGCCCAAGTTGAAGGTCGCTTTAAGCATGCTGTTGGTCATGAAGAAAGCACATACCCTGTTCGGCTGGTTGGTATAAAGTGCAACACACGACTCAGCCACGCTAACCTTGAAAAGCTTGTGGCAAAGTGGAAAAGTGGAAAAGTGGAGCTTCAAATTCCGCAAATCTCGATCGGTGTCGATCGGCAGCCCGATGGACCAACCCACCAGCTCAGCCTCCACACGGCGCTGAGATGCATGAGAGAGTGTCAGTGTTGCTTTCTTTGCCCGCCTGTGCACGGACTCGATGTTGGACATCAACTCCCACCTCGGTCTAATGAATCAGACGTCTTTGCTTTTGGCTCCCAACAAGCCAACTCTGTTCAGTATCTTCTCACGATCTCGTCCAAGAGAAACCTAAGCTCAACATACCGCTTGCGCTGACGCTGTAACAGACGATGAGGATTGCCACTAAGCGTCTTCAAAAGGAGCTGTAAGTTGGTTTGCACTGCATCCTTCTTATGCACGCGAAAGCGTACAGGTGTCGAGATTGGCTGACCAACTTTCTGGAATGGTGGTGGCGCTTGCTGTTGCTTAGGTCTGACCTTAGGCTTCAAGGGACGCCGGAAGGATGTGCGATCATCAGGGCAGATGATTTGCAGGAATGGCAGTTCTCAATAGAGGTGCTCGGTAACAGTCTCTATCAAAAGGAAAAGTTTGCCTTGCGCTTTCGATTCACCGACTCGTATCCCATGGAAAGCCCAGAAGTGGTCTTCATCGTTACTGACGGTTATAAAGCGCCGATTGTAAGCTCTTTCTCTATCTCTTTCCCTCCTTCTGCATTCGACGATGCATATATACCTTTGCTCACGAGTAAGTTCGCCTTGCTTTCAACAACGAACAGCATCCACACGTTTACAGTAACGGCCACATCTGCGCATCGATTCTAGGCAACGAATGGTCACCCGTACTCAATGTCAGCTCGGTGCTCATCACACTACAAAGCATGCTTGCAAGCTGTAAACAGCTTCAGACACCACCAGACAATGATGCCTACGTCAAACGTGCACCGCTTTCACCCAAGGATAGTCGATTTGTCTATGACGATGACACTGTCTGAACCTCGCTCACTGCTTTCGCTCCACATACACATACACACACACACACACACACACACACACACACACACACACACACTCATACGCATTTGCACAGGCATGGTTCATGATTATAATTTCAAGGGCCAGATGACATTGCAAGACGAAAGGAAACGACTGAGTTATGATTGTGCTGAGAAGATCGTCAAAGTAAACAGGTGTGGTCCTGTCTACTGCTGTCAAGTTCGACCGAAGAAAGCCTTCTGCTCAGCGCAGATCGAGTTGACGCAACCAGGACATCTGAGAAGCATCTGCTTGCTTGTGTAACCCTGGCTCCAAACATCCTCGCCGCGCTTTTCGTCGGCAATCTTGCTCGGTGTTCCATTGAGCGCCGATAGATGGCAAGTGCAGATTTCAGCCATGGCGCGGATGAAGGTGGGTTCGTCGTTGAGCGATTCGGCACGTTTGAGAGTGATACCGTGCTCTTGAGCCTCCTCCTGAAGCTCAATGTCGATTTCGTAGAGCGTCTCGATGTGGTCACTGGTGAAGGCGATGGGGACGACGATGGCGTCCTTGTGACCTTGTTTGGCCCAGCCTTTGATGGTGTCGCTCGTCTGAGGTCCGAGCCAGGCAGCGGGACCGACTTGGGACTGCCATGTGACTCGGTAGGGGTTGCTCCATTTCAATCGGCTCATGACGGCAGCGACGGTAGCGGCAACCTCGGCGGGGTATGGATCACCACGACCGGAGACGATTTGCATGGGAAGCGAGTGGGCACTGAACATGATGGGAACCTTGTTGCGCTTCTCCTCTGGGTATGTGTCGAGTACAGCTTGAATGCGGTTGGTGAAAGCCTCGACGAGCAAAGGGTGGGTCGGCCATCGGTCAATAAGCGACCACGAGATCTCACCTTCTGGCGCTCCACGCTGCTTGCGCCTCTGAATCTCACGGTAGAGCTCATTGAGGTTGCTACCAGTGGTACTGCAGCTGTACTGAGGGTACTGGGTGAAGCCGACAGCGCGAGTAACACCGTCGTCAGCCATCTCGTCGAGTGCCTCTTGGGTAAGAGGTCGTGCGTATCGGAAAGCGACGTAGACCTTGTGTGGCGCTGTCTCCGGGTGAAGTTGGTCAAGCAGCTCCGTCATTGCCTTACCCTGTGTGCGGGTCCAACGCAAGATGGGCGAGCCGCCGCCAATCTTTTCGTACTGGTTGACGATCTTGGGCGTCCTTCTACGTGCGATGAGGGGTGCAAGACGAGATTGGAAAGGAAGCTGAATCAGCTCTCGATCGTGAAAGAGACGCGAGAGAAAGTCACCAACCTCCTCGGTGGTAGATGTGGAGGGACCACCCATATTCATGAGGAGGATACCGGTGGGTGGTTTGGACGAGTTCTTGGCGACAGAAGCAAGAGTTCGGTGCAAGGGGCCAGTACGGGCGAGCTTGACGGTTGAAGAGGCGACATCAGCCAGCCTGGAGCGGCTAGAGCCTGGCAGCAGACTTCTTGATGAGCTTGCGATCATTGTGAGTAAGCCGCAGCAATGCTGTAGATGGACAAGGTAAAAGGCGAGGGCGTAGACAATCTCTAAGAAGAGTCGACGTTGCAAGATCGCAGTTGAGTCTTTCCGAACCGACGAAATCTTTGAAAAGCTGCTGCATTACGTAATCTGCAGTCCATCATAGGGTAAGGAAGCTTGCAACTTTGAAATTTCACTCGGGATTCGGAACTGCGAACAACACCTTGACTGACAGTATCCGTTGCGTCTGCCTACACCATCCCTTTGCGAGACTGCTGTGAGTCCAGGCGGTGACGGCATGTGAATGAGCTGGCGCTGTTCGGACTTGGTGCGGCTATATATGTTGGATCATAAAGGACTGCTTTGCAAACATATAGTCGTCAAAAAAAGGGGTATTGTACAGGCGCAAGTAGCCGACGTGATGGAGACCATATCATAAGGACCAAGCGAGGATCGGCCCAAGGTTGAAGGAAGGTCGTTTAGTGCTTGACAACGATGGGGACTGCAATAAGGATAGCAAGAGAGTGTGTAAAAGAGAGAAAAGAGTCAGTGAATCTGGCAGTGTGGTCTTGCTGACAATATACCGCCGGCTGGTCACGTTGCGGTTCGGCCAATACTCACTGATGATAACGCAGAGCAAGATGAGGATACCGACTAAGTTGGATGTCATGGGCAGCAAGAAGGGCGTAGAAAACGTTCGAGAATGGCATTAGGGCTATCTTCTGAACTTGTCAGCAGAGCTTGTCTCGGCTGCAATTTCGATACTTACTACCAATGATGACTGTTGGCAATGGTGCACGTTTGCGTTTGAGAGGTGAAAGAGGAGCACAAGAATATAATACGATTGGGATGAGCATGCCTATCCTGACTGATCGCTAAACGGTCTAGCATGGTTGACTGTGGTTGCGACTCACTTCGCATCTTCATGTCCTTCCACCACATCTGCTTGCGGACACGGTTGGCGCCTCGTCGGAAGCCCTGGGCGGAGACGGCGAGGTTGTCTGTAGATCATGCATGGGAAGAATGGATAAGTGGAGAAAGCGTGTCAGCATTACTGACTCGGTTGCATTACTAGCTTGGCCAGCGCATGGCCGGAGCTCCAATCGTAGATCGCAACCTACCGGTCTTGTCTTGAAGGCTGTTAAGGTTTTCGCCACGCTCGTTGACTGTCGTTAGAGGATTGCGGTGAATGGAGGATTGCCATGAATGGAGCATGGATTAAAAGATAGTAGTATCAAAGAAAAGAGTCAGGGGTTCGCAATCACATATTTTTAAAAAAAGAGACATTGCTCAAAGCCAAGACCCACCCTTGTTGATATTGTCGCGCATGATCGAGATGGTGTTGTCAATCTCGGAGTGGATACGCGCGGTTTTGGAGTTGGACAAGTTGGCTCCACCGCCCGAAGGATCGGAGCTAGCGTTTCCCGAAGGGATGTAGGGGTCGTAGCGGCTGTCGTTCTGAGCAGACATTGTCTATCCGTTCGAGGCGATTTCTGCGAAAGAGGTGAGGGGTGAGGGGTGAGGGGTGATGGTGGTGTCGGAAAGCAAGGTGGAGATGCGTGTTGGTATGTGTTATTCTACGCCAATCTGAGTGAGAGACAGTGCACAGCCATTCTTTTTAGTTGGCCGGGGAGAGCAGTTGCCCAGCCTCAGTTGAGTTGAAGTTCTCTTGTTCGTTGATGATAGTTCTAAATACAAATGCGAGTCAAGTATCTTCAAGTTTTCGCCACTCGCGCATGCTTGGAATGCACATACACATGTGCTGCTGAGCCCCTTTTGCACAAGCCTTTTACTCAGCCATAAACACTTTCTCTGCAGTCTCTATGCTTTGTGCAGCTTCATCTACTTCAACTCCCCCCCTCAACAGCATATGTACCCTGTTCATTATGCTGTTGTTTCAGGATGTGACCTCTGTTCTTCAATACTGCCACATAGCTTGGGGACCCCATTTTGTATGCCACTGCCAGTATTTGCAGGTGTAGCCCAGATCTTGCTTGCTGCATTGCTTGTCTCCCAATGGGCTTTGTGAGTATGTCTGCCAAGTTTCTTGTGGTGTCCATGTACTTGATCTGCACCCTTCCCTCTTGGACATTGTTACAGATGAAGTGATACTTGGTGTCAGTGTGCTTAAGCTTCCAGTGCTGTGCTGGGTCCTTACTAACCTGTATGCAACCAGTGTTGTCTGAGTAGACTGTCAGGGTGCCTGTGGCAATGCCAATTGAGCATAGCAACTGCTTGAGGAAGAGCACCTCATGTGTTGCTTCTGTGGCTGCAACAAACTCTGCCTTGACAGCAGACAATGATACACATTTTTGCATCACTGACTTCCAGGCTACCAGGTTCCCATACACTAATGCCACTGACCCTGATGTACTCCTTCTCTGTATGGTGGCATCACTCATCCAGTTTGCATCACCATGCATGACCAGTGGCTCTTGCAACTCATTTGCCCTATAAACCAATCCAACCTCCTTTGTGCTTTTGAGGTAGTGTAAGACCCATTGTGCTGCCTGATAATGCTCCTGTGATGGTTTGTGCATGTGTCTAGTGAGAACTCCCACAGTGAGGCTAAGGTCAGGCCAGGTGCTGTTGGCAACCCAGAGCAGCTTGCCAATGATCACCAGATACTCCTTCTGTTGTGCTGTGCTTGTGACAATGGTTGCCTCCAGTATGCTCTGCATTGGAACCATGGTTGGCTTTGTACATTTGTCCAGGTGCTTTGCCAGCACTTGGTCAATGTACCCTGACTGACTAATTGTCATGGTGTGCATCACATGGTCTTGACTGATTTTGATGCCAAGGAAGTGAGAGACCTCACCACTATCTTCCATTGTCCATCTCTGGCCAATCTGCTTCTTAACCTTTAGGACCGTTTCCCACCATGGTGCTATGACTAATGTATCATTGACATAGATGACCACAATGGCCATATCTTCACCCTGTCCCTTGGTGTAGATGCAGGGAGCACACTCTACCTGGAAGAATCCCATGCATCACAAAGACCTGTTGAACTCCTGGTTCCATTCTTGCCCAGACTGCTTTAGGCCATATAAACCCTTGACTACCTTGTACACCTGGCCAGGAGCTACTCCTGATCCTTCTGGTGGCTTCATGTAGATTGCTTCCTTTAACGTGGAGTTCAAGTAAGCCATATGTCATGGGCCTGGATGCTCAAGAAGCAGGGGGGTCACAGGTTTATATGGAAGGAGCACAGGTATCGAAGATCTAGTCGAGACCAGTAGAGAGCATGGTCGTAGTGCAGTCTCCATGGAGACCATGGACTCCTATGGACTCACATGCAAAGGAGGGCCAAGCACAGCCACGAGGAGGACCAAGCTCAAGGAGCAGGCACAGCCACGAAGAGGACCAAGCTCAAGGAGCATGCAGATGGTTACCACTCAGGGGCTCGAGAGACAAGAGCCAAAGGAACTGTCACTGATCAAAGGAGAAGGAGCAGTGTCAAAGGAGTCGACACCAGGTCATGAGGAGGAGGAGCAGTGTCAAAGGAGTCGACACCAGGTCCTGAGGAGGAGGAGCAGTGTCGAAGGAGTCGACACCACTCAGGAGGCACAAGGGTGCCAAACAAGCAGGATAGCAAGGAGGAGGAGCAGTGTCGAAGGAGTCGACACAGCTCAAGAGGCACAGGGGTGCCAAGCAAGCAGGAGAGGCCCCCTGAACAGTACTCGATGAAGAAGGTACTCTCTGGAGAGAGAGCAGGAGCAGTGTCATTGGCAACACTGTGAAGAGGTATATAACCATGCTTTCTCATCATCAAAGGTCGAGTGGATCCTCATCCACTCTACACAACCATCATAACTAGTTATCACTTCAGCATAAGTATATATTAGTTTCAGTCAGCATAGCAGCAATCTATCAAGGTTGCTCCTCATCGTAGTGTGTGTGTTGTATCACCACTACCTGACATCTGAAGGCGCCCCATAGCAGGTTAGCAGTCTGGATCAAGATAGAACCAAAGGCAGTAGTCCTTTGCAGTCTGGGGATCACCTCAAGCATCAGTCAACACACTGGACACTCGTGTTGATGCCACCAACCTTATCACCAACACCATCAACCTCATCATCATCAACACTCACACCAGACCTTGGTGTCATCATAATCTATGCATTGATATTGATCATGCTGAGCTACCCCTGAATGGAGTGTCCACAGAGGTCAGCCGAAACCTACAATAGTATATACAATGAATGCCACCTGCTGTCATTGCACAACTTGATAGTCACCAAATGACTAGCTTGTCGAGACCAACACCAAGACAATAGCTGTTGCACAACTCGATAGTCACTGAGTATCTCGACAGACCGACCTGGGTTTCTGGCGCGAGACCCCTGACAAGTTGCTCCATTGGATTGACGTGGGCTGGTCTGGATTGCAAAACTTCCATGCTTTGTGCTTGTCGTCATACCCAATCATGATGGCTGGCTTTGCTCTAGCCCCATACTTGCTTTGCTGGTCCTTCCATTGAACATGGACCCATGCTAAGCATCCAAAGACTTGCAGCTGTTGGGCCAGCTTGTGTGTGGTGGTTCCATAAAAGGCCTTGTGAGGGATGGTCTTGGTGGCTGACAGGGTGAGGTTCATCATGTGTGCTGCTGCTGTGATTGCATACAGCCATAACTCTCTGGGGCAAGCTTGACCAATGAGCATTGAGTGCATCTTTTCTTGGACCAATCTGATTGCTCTCTCTGCCTGTCCATTTTGGACACTGATCCCCAGGATGCTCTTTTGCCACTTGAAACCCTCCTGAGTTTGCCAGTCTTCAGCTCCCAAGCTGCACCACTCTCCTCCATTGTCACTGCAGAGCGTTTTGAGTTTCCTGTCTGTTGCTCATTCCATCCTGGTGATCCACCTTCTCAGCGCCATGAGTGCAGCACCCTTAGTGCAGAGCAGTTCCATGTAGATTAGGGAGGAGAAGTCATCCACAGCAACTAGTGCATAGTGGTAGTTGGCATGGCCCTTGAAATCTGTCATCAAATCTATGTGTACTAGCCCTAGTGGTGCCCCCACTCTTTTCAACTCTGATTGGCTCATCTGTGCTTGGGTCTGTTTCCCTTGACTGCATGCATTGCAATGCTTCAATTTGTGCTTCATCCTCTCATCAGTACCGAGGTAGTGCACCCAGATCTGCCTTGTCTTATCTTGTCCCAGGTGTCCAAACCTCTTGTGCCAGAGGTAGCTGTCCCAGTCTCCTGTGTTCCTATTGTCCTCTGGGACATTGTCTTGTCTTCCTGTGTTCTGGTCATCCTCTGGGACATCATTTAGTGCCTCCTCCAGCTCTAGGGCCAGTGCCTGTCCTTGTACTTTGAACTGGCCCTTTCTCCTGTTCCTCCTGTAATGTACTTGGGTACCATCATTTTGCTTTATGGTGGTCCTGAACTCATCAAAGATTATCCATGCACTGTTCTCGATCAAGCCTTGTACAGACAATAAATTAGCATTGAGTTTTGGCACATAGAGCACATCCAATAGTTGAATGGTAGCATCGCCGACCCAAAGGGAGGTGTCTCCAATGGCCTTCACCTGAAGCCTTTCATCCCCTGCTGTACTGATCTGGCCAACCTTGCTCATTGAGGTGAGCAGCATCCTCTCATCATTTACCATATGATGAGTTGCACCTGAATCAATGATCCAGGTGTCACATGCTGATCACTCATCCCCATCGATTGCTAGGAAGGTGCACCCAAGTTCCTAGTGACTCGCTTCTTGTGCTATATGGGCAGCAGGTTCGCCCATGCTTGGTGTGGGATTATTGTTGTTCATGTTGTTGTTCATGCAATTGCAGGCAATATGGTTCAGTCCTCCACACACATAGCATCTCAGAGGGGCTGAGGGGTTGTGGGGATTGTGCCTGCCTCTTGGTCCCTGCTCCACCTGGTTGTTGTCCCCCTGTTCCACACTCACAGTGACCCTAGCTGCCCCTCTGATATGGCCAGAGATCTCACCATCCTGCTGTTTCTTTGCTAATGCATGATAGGCTTCATCATACTTACAATCTGGTTTAGCTGTCTTGAGTGCATCAACTGAGTTGGCATAGAACCAGTCTTGAGCTGTGCAGCAGTAGAGCATGGATTTCTTTAGATCCTCATCAAAATGCTTCCCAAGATGTGCTGCATCGTTCCAGATGGAGTCAAGTTCCTTGCCCAGCTTGATGACATCCTGATTGTACAGACATATGGTATGGATGTGGTCCTGCAGGCCTGCTTGCTTTACCATGTCATTAAATGTTAGTGCCTTCTTAAGCTTAGTGTAAAGCATACTACCAAGTTGGATTTCCTCATCCGCCCCCCTGACAGTGTATGCGTCAATGTGGCTTTCTGGGCTGTGATCACAGCAAGTGTGAATGAGACCTACCAGGGCCTTGTCCAAGTCCTCATCATATTCCTCACTTCCAGGTGCTATGTCACCATACAGAATCTCCTTTGCATTGTGTACTTGTTGCAGGCAGTTGATGAAGGTGGGCTCCCAGGTGTGCCAGTTGCTATCACTAAGTTTCTTGATATGTGCAATGGAACTTGAGATGTCCTTGGGAATCTTCTCCACCTCCCCTCATGGGGCCTGATTGCTAAGGCTGATGAGACCCATTGCCTGTATGATCGCTTCCTCCACTGTCAGTGTTGGGTTTGCTAACTGTAGGATTCTGACTACCTGTGTGAGCCAACCCTCCTCTTGACCATTGCCTGCAGCCATGGCTGCTTGATCATCATCTCTCTCATCCCTTCTGGTCTGCCCTGCTCTTGTTGATGGTGGCATTGTGCTAAGCATCAGACTCTTGATGTGTTGAATGTCGTGGGTTCAAGCCCCATGTTGGGAGCCAGTTGAAGTTCTCTTGTTTGTTGATGATAGTTCTAAATACAAATGCGAGTCAAGTATCTTCAAGTTTTCGCCACTCACGCACACTCGGAATGCATGCATGCATGCACTGCTGAGCCCCTTTTGCGCAAGCCTTTTACTCGGCCGTAAACACTTTCTCCGCAGTCTCTACGCTTTGTGCGGCTTCATCTACTTCAACTAGTTGCTCACTCTCAGTCGCCCTTTCTCGCCTTTTCCCTTTTTCCTTTTCCCTTTTCCCTTTTCCCTTTTCCCTTCTGAAGGTCAAGCCTTTTTTGGGCTCGAAACGCTGGCTGGCATTTACATTTATTCGAGGAAAATCAATTTGACCGTGAGAGTGTCTGTGTCGGCGTTGGACATCCGCACCGCCTAAACGCGGCTTGAGAAATCTCACAATTTCCAAAAGAAAGGCGCGATTCAATTTTAATTCTTGGCACACAGGAGCTTTCTCGTACGTGTTATTACACAGGGTGGCCCGTGCATTCGCGGTCGAAGCCTCCACTCTCCACCCTTCCACCTCTTTGGCTTTTTCAGCGCGGCAGAGAGAGAGAAAATCAATCGCAGTATGGCTCGATCATCGCTGGGAAAAGGAGCAACTGTTGGTGAGCGCGTTGCCTTTTCTTAGAAGAGAAGCAGATTCCAACGCCGTTTCAGCTGTGATTTGCCCCCCCCCGTCAGGTTGCGGAGTGTCACAAGTTTACTCACCATCATCTCGAATCTTGTCAACTTGCTACCATCATTCTATCTGAAGCTCAACATCTGGAAACCTTCAATCTAGCAACATAGTCAATATGCCTCTTTTCGTCCTCAGCCCCGTAAGTCATATCGCTCCTGTTCCTCACCAGCCTGTTCTCACCACTCTCCCCCCATGGCGCCTGCTGACGAGTATCTTGTCCCCTCGTCATTTTTTCCACTCTCCCAACTCGAACGACAAATAGGCCTCTTTGGCACACTCGGCCCTCTTCGCAGGCTACTACTCCTATCTTTCCTCCAACGTCATTGCCAACCGTCTCAACACCAACATCTACCTTGGTTCCAGCGATTCGGACAAAGTCTCCGGTCCTGGTGAAAAAAAGGTCAACAGTGCCGCAGACATTGCCAAACTCCAGCGTGCCGTTCGTGCGCATGGTAACTTTGCAGAATCTGCTCCGTTTGCCTTTTTCCTTATCTTCCTCGCTGAACTTAACGGTGCCCCCACTTGGCTCGTTCACGCTGCATACACTACCCTCTTTGCCGCTCGTGTCGCTCACGCCAATCTCGGTATCCAGGCTGAAAACAGCGCAGCTGCCGGTCGTTCCATCGGCACTCTTACCACCATTGTCGTTACCCTCACCGCCGGCCTCTACAACGTAAGTACAGCCATACAATATCCCGAAGCTTGTGTAGACACGGCTTTGGCCCTATAAGCACTCACCCTGATTGGAATGCTCACTTTGCTTCGCTCTCGCTTTCGTACCTCCAGTTGAACCTCGGTTGGGAGCCCCTCAAGTCCTTCCTTGGCTTCAAGTAGATCCTGTCTATCCGCTTTAATGCTTTGTAGCATCTAAATGCCCAGATCATTCAGCTTGGATGTACATTCGATACGCTCAATCACAAATGTTTCTTCCTCTCAAGCAACTTGTCGAATAAACCATAAATCCACAGTCTCATATTAGTATACAATCAAATTACGCTGACAGAGTGCTGTGTGCCTATTGTTCCCTTGGTCCAAGCCAAAGCCCGATCCAAGCGCGCTTTTCTACTTGATTGAAAAGAGGATCAGGCGATGCTAGCAGATATTCTTTCTTGCCTCCAACAACTCTCGGTTGAAAGGTGGCAAAGGCGCACAGAGCGTGACCATCTTTGGTCGCCCTGAAGGGCAAGATGGCAGATCAAGTGTCTGTGTAAGTTGCATCGGCAGCAAACAGGACTGGCGTTGCTGCTAGCGTTTCTGCATCCATCAGTGTGCCCGGCTGTCCAGCTTCGGAACTAGACGACGTTGCAAATGACGGAGGCTCTTCAAGCTGCAATCGCAGATGGTTGGCGTGCAGCCCCTTTGTCGACTCATCATGTCCTTGCATGACTGCGAGTGCCAACTGCCGCAGGTCTTGCGACATGGCCAGTGATGTCGATGAAAACATGGCGCTTGACAGGCGGTTTTCCGTAGAGCTCTCGGCTTCTTCTGCCTCGTCAGTCTGCAAGGATACATCCTTGTCCTCACCGTAAGGCGACGAGGGGTCAGAAGAGCTGCTCTTTTCATCGTCCAAGCTGGTGAGCGGTGAACTGTCACGACTGGCCCTCGAGCTGACACTGTGGTCTGTCTGTTGCAGCATCGAGGCTGCAAACACCTGAGTGCGACCCTCTTCGAATACTGCATCAGCTCCATCATCCTGGGCATCTCCATCGTCTGTGCCATCTTCTTGAAGCTCCTCCAGCTCCGATTCTGACGTGCTGTAGTCCGCTGCGCCACGCACCCAAACGTCCTTTTCCATGTCGTGGTAGTTGGGCATCCTTCTCGCCTCTCTGACCGCTGAGGCGAGCGCCGCTGGTGCTTGCGTGCAAGACGGGGCCCGTGCGGGTATCTTGAGTTTGAGCACGAGTCTCCGTCTCCGTCTGCGTCTCGGCATAGCAGTCCGTTTGGCCGCCACCAGCTTGAGTACACGGCGAGCCACGGCGAGCTGACCAAGAGCGTATTCGTCGAGCGAGCTCAAGACTTGACCCTCGGCCACCTCGTCTGAGAGATTGAGTCTCAGCATCTCTTCGGCCGGGTGGTGCTTCTTAGGAGGTCTGCCTCGGCGTTTTGGAGGGCCGAAAGCAACAGCGTCGGGATCTTTGGATTTTCTCTTGACCGATCTACCATTGCTTTTACATGGGTTTGGCGAGGGCTCATCCATTTGCAAAGCGGCCGTTTCAGCAAGGATGGCACCAATCCGACCCTGCAGACTCTCTAAGCCATCCTGATCTTGAGAAGCGAGCTTTCGGAGCTCACCTGTGAAAGCCAAACGGCGTTCTTTGCCCTTGTGCACGAGATCGCCAAACCCGGAGCGTCGTAGACAGACGGAACAGCTGCAGTAACCCAGGCATCGAGGACAGTGGAACTTGGGATCATCGGCGTTGAAGTCCATACCGTAACGAGCTTCGATGCATCGTTGGCAGTACATGAGGCCACATTCCACGCCTTGGCGAAAGCGAACGCATCGCACCTTGCGGCTAGGTGTCTTTCGTCGGCACTGGTGGCAGGATGTCATTACAGTGCCGTCGGGAAGCACGTCGGGCTGGCGCTTCTTGCGCTTAGTCTTGAGGCGGCCCAGGGAGTCATAACCTCTGAAGATATCATCATCGTCGTCTAGCACTTGCACTTGGTCTTCTTCTGCCTCCTCTTCGTCCTCACTCCATGTCATGAGGTCCTCTGGTCGAATGTCTGGCACGTCTCTGACAAAGATATAGTCGTTTCGAGCTCGATCACGTAAGGTTGGAAGGTCGACGTAAGCCAGGTCGAAGACTTGACCGGGGTTTGGTGCAGATTTAGTGGTGCCATCGTCGGCGAACTTGACTTTACGATTATACTTGTTCTTTTTGTCGGCGGCCTCGTTGAATGGGCGAACAGAGTCGTCGCGAGTATGCTTCTTTGGCCGACCTCGGCCTCTGCTCGGTGTATCGAGCGTTTGGGTGGGCTGGTCGTTGGCTTGGTGGTCATCTTGATCCTCAACATCTTGCACGGGCAGTTCATCGACTTTTGTTTTGGTGCCTGTTGCCGAGAGACCGAGTTGATCCAGAAGGGCCGCATTGGCTCGCAGTTTGCGCTGACGGCGCTCCTCGTAGTCCTCATCATCATCGCCCGAGTCGCTCTGCTGGCCTGTGTCGAGCAGAGCTTTGAGTTCATCATAGAGAGGTTGCATCTCTAGCTCCTTGGGATCGAAAATCGGCCGCTGGTTCGCCAGAGGATCTGGCGGTGGTTCTGGCGTTGCGACGGGCAACTCGGAGGGAGCCAAGTGCAATTGCATCTCGGCATCCTCCTCGTCAGGTGAATCATGGATGACAGCCTGCATCGTTAGCATCTGTGGGGTGCCTGGAAGGTGATCAAAGGATTCTGGTAAAGTAGGCGCGGAAGCGTCTGCAGGTGGCAGCTCTGGCGTGACAACATCGTCCAGATCAAGTTCATCCGTGTCCTGTCGATAATGCTGTTTGCTTGGAGATGATGGTTCGCTGTCACTGCTGTCAAGCAACTCGATGACCGGCCTTGCTGCTCTCGCAGACTTATTGATGGTTGCAGGCGAGAGAAGATCGCCAAGCGTGGCTCGCCCAGAGCCATTGTGACTTTTGGAGTCAGGCTTGCGGCGGGGTTTCTGGCGAGAAGGGGTCAATCGTGAGGAGCTCGCTATCTCCGAGTTATGACCATTGGTGCGGCGTGAGCTGGGAGCGCCTGACTGCGAATATGAGTCTGCGCTCCGCGCGGCAGCGCGATGACTCAACGGCATGACCTCTAGGATGTACTTCGGCGCAGAAGAGCGCTAGGAACGATAGCGCCTCGATGTAGCCGTCATGTGTGTGGTTGATTGAGCTGGCGTGGATGAGGTGGGGGGGGTAACAGCGGAGCAGCTGCTTGTAGCGACGCGGACCAAGACCAGGGTGGCGAATCGTTGTAGCTGGAACAGACGCCGTCGAGATCAAGAGGTGAGGAGATGAGCAGCGACCAAGACACGAGCCACGCTGACGTCTAATCGGATCGATCCGAAAGATGTGAGTCAGCAGAAAGTCAAATTGACTCTCAGAGCGGATGTTCCGATCGTGAAAGGCTGCCGAACCGAAGTGTGACAATAGCAGAAGATGAGAGAACAAGAGCAAAGGATCGTGAGAAAGAGAAATAGCAGAAATAGGAGAAATAGCAGGAGCAGGAGCAGGAGCAGGAGCAGGAGCAGGAGCAGAAGGAGCAGAAGAAACAGAAGGTGTCGATACAAAGTTAATTAAGCAGACGAGCGTGACTCTTTCTTTTTGGCCGACGAAAGGGTCCAAAGACTCGATCGAATTCAATTCTCATTTCACAAGACGAGTGGGCAATGAACGCGGTCTCTCGTGGGTGTCTACGGCAGCGGCTAAGTAATGTGCTCATGTGCCTGCACTCAGGAGTCTCGGAGATCGGGCATCCGCAATCAATCATTCAATCAATCAATGCTTTCACTCGAGTCAGCTTCCGCAAAGAAAAGCGTTCAGAGATCTGGCAACTAAAACGGGATTCGGGATTCGGGATCGGGGAGGTGGCCCATCCGATTTGCAAACCGTAAGCAGATGGTCAATCGCCGATATTGCAGAAAAGAAGAGCATACAGTCTTTCATGGCAAGTTAAGCAAGAGGATTACATGCCGACTTTGCCAATGAAGCAGTATCAAGATGCCGACAATGCACAGTGAGGATGGGTATAGCAAACACAGGAGTCGTGAAAGGTCGTCAAGGTGGTGTAAGAAAGAGTCATAGAGTGGCGCGAGATGTGCTGATCAGGCCATCGTCCAAAGTGCAAGAGCAAGCGGCCATCGTTGCTGCTGTTGCCTATGACCATCAGAACATAGTCGAGAAAACGTCGGCAGCATCGATGCTAGACGACGCGTTTAGCGACTGCGCATTGGCACCTATCTTGTTGTTCTTGAAGGTGAAGCCAGCCCACAAGGCTCGTCCACCTGCTCCAGCGCCACCTTCTCGAACAGCCTCGACATTCTTCTGTTTCTCGTGCACATCCTTGTATCGCGCCATATCCGCAGGGTCATCAAAATTGTCAAAGTAGCCCGTGTCCTCCTCGCTCTCCAACTCGGGAATGAAAGGTGCCTTGAGCTCACGCAGACCTCCAAGATCCAAGGAGCGGAAGAAGGCGTGTGCCTGTACTGCTTCCAGGCTGCTGTAACGGCGTTCGGGTGTGTCGACGAGCTTGGTGATAGCATCCCATGCTGTGTCGCTCAGGTTGAACTGCATGTTCTCGGCAGTGTCGTAGACCGGACGCTGGAGCACCTTTTGCCAGTTCTTGAGGTTAGCAAACGTTTCCTCTGCATTGCTGCCGCTGAAAGGTGGGAAACCGCACAGGAACTCGTACAAGATGCATCCCAAACTCCAGTAGTCGACGCCAAAGCTATACTCTCGTCCGCGCAACATCTCCGGTGCAATGTAGTCTGGACTACCGACAATCGAGTTGGCGCGGTGTTGTGTGTGCTGGATCATCTTCTTGAACATGGAGCCACGCTCAGCAGGTGTTCGGTAGACAAAGTCACTCTCCTTGACTGCTTCCAGCTTGGCCTTCATCGATTCGATCTTGCCAGGATTGAGCGCTCCGGAAGCAAGTCCAAAATCGGTCAGCTTGACGTGACCTGAGGAATCGACCAAGAAGTTTTCTGGCTTCAGATCACGGTGAATGTAGCCCAGACGGTGAAGCTCGTTGACCGAAACGATCATCTCGGCCATGTAGAATCTTGCGTACTCTTCCTTCAGAGCGCCGTTGTTGCAAAGAAGTGTGCGGAAGTCTCCACCGGGCACGTATTCCATCGCCAGGAAGACGTGGTCAGGGTCTTGGAAAGCATACAGAAGAGCGACGAGCCAAGGCGTCTTGGTCGCTGTGAGAATGTCCCTCTCCGTCAGCACGTGACGCACTTCATCCATCTTGACCAGAATGCGCTTCTTGAGCCTCTTCAGCGCGCAGATCTCGCCTGTGTCGCGCTTTCTTGCAAGGAAGACCTCGCCATAACCACCTGCTCCGACCTGGCTGATGATGTGGAATTGGTTGACGCGCAGCTTGGTCCTCCTCTTGCGCAGCAAAGCGCGTTCGCGACCAAAGTATGAGCTGCGCTCTCTGAGATACTCTGGTGTAGGAGCGGCGTCCTCAGTCTCTGCAAGCAGCCCGCGAGATCGTGTCGACTCTTGGAAACGGGCATGTCTAGCCTTGCGATCGGCGAGGTAGCGGAGGTTATCAAAGTAGTAGTTGAGGAAGTAGAGTTGGGCTACATTTGCCTTACGTTGCACCTCAGTGCTTCCAACGATCTCGTTCTCCCATGGCTGTAAACCTTCTCCGCGCCTCCAGCTCCTCCAACTGCCCTTTGGATCAGGCTGCGAATCGTTGCAAGACTCGTTGATGCGCGAAAGATCGTGATGGTGCTTGGTCGGCTTGACCTGCTCAGTGACGAGAGCGAGCTGTGAGTAGCTGTTTTCCTTCTTCGAGGCTGTAAGCGGCGAAGGCACCGAAGCGCTCGCATCCAAACCTTGAACTGGTGCCATGGCTGGCGTGGGATGTTGTCTGATCGAGGTAGTGGCAAGCAGAAGCACGTGTTAGGAAGGGAAAGAAGAAGGATGCCGTGATGTAGTCTAACTTACATTTTTAGAGGAACAGGTCTGGCATTATCAACTCGCACTTTGACACGGAGCAGCTCTCTTCAACACAAGCCGAGGCGGCAAGCGTGCAGCTTGCAGCTCGCTTTTCGCAGGGCAAGAGAGGAAATTACATGTCTCGAAGCAACATCAGAAGCAGGTGAAGCCACCTGTGAACAAAAGTCATATATACCGTCGCACAAGGAGAGGCAAAGTGTCACTTTCATATTTGGCGGCGCGACGCGGTCACGTGCTGAGAGCCATTTGATTTTGTTTTTTGTGTTTTTTGTGTTTTTTGTGTTTTTTTTTTTTTTTTTTTTTTTTTTTTTTTTTTGGTGGCAGGAAATGGCAGAATAGCGAGACTGCTCAGATGCATTCGACTCACGCGACTACAGATCAACACTTTTCAAGGCGATCCTCATCGCAGTTGATAATCACGACTACCATCATCCTATTCTCAGTATCTACAAAGTGCACCACCCTCATAGCAATCAGGCTCGCGGAAACAAGCAGATCCATAGACACTCGAGAATCCTTGCACCTTTCTCCTATACGCACACAAATTTGCACACCCCTACACAATGGCGACCGCACCACGCCCCTCGGTCCTTGCGACACCACGAAGACCATTCGGAACGGGAGCTCCATCGAATGCAGAGATGCGCAAGGTCTACGCTGATCTGGACAACAACACCGTCTTCGACTTTTCCAGCATCGTCTCGGCAGTAAAGACCTTTTCCACACGCTTCCGAGCCTATACCGAGAATGCCATCTCGAACATCAACGACGATAAGGCAGAGTTTGATGCCAATCGCATGGAGCATCGCAACCAACTCAGCACACTCGACCGGGAGATCGAGGATGCCAAAGCAAGTCAGGGCGACTTGTGGGAGACGATTGCTCGAGAAAGGGAGCAGGACGCCAGCCTTCGGTCCAGGCAGCAGGCCTTACAGTCGCAAAAGGCATCCGTAACACAACGATGCAACGAGCTGCAAGCAGAGATCGCTGAGCTCAGGCAGAATCTGGAAAAAAAGAAGCAAGCCAAGGAGTTGCAGAGGGAGAAATTGAAGGAGCAGATCAACAAGAACGGGCCCGAACTGCGTCTGTTGGAGTCCAAGACAGGATGCTCAATCCAACCCACCAAAGTCGGCGATCAGCTCAAGTTCATCTACAACCTCATGAACGCAGATGACTGGTCGCAGGAGTGCCACTTCACCATCGATGTCAGCAGCAGCAAGTACAAGCTCACTTCCCTCTCGCCGAAACTCGATGCTAGCTTGCAAGGCTCCTTGCTACAGGAGCTCAACTCGACACGTAAATTCTACACTTTCGTCAAGAAGATGCGCGCGGCGCTCAGGGCACAGGTCGAGAAGGAACGTCTCGAAGCACGCGACGCTGTTCGTCGTGGAGGGCGATGAAGCTGCGCGTATGTCGATCCTACGTCTCAAGGCCTTCTGATATCTGCTCGCGTCGCCGCCTTACCGTCTCTTTCTGCTACCATGTTGATCCTACCTTTGTAAGCTACCCCTTTGATACCTCTTTCTGTATTTGTACCCAGTACCTTAGTTTTGTTTTTTTTTTGGCAATTTATCCTTGTCACATCTTACCTATGCCAACGACCTTAGCCCTGTCCGTACGATTCACTGTGACTTTGTGTCTACTCCACCAATCCATGTAGATATGCCTGCTGCCTGCTCTGACTTGTCAAGATGTGTTCATAATGCGTTCAAGTTGCGGGTGGGAGGAGACGGTCCTTTCTGTCGCCGCGATTATTTTTTTTGGATTTTTTTGGATTTTTTTGGATTTTTAGTTGAAGTAGATAAAGCTACACAAAGCGTAGAGACAGTGAAGGTAATGCTTACGGCCGAGTAAAAGGCCTGAGCATCTGAGCACAGACCACATGTGTCACAACCTACTCAAGACAAATGCTTTGTTATGTTCCGCAGTCAATGCGGCTCTCTGCCGCTCTTCTTTTGTATATATATAGACTCCTTCTCTCTCCTCGCTCTCTCGCTCTCTCCCTCTTACTATCATCATCAACAAAACGCCTCAACTCCAACTACTGACAAATGACTTTAACTGATTAAGAGTCTGAAACTCAACGCAATGCCACCATTGACAAGAGCTGGACAGACGGGAAGGGGCGATGATGATCAAACAACCACAGGCAACGGACAGGAGGAAGGATGGCTCATGCAGGTAGTCAGGATCCTCCAGCTGGCGAACCCAGCACTAATGGCCAAGGAAGCGATCATGCGAGCTATGGGCCTCATCAGCATTAGCAACCAGACCCCATGCAGGGAGACTGAGAAGATCCCCAAGGAGGTGTCGAGTGCCATTGTGCACATCAAAAAGCTCAGCGACAGCAACTGGCACACTTGGGAACCTACCTTCATCAACTGCCTCCAAAGAGTACATAATGAGAAGGAGATACTGTATGGCACGGTGGTGCCTGGAAATGAGGAATACGACGAAGACTTGGATAAAGCCCTCGTGGGCCTCATCCACGCCTGCTGTGACAACAGTCCAGACAGCCATATCGACACCTACACCATCAGGGGAGCGGATGAAGAAGTCCAGCTCAGTAGCACACTCTATGCCAAACTCAAGAAGGCACTAACACTGAACGACGCTGTAAAGTGAGCAGGACTGCAGGATCGTATTCACACAGTGCGCTTGCACAATCGAGACATTGTCAGGCTAGGCAAGGAACTCAATTCGATCTGGAATGATGCGGCACACCTGGGAAAGCATTTCGACGAGGACCTCAAGAAATCAACTCTCTATTGCTGCATGGCCCAAGATTGGTTCTATGCCAACGCTGTCGACGCACTGAAGATGGCCAGACCAGACTGTAAGTATGATGAAGCCTACCACGCACTCGCCAAGAAACAGCAGGATGGTGAGGTCACTGGCTGTATTAGAGGAGCAGCAAGGGTTGCCACAAGCACGGAACAGGGGAGCACCAACCAGGTGGAGCAAGGACCCAGGGGCAGGCGCGATCCTCACAACCCCTCGGCCCCCCCAAAGTGCTACGCTTGTGGAGGACCTAATCACATTGCTCGGAACTGCACGAACACCAACAATAACCCCGCACCGAGTAGGGATGGACCCACCACCAATCCAGCACAAGAAGCGAGTCGGTAGGAACTCGGGTGCACCCTCCTAGCGATTGGCGGGGATGAGCAACCAACATCGGACACCTGGATCGTCGATTCGGGTGCGATGCATCACATGGTGAACGATGAAAGAATGCTGCTCACCTCGACATGCAAGGACAGTCAGATCTGTATGGCTGGAAATGAAAGGCTTCAAGTGAAGGCCATAGGAGATGCCTCCCTTCGGGTTGGCAATGTAACCATTCAGCTATTGGATGTGCTCTACATGCTGAAACTTAATTCTAATTTATTATCAGTACAAGGCTTGATCGAGAATGGTGCATGGGTAACTTTCGATGAGTTTGGAACCATCATTAAGCAAAATGACAGCACACAAATACAATACAAGAGGAACAGAAGAAAAGGGCGGTTCGAAGTACAGGGAAAGGCACTAGCCCTGGAGTTGGAAGAGACACTCGACGACGTCCCAGAGGACAACCAGAACACAGGAAAACTAGATAATGCCCCAGAGGGCAATAAGGACATGAAGCATCGAGACAGCTACCTATGGCATGAGAGGTTCGGACACCCAGGATGAGACAAAACAAGACAAATCCGGGCTCATTACCTAGGTACCGATGAGGAAATGGAACATGAGTCGAAGCACTGTAACACGTGCAGCCAAGGAAAACAGACTTGAGCACAGATGGGCCAATCAGAGTCGGAAAGAATGGAGGCACCATTAGAGCTGGTACACGTAGACCTGATGACAGATTTCAAAGGACATGCCAACTACCACTACGCACTAGTTGCTGTGGACGACTTCTCCTCTCTGATCTACATGGAACCACTCTGCACCAAGAGTGCCGCACTCACGGTGCTGAGGAGGTGGATAGCCAGGATGGAATGGGCAATGGACAGGAAACTCAAAACACTCCGCAGCGACAATGGAGGAGAATGGTGCAGCATAGCAGCCGAAGACTGGCAAACTCAAGAGGGTTTCAAGTGGCAAAAGAGTGTCCCAGGGATCAGCATCCAAAATGGACGGGCGGAGAGAGCAATCAGGTCGGTCCAAGAAAAGATGCACTCGATGCTGATTGGTCGAGCTTGCCCCAGAGAGTTGTGGCCATATGCAATCACAGCAGCAGCACACGTGATGAACCTTACCCTGTCAGCCACCAAGACCATCCCCCACAAGGCCTTTTATGGAACCACCGTGCACAAGCTGGCCCAGCAGCTGCGAGTCTTCGGATGCTTGGCATGGGTTCATGTTCAACAGAAGGACCAGCAAGGCAAGTATGGGGCTAGAGCAAAGCCAGCCATCATGATTGGGTATGACGACGGACACAAAGCATGGAAGTTTTGCAACCCAGACCAGCCTGCGTCAATTCAATGGAGCAACTCAGCAATGTTCCATGAGGACAAAGGATGGAGTGATCGCCAACAGGAGGCAGTCAGGCCCATGGTGACTGCAGAGGTCAAGGAGGAGGGTGTCACACCAGCCATAGTGGAGGAGGAGACCAAATCAGAGGCCGCAGTGGAGGATCTCCTACCAGCCGTAGACAGCACAGTAGGCGCTGCCAACACAGCAATACTGAACCTGGACCCAACGCTTGGGGAAGCAATGAATGGTGAGGACGCCCAGCTCTGGAAGGAGGCAATACGAAAGGAGCTAGAAGGACTCGAGGCAATGGGGACTTGGGAGGTGGTGCACCAACCACCAGGAGTACCACTTGTGGACTCTAAGGTTGTGCTTCAGCTGAAGCTTGACGCTGATGGTGTACCTGTTAAGCACAAGGTGCGACTGGTTGCAAGGGGCTTCACACAGAGAGAGGGGATCGACTACCAAGAAACCTTCTCTCCAGTAGCACCCCTCGGAGCAATCAGAGCCATCTTAGCACTAGCGGTGCAGAACAACTGGGAGGTGCATGCTCTGGACATCACTATGGCTTACTTGAACTCCATGTTAAAGGAAGCAATCTACATGAAGCTGCCAGAAGGATCAGGAGTAGCACCCGGCAAGGTGTACAAGGTAGTCAAGGGTCTATATGGCCTAAAGCAGTCTGGGCGAGAATGGAATCAGGAGTTCGACAGGTCTTTGCGATGCATGGGATTCTTCCAGGTAGAGTGCACTCCCTGCATCTACACCAAGGGACAGGGTAAAGATATGGCCATTGTGGTCATCTACGTCGATGATACATTAGTCATAGCACCACGGCTGGAAACGGTCCTAAAGGTTAAGAAGCAGATTGGTCAGAGATGGAAGATGGAAGATAGCGGTGAGGTCTCTCACTTCCTGGGCATCAAAATCAGTCGAGACCGTGCGATGCACACCATGACGATTGGTCAGTCAGGGTACATTGACCAAGTGCTGGCAAAGCACCTGGACAAACATACAAAGCCAACCATGGTTCCAATGCAGAGCATACCGGAGGGAACCCTTGTTGCAAGTGCAGCACAACAGAAGGAGTATCCGGTGATTGTTGGCAAGCTGCTCTGGGTTGCCAACAGCACCCGGCCCGACCTTAGCCTTACCATGGGTGTTCTCGCTAGGCACATGCGTGAACCATCACAGGAGCATTATCAGGCAGCACAAAGGGTCTTACGCTACCTCGAAAGCACAAGGCAGGTTGGATTGGTTTATAGGGCAAGTGAGTCGCAAGAGCCACTGGTCGTGCACAGCGATGCAAACTGGGCGAGCAATGCCACCATACAGAGAAGGAGTACATCGGGGTCAGTGGCATTAGTGTATGGGAACCCAGTAGCCTGGAAGTCAGTGACACAAAAATGCGTGTCATTGTCCACTGTCGAGGCAGAGTTCATTGCAGCCACGGAAGCAACACGTGAGGTGCTCTTCCTCAAGCAGCTGCTATGCTCAATTGGCATTGCCACAGGCACACCGACGGTCTACTCGGACAACACTGGTTGCATAAAGGTTAGTAAGGACCCAGCACAGCACTGGAAGCTTAAGCACATTGACACCAAGTATCACTTCATCTGTAACAACGTCCAAGAGGGAAGGGTGCAGATCAAGTACATAGACACCACAAGAAACTTGGCAGACATACTCACAAAGCCCATTGGGAAACAGGCAATGCAGCAAGCAAGATCTGGGCTACACCTGCAAATACCGGCAGCAGTGTACGAAACGGGGTCCCCGAGCTATGTGACAGTGTTGAAGAACGGAGGTCACACCTTGAAACAACAGCATAATGAACAGGGTACATATACTGTTGAGGGGGGGAGTTGAAGTAGATAAAGCTACACAAAGCGTAGAGACAGTGAAGGTAATGCTTACGGCCGAGTAAAAGGCCTGAGCATCTGAGCACAGACCACATGTGTCACAACCTACTCAAGACAAATGCTTTGTTATGTTCCGCAGTCAATGCGGCTCTCTGCCGCTCTTCTTTTGTATATATATAGACTCCTTCTCTCTCCTCGCTCTCTCGCTCTCTCCCTCTTACTATCATCATCAACAAAATGCCTCAACTCCAACTACTGACAAATGACTTTAACTTTTTTTTGGATTTTTTTTTTTTTTTTTTTTTTTTTTGGCAATCCCGCCTGGACACTCAATCGCACAAAACAAAACCGAAATTGTATAGACCTAACACGAACAAACTAAAAATAACACCGAACCAGGCTCCTGGCTTTTGGTCAGGATGATGTTGTGAAGAGAGGCGGCCAGACGCGCACGCCTTCATGAGTGACCACGTGACGCATTTCAAAGCTTGTCGGCCAATTTTGGAATTTGTGAGGCTCAATCTTGCATCAAGAAGGTCGTGTGTGCTTGCCATCACCTTTCTCTCTTCACCTCAAGCATCAGCACCTTCGACACTGTCTCCTCCTTCTGCTAGACGCGAGCATATCAAAGAGCTCGCTACGGTTAAGCGGGCCCCACTATACACCATGGTGGCACCGCGAATGTCGATCAAGTTCCTGGGCACTTCGTCCATGCCCAACCCGACTAGGAATTACTCTTCCTTACTCTTCAAGTTGGACAACCACACCGTCATGGTCGACTGCGGTGAAGGCACACAGCGCCAATTCAGATCCCGCTACGTCGGTGCCGATGAGCGTCTTGCAAATCTCAAAACCATTCTCATCACCCATCTTCACGCCGACCATGTTCTTGGTCTGGTTCCATTACTGATGTCGATGATGGGCCCATCCGGCGCTTCTCCTCCCGCAGATAGCGCAGCACCACGAGTAGAGATCTACGGACCGCCAGGTCTGAGAGCCTTGATACGGACCACATTGTCTCTGTGCTACTCGCAGCTCAGTGGCAAGTATGTCGTGCACGAGTTTGTGTGGCCGTCGACCAGTCAGCTGCCAGATGGTGCAGCCCATGCGCTCAGTGATCAGCCTCAGCGGATGGTCCCCGATCTACCTTTGCACGACGGAGAAGTAGCTACTGGACGTGACCTTGATATGGACTCCCGATCATATAGCTGGCCCAACTTCCTCGAGCTCAAGACCTCTTCACATGGTCCAAGCGTGCGTGTCAGCGCAGCTCCTATCTCACATCGATGTCCGACGCTCGCATATGTATTCGAAGAGGAAGCCAGAGCGCCACCACTTGATCCCAGTATAGCTGAAGCGTTGAAGCGAAATGCGAGAGCGCTCCAAGAGCAAAGAGGGATCCGACACCCGCTATCGCTCCTATCGACGCTCACAACAAAACGTCGCTCAGTTCAACTGCCAGATGGAACCGTCTTGCATCCTCCACCACTGAGCCTGCCTGGTCGCAAAGTCACCCTCATGGGCGACACAAGCGACGGTACTGGCGGCTTCTCTGAAGCGCAACTCCACGCCGGATACGGCCTGCCTGCCCTCGCTTACGGATCCGACGTCTTGGTCCATGAGAGCACCAACATTGCTCTCCCACCGTATCTCAATAAGAACGGCAAGGCTGACACGCTTCAAGATGTAGCAGCGAAAGCGAAGCTGCGTGGACACTCTGTGCCCCAAGTAGCAGGCCAGTTCGCTGCTTTGCTGAATGCGAAACGACTCATCCTCAACCACTTCTCCACTAAATACCCAAGCCCGCCGCATCATCTTCTCGACACTGCAGGCATCAACCGGGACTCGACACAGGTGCAGGAGGGCAGTCAGCAGGCAGGGCGAGATCGAAAGCTGGGCGATCCGGAGCGAAAAGCGTTCATCATGAAGGAGTTCGAAGTACAGGCCTATCAAGCTTGGCAGCAAGCCATCAAGAGGCAAGGGACACAATTCCAGACGTACTCAGCATTCGATGGGTTCCACTTTGAGGTTCCTGCTCGGCCAGAGGAGGTTGAAGGGGTAGCAAAAAGCGGTGATGGGAATGTGTATGCAAGGCCATGGGAGGCAGTAGTAGCACAAAGTGACAACGGCAACAGTCTGAAGAGGAAGCATAACGAGCAAGGCACAGTAAGCGACGAGAAAATCAACGTTTGGGATCCTTCGTCTTTCCTCGTGCCATCGTTGCGAGCCAATGCACCGCGATACGCCATGGTGTTGCTCAACTCACCAATCGACAGGCGGCAGGTGGGCCACTTTCGACGGTTGTGGGATTCTGCCTCTCTGCGACTGTGTGCGGACGGCGCAGCCAACCGACTGCTCGACACCTTCGGCGCGACAGCATTCGAAAGTCAGAGCGGGGCTTCCTCTGTGTCCTTGCCAAACGCCATCTTGGGCGACTTGGATTCTATCCGACCAGAGACGCAGAGCTTTTTCGAATCAAAAGGCGTAGGAGTGCACGTCCGACCATCGCAGTACGCCACAGACCTACAAAAGACAATCCAAGAGATCCAAGACCAGGAGGATACAGCAGCAGACGGCGTCGAGAATACAGTCATTATCTTTGGCGGTCTTGCAGGGCGTTTGGATCAAAGCGTACACACTCTGCATGTGTTATGGCAGCTAGCGCCCGGTACGAAGGATTTGGGCGGCATGGTGGATCCGGATGCAAGCAACGAGCGAGGCGACAGGCTGAGAAAGCGACCACGCACGTTTGCTATTGGCGATGGCAGTGTAGCCTGGTTGCTGCCCAAGGGGAAGCACACGCTGAAGATGGCAAGAGAGGTGATGGGAGAGACATGCGGTATCCTACCTCTTGGTGTGGGCGATGATGGTGCTAAAGTGACGACCAAAGGTTTGCAATGGAATCTGGAAGGAAACTCGACGACATTGGGTGGATTTCTGTCGACATCAAATTACCTCTTCGACAAGGAGGGTGTAGTTGAAGTGGAGAACGACGAGCCAGTATACTGGACCGTAGAGCTTCGTCCGGATAGCGACTGCAGTTTGTGAGCGCTTGGCAAGCTCAAGATGCTGCCAATCAGAGACTTAAGTTGCTTTGATGTATTGCCTTTATGGAGCACTGCAAGGCGAATAGCAGCCACCTAGCTCTTCTCATCAGCGAGCAAAGAAAGTCGTCCAACATGGAGAGAGGAATCACCAAGACAAGCAGCTCTTCTCCAAGCATGAATCGGCTCTAGTGTGGCAAACGACATTGTCGAGAACAAGCCTGGTAAGCTGAGTCTGAGTTTGGCCTCGCGAAGCCCAAGTGAAGACGTCCTTACGGCGGCTACTTGGCTAGAGTTCGAGGTGTAGCGGCGCCACTGCGAAAGATGTTGAAGTTTGGGTCCCGATACTGGCGATCGGGGAGAGTCTAAGTACGATGTCACTGCTAGTTATAGACAGAAACAAATATACACAAGGGGGTATCAAAGTTTTTGCATTTTTTAAAACCCGGGTTTTTTCAAGAGCATATTTTTCAAAAAAACGCAAAAGCTTACATAAGCTCTGCAAAGGGAAAACAAAAAACCGCATTTTCAAAAACGCAGCTCAGGAGGTGCATTTGCAAAAATGCGGTTTTTTTATCACTCCACATCTTCTCTCCTTTCCTCACTCTCATTGCACTTTTGCTCACTCCCTCTTCCTTGCACTCATTCAACATGACCTCCTCCACTGATGATTCTGGTGACATCTCTGCAGAGTTGTTATGCCAGTCCACTACACCTACAAGCTCTGCAACTCAGACTGAAAGCATGCCTGTGCTGTCTCAATCTGGTTCTACAAGTGCTCCTGACATCCACACTTCCTGTCCAACTTGAGCCTCTAGATCTGCCACAGGCAAGAAGAACTTGACATGGTCAGGTGCCAATGTTCTTCACCTTGTCACAATCCTCTACAACAACAACTCCTACCAGCACACTCTGCTGCCATCTCGAGAATTGGCTGAGAGCAATCCAGCCCTCAAACTTTGCAAACATCCCATTTTTCGGGATATCTCCAAGATGATTTTCCCAGGTGCATCTGTCGATCCCAATTGCATCAAGTCCAAGCTGAGGTGGCTGCTAGAGACATACTACAGGGAGAAGAAGAAGCTTTCACTCACTGGAGCTGGTACACTGCTGGAGGACATGGATGCATCCAACCTGGTAAGTTTTGGTGATCTTCATTGCTTGCAATAGTATGCTTGGATGCTGATTCATACTTTCAATTTTAAACAGTCCTATGTATCTTGCATTGCCCTGTCAACAAAGTATGCTTGGTTTGAAAGGATGCATGAGATGATGAATGGCCGATTCAATGCTGATCCCACAGCACTTATCACAACTCCCAGTCTCGACTTCACCAGCAATGATGAGCCTGACATGCCTTCAAATGGCCCAGCTGACATACCCATGGATATTTGTGGCAGCGAGCTGTATGATCACAGTGCTCATGGCCATGGTTTGCCTCCTATTCTTGACTTGATCAAACCCACCAACCCCCTGGCTGCTGTTGCATCCACTTCTGGTGCATCCTGTCAGGGGTCTCGCGCCTGAAACCCAGGTCGGTCTGTCGAGATACTCGGTGACTATCAAACTGTGCGACAGCTATTGTCTCGAGATACTCGGTGACTATCAAGTTGTGCAGTGACAGCAGGTGGCGTTTGTTGTATATACTATCGTAGGTTTCGGCTGACCTCTGTGGACACTCCGTTCAGGGGTAGCTCGGCACGATCAATATCAATGTTATGATGACACCAAGGTCTGGTGTGAGTGTTGATGATGATGAGGTTGATGGTGTTGGTGATGAGATTGGCGATGTCGATGATAATGAGGTTGATGGTGTTGGTGATAAGGTTGGTGGCGTCGACACGAGTGTCCAGTGTGTTGACTTGATGCTTGAAATGATCCCCGGACCGCAGTGGACTACTGCCTTCGGTTCTATCTATATCCGGACCGCTAACCTGCTATGGGCGCCTTCGGACGTCAGGTAGTGGTGATACAACACACACACTACGATGAGGAGCAACCTTGATAGATTGCTGCTATGCTGACTGAAACTAATGTATACTTATGCTGAAGTGATAACTAGTTATGGTGAGTAGAGTGGATGGGGATCCACTCGACCTATGATGATGAGAAAGCATGGTTATATACCTCTTCACAGCATTGCCAGCGATGCTGCTCCTGCTCTCTCTCCAGAGAGTACCTTCTTCATCGAGTACTGATCAGGGGCCTCTCCTGCTTGGCACCCCTGTGCCTCTTGAGTGGTGTCGACTCCTTCGACACTGCTCCTCCTCCTCATGACCTGTGTCGACTCCTTCGACACTGCTCCTCCTCCTCATGACCTGTGTCGACTTCCTGTCTCTCGAGCCCCTGAGTGGTAACCATCTGAGCTTGGTCCTCCTCGTGGCTGCGCCTGCTCTTTGAGCTTGGTCCTCCTCGTGGCTGTGCCTGGTCCTCCTCGCATATGGGCTCAGTGCTCCTTTGCATGTGAATCCATAGGAGTCCATGGTCTCCATGGAGACTGCACTACGACCATGCTCTCTACTGGTATCGACTAGGTCTTCGATACCTGTGCTCCGTCCATATGAACCAGTGACCCTCCTGCTTCTTGAGCATCCAGGCCCATGACACTACCCCCCTCTTAAGAGCCGAGCTCCGTCGAGGCATGCTCTGGTCTGGTTCATGCTGACTCCTCCTCTTCCTTGACAACATCGCCCCCGTCATCCTTCCTCCTTCTCTCAACGTCATCCTCCTCTCTCTACTCCTCCTGTTCTCTCTTCCTCTCTCTACTCCTCCTGTTCTCTACTTTGTCTACTCACTTGTCCCCCCTCCGACACCTCATACTCCTGGATGAGGTCGGGACAGTTGAGGTTCTCTACTGGTTCCCATGAAGCAGCTTCTTCTGAGTACCCTCTCCACAACACCTTGTACTCTGTAGTCCCATTGTGTGAACGCTTGTCGATGAGTGCTTCGACTTCGAAGTCGAGGTCCTCATCTGGAAGTGGTGGCATGGTGGGCTGTTCAGCACGTTGAGGAAGAGAACTTGTTCTTGCTGGCTCGAGCATGGAGACATGGAACACATCATGCACCCTAAGGTTTGCTGGCAATGTGATTTGGTAAGCTCGGCGTCCTACCCGTTCCTGAACTGGGTAGGGTCCTGCAAACCCGGTATCCAACTTGGGTGTGGGTCTCCGTGTCTTCCAGTTTCGGCGGTTGATATAGACCATATCACCCACCTTAAACTCAATGTCCTTGTGCTTCCTGTTATACTGGTCTACTGATCTACGTTGTGCCTCTCTGATCTGCTCCTGGAGGTACTTGCAACGCTCCTTTCCATCCATGAGGTACTCGAAGCGACCTGGATCATTGACTCCTAGTCGTTGAGGGATGTCAGGATGAGCTTTGGGGTTCCATCCATAGCATGCAAAGAATGGTGAGACACCAATGCTGTTGTGGACCGTGTTGTTGTATACAAAGGCCGCAGTGTCCAGCAGGTTGGCCCAGTCATTCTGCTCATAGTTGCAGTACATCCTGAGATATTGCTCTATGACCTGATTGACTCTCTCTGTCTGACCATCAGTTTGAGGATGGTAAGCCGTGCTAAGTGAGTGCTTCACACCCATTTGCTCTGCAAATGCCTTCCATGCTCCTGATATGAACTGCCTGCCTCGGTCCGAGACCATGTGATCTGGATATCCAAAGAGTCTAACCATGTGTCCATATAGCAATACTGCAGTCTGTTTGGCCGTGACTGTCTTATGGGTTGGAGCTAGTATGGCAAACTTGGTTAACCTGTCGACGATGACTAGGATAGAGTCATAGGTCTTGGAGTCATACTTCTTTGATGGTGGTAGTCCTTCAATGAAGTCGAGGGATATGGAGCCCCAGGGCCTGTCTGGGGTTGCTAGTGGCTGTAGCAAACCATATGGACGATGACGAGGAGCTTTGTACCTAGCACATACAGGACAACTTGCTACATAGTCTGCAATCCAAGCTGTCATGTTTGGCCACCAGTAATGTCGTTGAGCTGCCTTGATGGTAGCATCTCTTCCTACGTGTCCAGCAGTGATACCATCATGACATTGGGTCATCACCATGAATCGCAGATGCTCTACAGAGAGAGACTGTCCATCTACCTCTTTGGCACTCCTTGAGTGTCGGTTGTTGGTCCTCCCTGGCATGATCACCTTGGGGATAACCAACCTTCCTCCACTGTACCATAGGTCATCCTTGAGTTCGAAAGGCTTCTTCCTATGTATCTCCTGTAGCTCTTGGTCTAAAGGCTGGAAGATCTTGACCAGGTCTTTGAGACCTTTTGATGCTATGGACTCCATCGAGATCATGGGGGCCACTAGGAGCGAGTCATGGTCTGCTGTCTCCTTGAACACTCGAGGAGGCAGTAGTTGCCTCACATTGTGATCCTGCTCTTCACCAGCTGGTTGCATGTCTGTCCTTCTGGTGAGAGCATCGGGTTCACCACCTTTGTCTCCTGGTCGATACTGCAATATGAAGTCGAAGTCTGCTAGTAGTATGGCCCATCGAGCCTGTCGACCTGTGATGCGTCTCTGTGACTTGAAGTACTTGAGGGCTTCATGGTCAGTGAGGATGACCAGTTGGTTCGGTAGTCCAGCTAGCATGTGTCGCCACTGAGTGAGGCAGGCGACCACAGCTAGGAGCTCCTTATCATGGATCTCATAGTTCTTCTCGGCAGAAGACATCTTCCTAGAGTAGAAGGCCACTGGATGCCATCGTCCTTCATGCTCCTGCTTGAGTACTCCTGCTATAGCAAAGTCACTTGCATCAGTCTCCATCCTTGTTGGAAGGTGGTAGTCGAAGTGCTGAAGCACTCCTGCTGATGTGAAGGCCTGGATGAGCTTGTGGAAGGCCTGTTGGGCCTCCTCTGGTAGCTCGAACTTCTTGAACCGTTCTATAGGCTTTACCAGTGATGTCAATGGCTTGGCTATGCAAGCAAAGTGGGCTATGAACCTTCGATAGAAGTTGGCAAAACCCAGGAACCTCTGGATGTCATGGATTGACTCCAGCATTGGCCACTCTTTGACAGTGCGCACCTTTTCTGGGTCCATCTCTATACCCATTGGCTTGATGATGTATCCCAGGAACTCGACTATCTTGGTGTGGAACTCACACTTCGACAGCTTGGCAAAGAGCCTGTTGCTCCTCAAGTGAGTGAGGACCTTGGTGACATGCTTCACATGTACCTCCTCAGTGTCACTGAAGATCAGGAAGTCATCTAGGTATACTACCACATATATCCCAATGATGTCTCAGAAGATGTCATTGATGAATGACTGGAAGTGAGCCGGAGCATTGGCTAGGCCAAAGGGCATCACTAGGTACTCATAGAGTCCCAACTGAGTGCCAAAAGCTGTCTTCCATTCATCTCCTTTAGCAATCCGGATGAGGTTGTATGCTGCTCTAAGGTCCAGCTTGGTATAGATCCTTGCCTTCCTGAGTAAGAACAGCTGCTCCTCGATGAGGGGCAATGGTGCCCTGTTCTTGACAGTGATCTCGTTGAGACCTCTGTAGTCCACACAGAGTCTGAGACCTCCATCCTTCTTTGGTACGAAGAGCACTGGTGATCGTGCCGGGCTCTTCGATGGTCTTATGAACCCCTTCTCGAGGTTCTCATCCAAGTATCTCCTCAACTCGGACATCTCCTTGGGTCCCTTAAGGTATAGGGGCCCTTGAGGTGGCTTCCCTCCTTCTATCAACTCGAGGTGGAGATCATGCTCGGTATGATGGGGCAGCTTGTCTGCTTCCACCTCATCAAACACATCTCGCAGGTGTTGGTATGGCTTTGGTATGTCTGCAGCCGTCACCACCTTATCTACCTCCACCTCCATCTCGACTCCTTTGTCTGCGCCTGTAGGTACAAAACCAAAGGCTGGGAGTGATGATGGTGGCTCCTCTAACAGCATGAACCCTATGGGTCCATCTTCCAGAGCTGCTCGTAGTATGCGCTCTGCTGAGACAAACTCGTTACCATGAAGGGTTGGTCTCCTCATGGTTAGGTCCCCTGCTCTTGCTGCTTCAGGGGGTCTCCTAGGGGGTCGGTCCTGCTCCTGAGTCTTGAACTCCAGCTGGCCCGTATCCCATTGTATGGTGGGTTTGAGCCTCCGTAGCTCAGTGAACCCCAGGATGAGGTCATAGTCTGCAGTGTCGGCCACTGAAGCTTCGACCACACCCAGATTGTGTGTACCAATAGATACCTGCATGCTCGCAGAACTATTGATGGAGAGTTGGTGCCCGGTGACACCATGGATCGATCTTGTTTTTATGGGTTTTGTGGGTATTTGGTACTTACTAATGAAAGAATCTGAGACTATGGACAAACCAGCACCGGTATCAGCTAGTATCCGAGCAGGATGGTCTTGAACCATTCCAGAGAGCTCCAGTACTGCTTTGCCTCCACTGGTAGAGAAACATACTTGACAATCTTGATATATACAGAGTGATGGCGAGGAGGTTTGTAGAGCAATGCATGCCATCAGTGCATCACCCCACTGACGTTTCCCTCGTCGTCATCATCATCGTGCTCCTCCTCGTGATCGGGGTCCATGGGTTGCTGGTATGAGCTGAGGTCCATGGCCTCGGGGTCACCCGTCTCAGTGCTGCCTGTGTGGCCATCTCCTGGGTCGGTGGCCTCCTCGAAGGGGTCTGCTGTGGTGACCATAACCTTTGGTCCCATGGGTCGAGAGCTAAGAGGGTTTACCCTCCTGCTGGGGCAGTCTCTGGCCCAATGGCCGATACCCTTGCATACATGACAGGTGTTGATACCTGATGGGGCAGGGCTTCTTTGCTTCGAGGGTTGGGTGGGATGATGAGGAAGGGGTCGGTTTAGGTTTTGTATAGTTGCTTGTGTAGTTGCTTGTGATGGTGATCGAGCTGGATAAGGTTGAGTGGGTTGTCGGATGGGGATTGAACTTTGATTTGGCCGAGACCCAGTTCTTAGTGGAGGTGACGTGGCATTTGGAAGTGAGTGTCTAGCCGAGGACTGCTGTAGTAGCATCCTCTGTCGATCGATCTCCTCGACCTCTCGATACCACTCCCATCTCTTCCCAGGTGGATTCCTCTCGAACTTCTCCTGTATGCTACGAGTGAGACTACCTCTGAAGAGATCAATCACTAGCTCATTGTCATCTAGGTTGACCTGTCCTTCCAAGTCTCTGAACCGCTCTACATGACGTGTGGCGGCACCAGGAGCATCACTTGTGAGTCTGAGAGCCAACAGCTTGTTGTATGCCTCCATCCTAGCATTGCGTGGGTTGAACTGCTCTGACAGTCGCTCTGTGAAGTAGTGCCAATCATTGAACAACCTTCCTTCTCTAGCTCTATCAATACGGAGCTTGGAGGTCCACCACTCTCTTGCTGTCCCTTCCAGTTGAGCACCCATGTGATTGATCATCCTAGACTGCTCATACACCTGGTTGAACTTAAACCATGCTTCGGCTTCTAGAATGAAGATCTCCATGTCTCGGGGATTGAACTTTGGAAAGGGGGTGGCGATGGGCTTTGACCGGTTAAGCTCTGCCATGATGCTGGTATCCTCCTCGTGGTCCAGGGGGTAAGGGTCCGTCCTAGTCCTGCTGTAGGGGTCCAGCTTAGTCTTGACATATCTTGGCCCAGTAGGTGAAGCATACTTCTCATAGTTGATGTCCTCCTGCTCATCCAGGTTGAATGAGACTGATCGTCTTGGTCGTGGAGCTGGAGTAGGGGTATGTGGGTCTCCTATCATAGACTCATCTCCTCCTCCTGCTTGGTCTTCTGAGTGAGAGAGGTCCATTGTCTCCTCCCTGCTCAGTTGAGCTCGTTGTAATCGTTCCTCTCGATGACCCTGTCTGGTAAGCTCTAGCTGTGCTTCCAATAGAGTGAGTAGTCTATCGAGCTTATTGTTGAGGTCTGGGTCCATCATGGTGATCGTGAGGAGCTGCTTGAACGATCCACTCTAATGTCAGGGGTCTCGCGCCTGAAACCCAGGTCGGTCTGTCGAGATACTCGGTGACTATCAAACTGTGCGACAGCTATTGTCTCGAGATACTCGGTGACTATCAAGTTGTGCAGTGACAGCAGGTGGCGTTTGTTGTATATACTATCGTAGGTTTCGGCTGACCTCTGTGGACACTCCGTTCAGGGGTAGCACGGCACGATCAATATCAGTGTTATGATGACACCAAGGTCTGGTGTGGGTGTTGATGATGATGAGGTTGATGGTGTTGGTGATGAGATTGGTGATGTCGATGATAATGAGGTTGATGGTGTTGATGATAAGATTGGTGATGTCAATGATAATGAGGTTGATGGTGTTGGTGATAAGGTTGGTGGCGTCAACACGAGTGTCCAGTGTGTTGACTTGATGCTTTGAAGTGATCCCCGGACCGCAGTGGACTACTGCCTTCGGTTCTATCTATATCCGGACCGCTAACCTGCTATGGGCGCCTTCGGACGTCAGGTAGTGGTGATACAACACACACACTACGATGAGGAGCAACCTTGATAGATTGCTGCTATGCTGACTGAAACTAATGTATACTTGTGCTGAAGTGATAACTAGTTATGGTGAGTAGAGTGGATGAGGATCCACTCGACCTATTGATGAGAAAGCATGGTTATATACCTCTTCTCAGCATCGCCAGCGATGCTGCTCCTGCTCTCTCTCCAGAGAGTACCTTCTTCATCGAGTACTGCTCAGGGGCCTCTCCTGCTTGGCACCCCTGTGCCTCTTGAGCTGTGTCGACTCCTTCGACACTGCTCCTCCTCCTCATGACCTGGTGTCGACTCCTTCGACACTGCTCCTCCTCCTTTGATCAGTGACAGTTCCTTTGGCTCTTGTCTCTCGAGCCCCTGAGTGGTAACCATCTGCATGCTCCTTGAGCTTGGTCCTCTTCGTGGCTGTGCCTGCTCCTTGAGCTTGGTCCTCCTCGTGGCTGTGCCTGCTCCTTGAGCTTGGTCCTCCTCGTGGCTGTGCTTGGCCCTCCTTTGCATGTGAGTCCATAGGAGTCCATGGTCTCCATGGAGACTGCACTACGACCATGCTCTCTACTGGTGTCGACTAGGTCTTCGATACCTGTGCTCCTTCCATATGAACCCATGACCCTCCTGCTTCTTGAGCATCCAGGCCCATGACACCTGCTATGGGCGCCTTCGGACGTCAGGTAGTGGTGATACAACACACACACTACGATGAGGAGCAACCTTGATAGATTGCTGCTATGCTGACTGAAACTAATGTATACTTATGCTGAAGTGATAACTAGTTATGGTGAGTAGAGTGGATGGGGATCCACTCGACCTATGATGATGAGAAAGCATGGTTATATACCTCTTCACAGCATTGCCAGCGATGCTGCTCCTGCTCTCTCTCCAGAGAGTACCTTCTTCATCGAGTACTGATCAGGGGCCTCTCCTGCTTGGCACCCCTGTGCCTCTTGAGTGGTGTCGACTCCTTCGACACTGCTCCTCCTCCTCATGACCTGTGTCGACTCCTTCGACACATCCTTTGCTGGTGCTGGTGATGATGACATTTTTACCACACCTTTGCCTTCACCTTTGCAGGCTCAACCACCTTCCTCCACTGCTGGTGGCTTGGATGTCTTTGATTCCACCTCTTTTCAATCTTCAGCCCAGCTCTCTCCAAGCACCAAGCACAAGCAAGGTGCCCTTGATCACAAGTGCAACACACTTGCTGAAGCTTTCTATCATTCTTCCATTGATACCCTTCAGATCCACCTGCAGCTTGAACAGGAATGCACCAGACATGAGAAAATACTGGAGGCTGAGCATACCAAGCACAAGGAGATGTGCCTGCATCATGAGAGGGAGGAGAAAGAGCACAATGAACATGTTCGCACATGTGATCATGAAATGGTGATGGAGATGGTGCACCTCCTTGCTTCTCAGGCCAGCATTGAACAGGATGCTCATCAGAACACCAGCAACAACAACAACAACACAGACTCTTCATTCAATCTTCCTGTCTTGTAGCATTACATGTACTATCATCCAGTCTCAATGCAAAGTCATTTCTGAGTGTTTTTCTGTAGAGTGCAAGTATGAGGTGAATAAAAATGATGTGCAGCACAGTCACATAATGAGCTCAAAAGCATTTAAACAAAAAATTTCACTCTCACACCTCTTCCATTACTACCACCACTCCACTCTGCTGTCAGGGGTCTCGCGCCTGAAACCCAGGTCGGTCTGTCGAGATACTTGGTGACTATCAAGTTGTGCGACAGCTATTGTCTTGGTGTCAGTCTCGATGAGATAGTCATTCAGCGACTATCAAGTTGTGCAATGACAGCAGGTGGTGTTCATTGTATATACTATTGTAGGTTTCAGCTGACCTCTGTGGACACTCTGTTCAGGGGTAGCTCAGCATGATCAATATCAATGCATAGATTATGATGACACCAAGGTCTGGTGTGAGTGTTGATGATGATGAGGTTGATGACATTGGTGATAAGGTTGGTGGGTGTTGATGATAAGAGGTTGATGGTGTTGGTGATAAGGTTGGTGGCATCAACATGAGTGTCCAGTGTGTTGACTGATGCTTGAGGTGATCCCCAGACTGCAGTGGACTACTGCCTTCAGTTCTATCTTGATCCAGACTGCTAACCTGCTATGGGGCGCCTTCAGATGTCAGGTAGTGGTGATACAACACACACACTATGATGAGGAGCAACCTTGATAGATTGCTACTATGCTGACTGAAACTAATATATACTTATGCTGAAGTGATAACTAGTTATGATGGTTGTGTAGAGTGGATGAGGGTCCACTTGACCTTTGATGATGAGAAAGCATGGTTATATACCTCTTCACAGTGTTGCCAGTGACACTGCTCCTGCTCTCTCTCCAGAGAGTACCTTCTTCATCGAGTACTGTTCAGGGGGCCTCTCCTGCTTGCTTGGCAGCCCTGTGCCTCTTGAGCAGTGTCGATTCCTTTGACACTGCTCCTCCTCCTTACTATCCTGCTTGTTTGGCACCTTTGTGCCTCCTGAGTGGTGTCAACTCCTTTGACACTGCTCCTCCTCCTCAGGACCTGCTTGCCGGTTCCCTATACACTGCTCCTTCTCCTTTGACTGGTGACAGTTCCTTTGACTCTTGCCTCTTGAGCCCCCTGAGTGGTAACCATCTGCATGCTCCTTGAGCTTGGTCCTCTTCGTGGCTGTGCCTGGTCCTCCTTTGCATGTGAGTCCATAGGAGTCCATGGTCTCCATGGAGACTGCACTACGACCATGCTCTCCAATGGTATCGACTAGATCTTCGATACCTGTGCTCCTTCCATATGAACCAGTGACCCTCCTGCTTCTTGAGCATTCAGGCCCATGACATCTGCAACCTTTCGGCATCACTCTTGCTGCCATCCCCCCTCTCCATCCCCCCTCTCCATGCTCCCTCTCCAACTCCCTTCCTCCTTCCAGCCATGGTGCACTACAGCAACAAGCAAGTAATTCTCAATGACATTGTCTGCACTCTTGAGCTCTCTATACCTGCGGAGGTCATCCAAAACACCAACAGAGTGCAGCACTCCTGCAGCACTGACATTGACAACTTGGATGACAATGGTGACCCAATTCCACTCTCACAACACCTTGTCTGCTTGTACACTTTCATATGCAAGCAAAGGTACACAATCACATGTTACACTCCTCTTGGCTGTGCTGATAAGCTTATCCACCTTCTCAACAGGTACGAATCAAGCAATCATAGGATGTATCATGGACTTGTTCATATGTTGCCTGAAGCATTCAACAATCTCGCCATCTGACTCCAGCAAACAGAGGCTTTCTGGTGGAACTACAGCAGCTCAGGTGTGATGTCTCTCAACAAAGTGCAAGAGATTCTTTCAGTGGCTCTGTACAGACTTGGCCATTCTGGAAATGGAGGTGGTGAACGTGATGCTGCTTTGCAATGTGGTTGCGGTGTTGGGAGCATTGTTGGATACACCAATCACACAGCTGCTGGCCTCCTCAAGCTAAACAACGAGGTCATGCAGTTTGCTTCAGAGGGAGAGAGACAACATGCTTCTGCCTGGGTGCGCAATACAACTGGGGTTGAAGAGTGGGGTAAGGGCTGGCTTGTGGTGGATGGCACACACATCCCTCTTGCCTGGAAGCCAGGAGTGCTCAGTTGAGAGCACTTCTGCTACAAAGGCTTCCACAGCATCAATGTAGTGCTGGTGATCCTGCCACACTCACTGCAGATTGTCAAATCAGTTGTTGGACAGCCTGGCAGTGTTCAGGATTCAAAGGTTTGGGCCTCAGGCAGCAACATCCTGAAGAAGCCTTGCCTGTACCTTGACAAAGGTGAGTTCATCTGGGTTGATGGTGGATATGGCCATTCTGCCTTCACAGTTGGACCATTCTCTCACATTGCTGCTGACAAGAGTCAAGACCTTCAACACTTCAACTACATGCTCTCTCGAGTCCAAGTACAAGTCGAACATGCCATTGCATACCTGAAGAACTGCTTCCAGTGCCTTACAGGCTATTGTGGTAACATCTACCATTTCAAGGACCACATCACTGCTGCCAAGATGATCCAAGCCTGCATTGTTGCCCACACCTTTGCAAGTCAATATGACCGTCCTGCTGATATTGCCGACCTGCTGTTGCCCTCTTTCTCTGAGGATGAGGTGAGTGAGGTTGTTCAAAGCCTCCAACTTGATGCCAGTGATACACAAGAGCTCAGGAGGACAAGATGCACAAATCAGCAGGAATACGAACTGGATCTTGCCACTGCAACACAAGGAATGTCACAGTATGCAGTGTCAAGACTTCAAAGTTCTGCTGCACATGATCTTCGAGAGGGTTTGTTCCAGGTGCTGTTCAGATCCACTGGGCGCAATGAGGAAGACACTACTGCATTGTCTCGACATCATGAGAGGACTACTGTGGACTACATTGCCATGACTCAAAGCGCATCAGCTCGGAGACAGGAGCAAGTCTTGACACAACCATTCTCAATCTGACAGGCACTCTCTCTTCTTCTGTTCAATACAATTCTTCTCACCACCATATGAAACATTACATTGAGTGCATTGTGTGAAGAGGAAAGCAAGATATAAGCAAGCAATGGGTAATAGTGATGAGAGTGACAAGTAACATGACCACTGTTAGGTTACATATTTTATCGGCCATATGATTTCATCACATTTTTGGAAACCTGCTTTTCCTTGGGGGGGTTTTCAAATTCCCTCCAAAAACGTGCTCTCGAAAAAACCCGCATTTTTTAAAAACGCAAAAACTTTGATACCCCCTACAATTGATTGAATGAATGTGGTGAGAGCCTAGTGCGCTCAGCTTGATATATATACATTGTGGTGGCACATGCCCAGTGTGGGAGCAGCCTACTTCATGACGATGTCTGACAACGAGCGGGACGGTGTTGTACGCGATCTCTGATCAAATCGGTCATCTAACTGGATCGGCTCGGCGTCATCCTTTAGCGTCGCACTGGATCGTAATCTTCAACAAAAGAGTGTCTCTGGGGGAGAGCGATTTGATCCGATTTCAGAGAAGAACACGGTTGAATACCGCTTCAGGGTGGATTAAATACAACGATTTCGAATTGAGTTCGAAAATGTAATTGCCTGGACGCGCGTGTTGCGTGTCGGCAGGCGAGAAGGCATATTGCGAGTCGCCAAGACTGAGGAGCGGCCAGATTGAGCGAAGAAATGGCCCGTGCGCAACACTTGGACATTATGGAAAGACACACACACGCACAAACACACACACACATTTTCGAATAGGTCCCTGCGCTATCATTCTGATCTTGACCATCATCACCTTGCCCCTTTGCACCAATCGCACCCTTTTGATCACCGGCTGGTCGCTTGCATCTGCAGTCGTCTCCTTTCGCTGCGTCTCGAGAGCAGGTTTACCTCGCACTGTCCACTTCAGCACTCATCTGCGAGGACCATTCGTTGGGAAGCCTTTGATCTGGCTACACTTTGCTATATAGCCTCACCACCCACCACAGATAGCCCACCATTTCGTCCGTAATCAACTCCAGCATGGCCTCCCGCCGACGTGCGGCCAAGAAGGGTGTATCCTTCTGCCTCATGGTCGTCGGCGCTTCGGGTACAGGCAAGACCACCTTTGTCAACACTCTGTGCGAATCCGAGGTCATTGGCCACAAGGTCAGCGACAACCCTGAGACCGCCCACATCGAAGAGGGCATCCGCATCAAGCCTGTAAACGTCGAGCTTGAGGAGGATGGTATGCGTATCGGTCTCACCATCGTAGACACGCCTGGTTTCGGTGACAATATTGACAATGAATATGCGTAAGTTTCAGCTAAATACGGACTACTTGTATTGCAGAATCTCAAGTAGGCTCACATCATCCGCTTTCTCTATCCTCTTGCTTCTGTGCTGATTCAGATTCTCGGAGATCGTTGGCTTCCTTGAGCGACAGTACGATGACATCTTGGCGGAGGAGTCGCGAATCAAGCGTAACCCTCGTTGGCGTGACAACCGTGTCCACGCCCTACTCTACTTTATCACTCCTACCGGTCATTCGTTGCGCGAGATCGACATCGAGCTTATGCGTCGTCTCTCGCCACGTGTCAACGTCATCCCCGTCATCGGCAAGGCGGACTCGATGACTCTCAGCGAGCGACAAGAGTTCAAGAAGCGAATCAGGGAGGACATTGAACACTACGGCATCCCTGTCTACAACTTCCCTTACGATGTCGAGGAGGACGACGAAGAGACGATTGCCGACAACTCGGAGCTTCGCGGTCTTATGCCTTTCGCGATTGTTGGATCCGAAGAGAACGTCATTGTCAATGGCGAGTCTGTCCGAGCACGCAAATACCCCTGGGGTATCGTCGAGGTTGACAACCCCAAACACTCTGACTTTGCTCGTCTCCGATCGGCATTGCTCAATACACATCTTACCGACCTTAAGGAGATCACGCACGACTTCCTCTACGAGAACTACCGTACCGAGAAGCTCTCCAGGACTGTTCACAGCGACTACGCCGACACTTCGATTCCTGGTGAAGAGTTGGCTAACCAGTCGGTCAGGTTGAAGGAGGAACAACTCAAGCGTGAAGAGGACAAGTTGAAGGAGATCGAACTCAGAGTGCAGAGAGAGATTCAGGAAAAGAGACAGGAGTTGTTGGCAAAGGAGGAGAGCTTGAGGAACTTGGAGTCTCGCTTGCAGGCTCAGAACATTAATGAGTAGGTGCTGAATTTGCCTCGAGGAGAAAAGGATTCTAAGCATGCTTGCGAAACTCAGCAAAAGGGCCCGCATCTGTTGTCAAGTCTCATGCCTCTATTGTATCAAGGTGCTAGTCATTTGCGAAAATGTCAAGTCTTGTTTTCTTTCGCTTGTTGGTGCTTTGTAGCCTGCTCTAATCGTGTGTGCACCGAGTTATTGTTTGAGTCCAGGCTTTCTGCTTGTCGCTTCTCCTCACTGTTGAGCGAGTGAGGGCAGACTTGTTCAGCTTTACTCTAAACCTCTTGCCTTTCTCCAAACGGTAATCCACTGGAGGATCCTCTCCACGTTCTGTTGCACATGACCAGTTTCTTCACTTATCAACTCGACCACTGCTTCTTGCGGATAGCTCTGCCTTGCATCATCGGCAACAACGCCCATGATCTCTGCTTGATTATTCTCCTGAATCTTGTTAATCGGATAGCCTCTTTTTTCCAATCTTTCCCACAACACTCCATGATCACATCTCAACACTACTACTAAATCAATCCAACGTTCAGGCCAAACATCACAGGTATGCCAGTCTAGAATCAAACCTCCTCGCTCTTCTGATTCTTGAGAATGCTTTGCAGCTTGTAAATCGTGCTGGTTGAAATGTTGCGAGTCAAGAGGTTCAGGTGCTTTGTTACCAGTGTAAGGTTCAAGATAATCGACAAGTTGATCTTCGTCTACTTGGTAGCTTTGCCATTCTTGCAAATATTCAGTATAGAAGCCTTTGCATTTGACAAGTGCGCCTATGTCGATCTGGCGTAAGGGGTGGTAGGTGGAGCAACCAGAGTTGGTGTAGGTGGAGGCTAGAAGAGAAGAGTGCGTTGATTTACCTGTACCTGGAGTTCCTGTGATGACTATGTTTGGATAGCTACGGACCATTGTTGTAGTTGAGATCTGGTAGGATGTGATTGATATCAAGTGGTTATGCGTTGTGAACGATGTTGGTGGCCGATGAACAGAAGAAGCAGGATGAGGGTAAGGTGTTCGAATCAGGGTCTCAAAAAAAAAAAAAAAAAAAAAAAAAAAAAAAAAAGTTTTGGATACAGTGTGGAGAAAAGCCAAATAAAATTCAGAGCAACAACTTCACAAATCTAACAACCACTTTTTCTTTTCTTTCTTCCGCCCAACGCCGCTTAATCACAAACTTAACCAGCGATCATGCAGACTATGGTCATCATGAGCATGCTCTGCGGTCGTGACCAAATCAGACCACAATCCATGTCCGAGCAACCCTGAAGAAGGTTATGTTGAGCAAGACAGGTCGGAATATCTCGCAATCCAACGGACCTCAACCAGACTTTGTCTTCTCTCTCAAACAACTCAGCTTACTGACAAAGTGTGACATGCTCACCCACCGACTTTGCTTATAGACACAATGCAACGCCAACCACGCTTCACTGACCGACTGATCTTAGCTGTGAAAGACTGAACGATGTTCGATATTGCTAGGCAACCACAACAATAGACATAGCATTTGCCGTTTGGATGCTCAAAGACGAGCACCACCACCAACAAGCAACTGGCTACCGTTTCTCAGTGTGGCGACAGCCTCATTAACCATCTCATCGACGATCTCCTTAGCAGGCTTGATGTCGTTGATAACCGACGCGCACTTTCCTAACAAGAACCTCTGTCTAGCCTGAGCCTCCTTGGTTCCCTGCTCATCATCGTTTTCCAAGTCATGATAAACCGGAATGATACCCTTCTCGGTCAACTTCTTGATCTCGTCTGGGCGAGATTCCCAGTCGTCAATGTACTTGGTCTTATAGAGACGCAAGGGACGACCGGTGAAGATGATCGTTCTGATATCCGTCTCATGAGTCGACTTGAGCACCGCTTCCTTATGCGCCTTGGGAGCACCGGACTCTTTAGAAGCAACAAAACGAGTCCCCACCCAAATACCATCAGCACCGTAACAAATCGACGCAGCTAAACCACGGCCGTTAAAAATGCCACCTGCAGCAACCGTAATGATCGGCTTACCGGTCAAAGGACTCTTGTGACCTCTGCAAATGTCAACGACACGTGGCGCAATGATGGAAAGGGGAACATCACCAGTGTGACCACCTCCTTCGCCTCCTTGGAAGATGACCATGTCGACACCGGCTTCGAGAACTTTAGGTGCGTGCTTGGGATGTCCGATGATACCAGCGACGATGATCTTAGCTGCGTGAAGTTTTGAAACGACTTGAGCGGGTGGAACACCGACGGCAGAGACGAAAAGTTTGGCGCCGGATTCGATGATGATATCGATAAGCTCGGGAAGTTGTCCGTTGGTGTAGTCGGTGTTGGTCTTGCGGGCACCACCACCGACTTTGGGAAGAAGGAGATCGACACCGAAAGGTCCATTCTTGTCGTTCAAGAAGGATTTCAGCTCGGCGATCTGTTGGCGGAGGAACTTGGGAGTGTAGCCGACGCCACCTATAACACCAATACCACCGGCATTGGTGACTGCCGCGGCGAGCTCAGGACCAGCAGCGACGTTCCTGCGAGCCAAATGAAAGCGCCGAACAAGAAGAAGAAGAAGAAGAAGAAGAAGGAAAAGTCAGTGTCAATTGTGTCTTGTTGCCAGGCGTTGTGGGTGTTGTAAGGACAACTTACATGCCGGCAAGCATGATGGGGTGCTTGATACCGAACTGCTCGGTGAGCGGGGTCTTGATTTGCTGTGCGGAAGCCATGTTGAGAATGTTTGAGTATCTCTATGATGTTAATGAAGCAGGAGATGGTGGAGCAGGAGGAAGGAGGCTTGCAAACGACAGAGTGAGTCCTGAGTTGCTTGAGCTTCTCTTGTCTTGCCACTTGTCTCTGTCTGTCACTTGCGGGGTTCGATGCTTCCTGTACGACCCAAAGGGAAGAGAGCGCCTGTGACCCTTGCTGGAATTCTCTCCGGATGTTGTCTTTACCGGTTCAACCGGCTATCCGCTCCGCACTCACAGAGGGCGAAAGCTTCGCTAAGGGTCCACTTCGAAACTCCTCTTCTCGCACGGTAGCAACAAGCAGCAAGCTCGCAGATCTTGCAACAGACCCTTGACGGAAGCCGTCTTGCCGAATCACCTTACATGCCCGTCTTGTCTCCTAACCCCAAAAGCAAGTCGCTCCTTGGTCTCGTCGACTGAACATCTACGCCAGCATGGACCGGATCGCAGAGCACAAAGCCGCAATGGCGGCAGCTACCATCGAAGCCAACTTGGTCGGTCGTACCAGCCTCGTTCACATTCCAGACGGTCGTGCGTTCTGCGGTACCTTGCTCTGCATCGACTCGGGATGCAACATCATTCTCGCTAACACCGACGAAACCAGAACTACAGCGCAAGGTCGAACGTCGACAAGGAATGTGGGGATGGTCATGATACCAGGCAACTACGTCGTCAAGGTCGAGGTTCAACGGGTTACTACCCAGTCGGCCGCAGACTCGAAACACGATCAAGGGGACAACAGGATGCCCTCTTCGTCAATGATGGCTCAAGCGGGATGGCCTGATGACGATGGTATGTACTCGTGATTGCAAGCTATCGGTCAAGTTACAGACCCTTATCACATGGGGATTGGCTCCAAACCTCGGGCTCGCTCGAGTGTCTGCTCGCTAATAGTGTAGAGCTTTGTCGCCACTGCATCCAGCTCCGCCAGGAACTGGTCGTCTGGAGAAGCGGCGGTAAGCTCTAGAAGCGAGTTCATCATTCGAGATAGTGGCTCGAGCAAGTCGGCCTCAATGTCTTGTGCTATGTCATTGTTAACGAGTTGCATGAACATGTCGATGGACGACTGGAAGAGCACATCGATGCCGCACAGCAAGCCCGGATCGACGGCAGGTTTGGTTTCCCTGTAAGCGCTTATATCGTAACGCAGCATGTCCAAAATCGCTTCGGTCACCGCATACGAGAGATGCCAAGAAAGAATGTCTCGCTCCCTGAGCCGATCGAAGATCCCGGCTGCTGACTTCACATACGCCTCGGGTGCTCGCCAAACTAGGTTGACGAGCAACCTTGCTACACGAAGCTGGTATTGAGTATCGCCATCAAGTCTCTCAATGCCTTGAGCCGAATGGCGATCTACGAGACCGATCTCATCGAGAGCGTCGAGCAGGATTGCAAGCAGACGCAGAATGGCGAATCGCATTTCGCCTCTGTCCGTCGGATTGTCAGTCGCCACTTCGAGGCTGTCGAAGAGGAGCTTCAATACCGTAGCCGTTTCGTCAGCGCTTCCTGCACCTGAGTTTTCTTCGAGTATGCAAGTCAAGAATTGGGTGGTCAAAGCGCACGGTCCGCCGAAGAACCATGGCTCAGAGACTAGTTGAAGGTCGAGTGCTTCGCGTTGTTCAGCTGTCGACTCTTCGAGCCATCGGCGTGCACGGTCGATTGTGTGACGGGCGTCTTCTCGATCTTGTTCTTTCAGTGGCAGAAAAAGGAAGGAATGGGGTATCGAGAATGCTCAGACTACCCGTGAATTACGAAAGCTTGAGGGAGTGAAGAGGTATGCATTCAAGCGACTCACCACTCCTCCAGCGGGCGACGAGAACGAAGAAGTCTCGATACGTTTCCAGAGCAAAGTCGAGAGGCAAATGCGGAAAGTGTTGCAGGGAGCGCAAGAAGAGCGAGACGGACTGCGCCAAAGCATCGCGTGGATCGACATGAGGGCCAATAGCTAGCTCTGTCTGGCTGAGCACGGTCTGTGTGTGCGCCAAGATAGATGATTGCGGAAATGTAGGTGTCAGTCAGTGGTCGGAGGAAGAGGGCCGGAGGAAGAGGGCCGGAGGAAGAGGGCGAAGAGGACTACTCACCACAGCAGCTCTCACTAGCGTCTCAGCCATTTTCAGTGCTAGCAGGATGATCCTAAGGCTCGTAGCCAAGCTTGTCGGGGTCGAACAAGTTGGAGCCAAAGTACGAGGCATTCTTATACCTGAGAGGCCTTTGTCCTCGATGTAGGCCTAGATCTCTGTTTCCGCAATAGCTTAGCCATGTATCGGCACGATCCAGCTCAAGCTCAAAAGACCAGCGAAAGGATGCGGAGCGCATCGGAAGATCCGTCCAGCTTCTCTGCTGTAAGCTTGCCAAGAATGTGTTGGATTGAGAGGTCAAACAGCCACGCAAACACCCGACCGCCAAAGCAACTGTGGCGCTTCTGGCGTCGTGATCTGTCGAATGCCATTCGCATTTAGCGATCACATCCCTAATCCAAAGCAGAAACTTTACCGCAGACCGGAGAGCAACTCTCAGTACGAGAATGCCCTAAGGTTTCGGATGTGCCGAAGGATGAGAAAGAGCACACACAAAAAAAAAAAAAAAAAAAAAAAAAAAAAAAAAAAAAAAAAAAAAAAAAAAGCTTTTTTGACGTGTCACCTTTTTGCATTCGCGTTTGCAAAACGGTCGGCGAGTCACGGTTGAGAGGGCCGAGATGACTGTAGCAACACCAACCGCGTTTCGCTGCAATGAGTGACCAGAACTTGAGCAACAAAGGCTCGCAAACTGGGCTCGAAAACAGCAATTCCGAAGCAGCCTGTCGGCGGAATTGTGGAAATATTGGTTGCCTAAGCGTCGAAATGCAAAGCCGGCATCGCTTTGCATCAAGGCTTGCTTGTTCTGCGTTCTTGTCGATTGGAGTGTATATACGAGCGATAGATGCTCATGGTCCAAGATCGGTTCAAGCTGTGAAGGAACAAGTACCGCTTTGAAGTGCAAGAAGAGGCTTGGAAGTGGGGACAAGCCGATGGATACAAAAGGCAAGTGTTGACCGAGAGACCGACATCGGCGACACCCTCTACTCAACGTGGGCAATAGTGTTGTTCCTTCTTTCCTCAGCTAAATCAGGCAGGCAGCAGGATTTGCCTCTTTACGCTCACCATCGGCCTATGCGAACACAAGATTACTTTAGGCTTGCTCGAGAACAAGACGGCTACAGTGCTCTTCCTCTGAATCAATGGCTCTGTCGGCAAGGTCGTCTTTTTGACAAGCTTTTTGCTGTTCTACATGCGCGCCGTTGCGTGTGCCGAGCAGCTTACTGCACCCTTCTCACCGTCGCATCTCAGGCTTCTTTTTCTTCTTTGCTGCAGCCGCTTTTGCTCGGTTGGCCGTTGTCTTGGCTCTTTGGTGTTCCTGCCTGTTGCGCTTTGCTTGCTCATCATGTTCAGAATTCGTTGTTCGCTCACTATTCGTTGACTCCGCCTCCGTCTCCGCCTTGGCCTCGCTTGGGAGCAGAGAAGCGCTCCGATGGATCTTAGGGTTAGCTATGCTTTTCCTTTCGCCAAGACCTTTGACATCCTGTGCTTTCTCTGCTCTTTGCCTTCGGTAATGTCACAACATTGAGCTCCTGCTATCCATAAGCCAGTCACATCGACCATCAGCCCTTCTCGCTCTCCACTTCGGAACTTCCGAAATGGATGAGTTGTCTTTGCTTCTCCTCCTCCACCACCATCACCTGAGGACCTCTTGTTTATCCTATCTCACACGCCCTTTCTTCCCACGCCTCGACGGATGCTCCGATCTTTTGCCTTGTAAGCCTTGCGCTCAAATCGGATCGTTTCCGACAAGCCTACGTCGGCCGAACTTGGCAGGGACTTGTTCCAAATGGCGTCTCTAACCGCCACCGAACATGTCCCAAACCCTTCGTCTTCATCAACGCCACCACCAGCCCTGCCGACAACGACAACGACAACGACAAAAGATGAGCGCCGCACAGCATCCTCCTCGTCACTAGCTCCTACTCTCTCTAAAGATGAACCATCGCTCTCCTCTTTGGCGATTCGACGGAACCAGTTCCTCGCCCTTACAAAGAAGAACTGCATCGTGCTCCGTTCGTATTGGTTCATCAACCTCTTGCGCTGCCTTATCGTCCCCATCGCATATTACATCTTCTTGGGCTATGCCAAAAACTTTTTCAACCCAACTAACGATCTTGGTCTCGGTCAGCCAGTTCCCATTCGTCGACTCTCGCATGGTCTGACCAATCCCATTTACTGGCTCGATTCCAGCACCTCGACGGTGCAGTCCAGATTCTCCTCACAGCAGATTATGGATATCGTGCTTGATGGATTGCAACCAAGTCAACGTTCTCTCCTTAGGCGAGTTAGCGATGCCACACAGCTCGGACTCGCCTGTCCACAGGCATTCAACGGTCTCAGTTCGTGTTTCGGAGCCGTCGAGTTCTCTGACATTACTGAGCAAGGTAGTGTCACCTACACTCTTCGCCTCGATCCCGGTCTCAACAGGGTCAGAGTCAGCACCAACAAAGGTGATGCCGAAACACGCACGCTTCCTCTCCAATTCGCGATCGACGCTGCTATCCTCCAGCTCAATGGCGCGCCCGCTGCCTCCTACTCTCAACCACCTCTCCAACAGCCATACTCAAATCAGACCAATGCAGAACAAGCAGAGAGCCAGCGAAGAGGTTTTCTTGGCGGTGTCGATCAGCTTTCTGTCCTCGCCTTCTTCATCGGCATGCTCGGCGTCGTTTGGCATTTGCCATCATCTGTCAGTGAAGAACGAGGTTCCGGTATGACTGCTCTTCTTACCACTATGGGATGTGCACAACTCCCTCGTCTCCTCTCTTGGCTCTGCGGTCCCGGTGCTGCATATTTGCCAGCATGGTTCGTCATGGGCGCTTCGTTGTCAGCCACTCTCTGGACAACAAGCAACAAGGCTCTTTGCATTTTTGCTCACGTCTTACCCGGTCTTGCTATGGCAAGTTGGTCTCTCTTTGTCGCCACTTTCTTCGCACGTGCCAACGTCTCTAGTATCATCACCACTGCCATTGCTATCCTCTTCGCCATTGTGGCTCTCATCACCAAACATATCGGTGAAGGTGGCGCTATCGTGATCGGCTTGCTCTTCCCCTCAGCATCCTTTGTGTACGAATTCGTCGCTATCTCGGCTTACGAGCATGAAGGGCTCCCCGCCAACATCACCGCTTCGCACGATGGCATCAACAAAGGTCCCTCCATCCTCGGCCAAGTTATCGTCCAGCTTATTGGCATCTTCCTCTTCCCCGCCCTTACCATTTTGCTCGAACGCAAGCTGTTCTTTGCCGAGCCTTTCTTCAACTGGTTGTTCCGACGTCGGTCTTCCTCCAATCCCACCTCGGCTCAGTTCACAGAAAAGGGTACACATGCGGCTACCCCGGCATTGAAGATCAACAACTTGGTCAAAAAGTACGGCAAGAAAGAGAGCAGTCTAGCAGTAGATCGGTTGAATTTGGAGGTGCCTCGTGGCACGATCACCTGTTTGCTTGGCTCGAATGGTTCGGGCAAGTCCACCACTATCGGTGTTGTGGGCGGCACGATCCGTAAGACTTCCGGTCAAGTCTATATTGACGGATTCGAGCGTGCTGCTGCACCACCTGGCCTTCTCGGTGTCTGTCCGCAAAAAGACGTGCTCTTCAACCAACTCACCTGCTTGCAACATGTCGAGTTATTCCGCGCTATCAAGCATCGTCGTGGCACAAAAGACGATGCAACCGACCTTTTGGCTCAATGCGAGCTCTCGCACAAGCTCAAGTCAAAGCCCACCCAGCTTTCGGGCGGTCAGAAACGTCGACTTCAGACAGCAGCTGCTTTGGTGGGTCAATCGACTTTCCTCATGTTCGATGAAGCCACTTCTGGTCTCGACCCTCTTTCGAGACGTGCGATCTGGAAGATTCTGCTGAACGAGCGAGGAAGGCGATCGATCCTGCTCACTAGTCATTTTTTGGATGAGGCCGATTTGTTGGGCGACCATATTGTTATCTTGGCTGCACCAGGAAACAAGTTGTGCCAAGGTACGCCGGTCGAGCTCAAGACCAGATATGGACAGGGAAGCACGATTCAGGTTTCGCCACCAGGGTGTCAGGTGTTGCCGCTGCTGAACGAGGCTTGTCCAGGGACTAGGCAGATTTCTGCTCTCGAACCTGACCAGGACTCGTTCTTGTTGCCTTCAACTAATCAAGCTGAGATCGCCAAAGCACTGGAAGCGATTGAGAAGCACAAAGCTGCACTTGGTGTAAGTAGGTACGACGTCGCCGGACCTTCACTCGAAAGTGTATTCTTGTCGCTCAACTCCGAACACGCACGTGCAAACGGCAAGCAGGAAGAAGTCGACGAGATGCAAGGCAATGTCGGCCAGCCCGGCACACATGTCGGCAGAGGTGGACAGACCAAACTCTCCGATGGCGCTGTTGCTAGTGTCTTTGAGCTTACTCTAGCTCAGCTGGGCAAGCGAATGGTGCTGTACCGTCGCATCTACCTCCCCGCCATCTTCGCTATACTCGTTGCCGTACTCGGCTCGATCGTTCCACTAGCTTTCTTCTCCAATCGCGAACCATCTTGCACTCGAGGTTTCAGAGATCGCGAGATCAGCGAAACCGCCACTTTCTGGAATAACGCTTCTCGTACCACCGAGCTTCTTTATGCTGCACCCGAGGCGAGTGCCCAGGTTGTGTTCGGTAACGGTTTCAACCTTACGGGCATCGAATTCGACCGCGTTGCACTGGACCAGTACAACGAGACCATCGCACAGAGATGGTATGCAGACCAAAGAGGGCCAGGTGGTATCGCGCTTCCGCGCACCACCAGCGCTGCCAATCAGTTCTCGTACTTGGCTGATCAGGGCATGGTGTATCCTATCGCAGCGCTTAACTTGGTCAGCAATGCCGGTTTGGCTTCTGCGAGGGGTACGAATGCTGGTGGTGCAGATGGTTCTCCGACAATCACATCCAACTATCGGCCTCTGTCGAATCTTTCCCTCGGAAACGGTCTTGGTGATGCGCTGAAATGGGCTGTTGTGTTTGGGTTGGTGCAAGCTGTTTGGCCTGCGTTTGCTGCTCTTTACCCTTCTGCGGAGCGCAATAATCGGGTTAAGGCGATGGCGTTGACTAATGGAATGCGTGCTGTTCCTCTCTGGTTGGGTCATCTTCTTGCTGAACTTCCCGTCATTCTCATCAGCACTATCCCTGTCGCCGTTGTCTACGCGTTCGCTTCGGACCAGTTCGCAGGCGAAGGGGTCTTCTGGGTCGTCCTTTTCCTCCACGGCGTATCCTCCACCTTGCAGAGCTTCGTCGTCTCGCTTTTCGCTCCGAACCAATTGGCAGCATTCGCCATTGTTGCGGCATGGAACGTTCTCGCATTCCTCATCTATTTCGCCACTACCATGCTTACCGTCACCTACTACGTCGGAAATGGCCTCGCCGGCGCACTCGATGCAGCTTACTACGTCGAAGCGATCCTAGCTCCCAGCGTTAGCATGACCCGTGCAGGTTTCGTCTCTGTAAACCTCTTCAATCTGCTCTGCAACGGTAGAGGTGGGTACAGGAGTGGTGGTATCGCCGCTATCGATCTTTTGGGTGGCCCGATTGTGTATGCTATTGTTTGGGCGCTTGTTTGTTTTGGGATCCTTGTTGCGAATGATTCTGGCTACCCTCTCCTACCTTCTTGGCTTGGTTTTCTCCGAAGAAAATCCTACAAGAAGCGCAGGGCTGAGGTGGACGAAGAAGAAAAAGTGCAACCAGTCGGACAAGGCGTAAGCGAAGAATCCCTCCGTCTGGACTCGGATTCCTGTGACGACGTGCTTCAAGCCAAACATCTCGACAAATCCTACGGCAAACTTCTCGCCGTCGACGATGTCTCTCTCGGTGTTCGTCGCGAAGAAACGGTCGCTTTACTGGGTATCAATGGAGGAGGAAAAACCACTACCCATGCTCTCATCCGGGGTGAACTCATACCCGATTTCGGATCAGTGACAATTTCTGGCATAAACGTCGCACAAAATCCAACTCTCGCACGATCGAACATCGCCTCAGTTCCGCAATTCGACGGTTTAGACCCGCTACTTAGCGTCGGCGAACACCTTTGTACGTATTCCCGCATCAAAGGCGTCCCGCACACCGAACGGGCAGATGACGTAGCCGCGGTGATGCATCTCACCAATCTCACTCAGTACTCTGATCGTCGAGCAGGCGCTCTTTCGGGTGGAAACATGCGCAAACTCTCCCTTGCAATCGCTTTACTCGGAAATCCATCCGTGCTGTTGCTAGACGAGTTGAGTTCGGGAGTCGATTCCTGGACCAAACGCGGTTTGTGGCAAACCCTCCGCCGAGCAGGTCGTGGGCGTGCGACGCTGTTGACGAGTCATAGTATGGAAGAAGCCGCTGCACTAGCCTCTCGAGTAGCAATCCAAGCTTCGTGCATCTTGGCGATCGATACGATTGGTAATTTGCGCAAGTCTCATCCTGCGTACGAGCTGCAATTGGATATTGCAGAAGAGCACAGAGGTAGTCAGGAGGCGTATGAAAGGGTGGAAAAGTTTGTAAAAGGGTTGTTTGTGCAAGCGAGGTCGAGCGATGAAGCTAGTGTAAGATTTGAGATCCCTTTGCACGGAGAAGGGGGAGAAGGGGGGGTGGCAGGATTGTTTAGGAAACTAGAAAGGGCGGAGGAGCAGAGGAAAGAAGTTGGAGTGGTGGGATATCAGATTTCACCGGTGAGTTTGGAAAGCTTGTTCTTGCACATCGTTCGGAGAGCGCAGAGTGAGGCGGCGAAGGATGAAGTTGGTGCTCATCACCGTCATCATTGAGATAAGATACGGTTTGTATTGTTAGAGATGTGGATAGGATGATAAAAGACTTGGTTTGGAACTGGATCTGTTGGAAAAGTAGACTGCCCTTTGTTGTGCAAGTCAAGCGATCGATATCAATGCCTAACATGCGCTTATTCGAACGCTTCTGTATCGTACGAGTCTGGATGTCAGTCTAGCAACCTTGTTGGAAATCCAATTCGAGAGAGCGTTGTTTCTGTGAATTGCAGCAGTCCAAGGAGTATGATGCGTGTTGACACCAGATCGACTCCCTTCCAGACACACCTTGACGCACAATCCTTCGCAACACCATGCGATGATGGTCTTGCATGATGAGGGAAGAAAAGCAACGTGAATTGAAATCACGATCAACAAGAAATGAAGCGAGCAAAAGAAGAGAGAAAGAGAGGAGCATTCGAACAACGACAAAAGCGTATCACAAAACCAACGAGGTCTGCGCTTAGACAAGACCACCATCAGCTTGCTTAGGCTTGTCACCGGAGACGGTCATCGGAGGAGGATTATCACTACCATCGATCTTTCCATCATCCTAAATTGCAACCTTACTCTTACCGCCAGCAGGAGCCTAGTCCTCCTTCACATCCTTCGAACCCTTCTTCACATCCTTCGACCCCTCCATCTTTGCGCCATTCGGATCCTCCGGACAGGCGAATTCCTTTCTGTTTTTTCCACCAGCGTCGGAACAACGCCTGCAGAATGCCTGTTTCCACCAAATCGTATCGTTGGCGCCCATATCCGTCTTTCCACCTTGCTCTATACACTGAATATTGGTAGGGGAAGTCCAACTGCACTTGGCGGACTTTCGGGCTTCGGTCATAAACGCTTGAACCATGGAACCACGAGGATTGTTATCCAGCGAATAGATTCCATCATAAGCAGCAAATTGGAGCGTGCAGATACCGAGGAAACCTTTGTCAATCGGAGCGATCGCTACCGAGGAAGTGATGGTGATCGACGATGGAGCGCCTTGGTAGTAGTCGGTAACGTCGGAGTCTCGATGAGTCGTATCAGGCCTAGGTTTGCGATCCGCCGGTTTTACAGTGCCATGGGTCCGTACGTCCTTGCTGGGGTCGAATTCTCTGTAGTGGACTGGCTCCCACACGTAGCGTTTCTCTAGGTTGGTGGCGGCGGGGGAAAGGTAAGAATCGAACGTATCAAGACGGTTGGGTTTGGAACTAGCTTCAACATCAGCATTGGCGAGGAAGAGGGAAGAGGCTACGAAAGCAAAAAGAAGAGATTTGGAAAACATTTTGAGAAAAAAAAAACTCGACTCCAGGTCGAGGTTGGTAGAAGATGTGAAGAGTTAGTGGAAAAAGGAGAGCGGTAGAGGGGGTGAGGGGGGGGGGGGGGGGGGGGGGCGTTTATATGCTTTTTTGATAGGTGATATGAGTAGAGAAGAGAGGATCCTATTTCCCCAAGGTTCCATGGAGATGGTTAAAGTCGCTATCGGATTAGGGCTTGTTCGGTGCGAAAATGGTGGTGTCCGGTGGGTTTGAGTTGGCGTTTCATTTAGTGGGAAGGGTGAGGGAAGGTGGTGGTGGGAAGTATGCACGACCCATTGGTAAAGGTACCCATTCCTATGATACAGGCACCCACAACAAGCTGTGTCTCGACCCACGGCGATGGCGATGGATGGCGTTGATTTCATTCAGCGGGATGAGAACTTTGCACATTCGGTGGGTCTCGGTTTGTGCCTGTGCTGATGTCAAATGGGGGTTCCTCCATCTCCCATTCTTCTCAACCATAACTTTGCAACAATCTCACACGGCTTTCACAACAACGTTCCAGCCCACGACGCTCAAGAACGAAAGACGTCCCTTCTTTCAAACAAAGGGTCCTCGAAACCTTTTCCCACACCAATACTGCCCTTCGTTGTCCAAGTCAAGCGATCGATACCAATGCCTAATAAGCGCTCATTCGAACGGTCTTGTATCGTACGAGTCTGAATGTCAGTCTAGCAACCTTGTTCGAAATCGAATTCGAGAGGTGGTTGTGTCTGAATTGCAGCAGTCCGAGGAGTACGATGCGTGTTGACACCAGATCGACTCCCTTCCAGACACACTTTGACGCACAATCCTTCGCAACACCATGCGATCATGGTCTTGTATGATGAGGGAACAAAAGGCAATGTGAATTGGAATCACGATCAACAGGAAATGAAGCGAGGAAGAGAGGAGATAAAGAGAGCATTCGAACAACGACAAAACCGAATCACAAAACCAACCAGGACTGCGCTTAGACAGGAGTACCCTCGCTTCCATCCTCAACCCCCTTTCCACCCTCCTTTCCACCCTTCGAACCCGAACAACCGTGTTCCTCAGCGTTCTCTCCACCAGCTTCGGAACAACGCTTGCAGAATGCCTGCTCCCACCAACGTACATCGCCGGGTTTATTTACCACCTTTTTAACGTTCTCTACACATTCAACATAGTTAGGGCCAATCAGAACGCAATGGGCGTGCTTTTGGGCTTCGGTGATAAACTTTTGAATCGGGCGAGCTTTAGTATCGACAGCCGGTTTAAAGTATTCGTCTACATGAGCAAATGGTAACGTGCAGCCACCGAATGCTATTTCCGGTTCGTTGGAGAGGATTGAATTGACGAGGATCGTGGACGCTAGAACCTGTTTGCCTTTGCCGTTGTCTCGACGAAACTTGCCGGAGGTACTAGCTTCAACACCAACATTGGCGAGGAAGAGGCAAGAGGCTACGAAAGCAAAAACAAGAGATTTGGGAAACATTGTAAAAAAAACTTGACTCCAGGTCGAGGTTGGTAGAAGATGTGAAGAGTTGGTGAAAGAAGAAGAGCGGTAGAGGTGAGGAGGGGGTGTTTATATGCTTTTTAGATAGGTGACACGAGTAGAGAAGAGGGGAGCCTATTTCACCAAGGTTCCACGGAGACAGTTTCGTCGCTACCGGATTAGGGCTTGCTCGGTGCGAAAGGAGTGGCGTCTGGTGGGTTTGAGTTGGCGTTTCATTTAGTGGGAAGGGTGAGTGAAGTTGGTGGTGGGAAGTATGCACTGAAGAAATTGAGGTCGTATGAGGTCCCGATACTGGTGATCAGGGATGGTCTAAGTACAATGTCACTACTTTTGTTACAGCAGAAACATATACTAAATTGACCTACAAGAATGTAGCAAGAGCCTAGTGCTCTCTGTGAGATATATATACATGTGTGTGGCACAAGCCAAATGTGGGACTGCTCCTACTTAATGATCTAGCCTGACAACGAGCGAGACTTGGTTGTACCCAATCCTCAACAAACTCGATTGTCCCCGATCTCTGATCTCATTGCCCTAGTGTCACTTGTTAGCGTCATCACTGGATCATTACTTTCAGCACCCCCTCTCGATCCAGTATGCTTCTTTGACACTATCAGACTGAACAGCTCCCATATGTGCACCAGTGTTGGCACTGTGAGTGGCTTTGTCAATATGTTGGCAATATTCTCGCAACTCTGGACTGGGGCAATCGTGAGTTGCTGACTAGCCACTTCATCCCACAAGAAGAAGTGAGTGATATCGATGTGCTTTGTCCTCTTGAAGTGTTGTGGGTCGCTTGCGATGGTGCGTGCTCCTGATGAATCACTGTACAGGATTGGAACATTTCGATTGAAGGCTAGCTCACCCTCTTGTGAGTAGATGGTCATAGTTCCAGCACTCATGCATATTCCGGTCATCAGCAGTGTTTGTTGTTGCAGCTTGTGTAGGAACATCGATGTCCATAGTAGCTCTCTAGCAGCTCCTGCTAGGGCTACATATTCAGCTTCCACTGAGCTATTTGCCACCATTGGTTGGAGGCATGATGACCAACTACACACTAGTCCCTCAATCATGAAGGTGTATCCTGATGTCGACCTCCTGCAACTGCACGATCCTGCCCAATCGCTATCTGCCCACCCAGTGAGTGTTCACCCACCAGTGTGTGTTCACCCACCAGTGTGTGTTCCTACAGAAAGGCTGATTCCTATCGTTCCCTTGAGGTATCATAATATGCATTTGGTGGCAGTGAGGTGTTCACCAGAGGGGTTTGCAATGAATCAGGCACAGTGGCCAACAGCAAATGCAATATCAGGTCAGCTGCCTTGGGCAATCCATAATAATGACCCTACAAGTGATGCATAGTGATGAATTTCTTCAGCACTAGCTGGATTGCCTTCCCATGGTCCAAGAGTATTAATGGCTTCAGTGGCTGGTGTCAATGCTGCCCAGGCTTTGTCCATCCCAAACTTCATTAGTATTCCTTCAATGTATCCACTCTGATTTATCAATAGTGTACAAGCCTTTCTATCATAATCCACATTCAGGCCAATGATATGTGACACATTTCCTTGGTCTGTGATATTGAAGACACTTGTGAGCTGTTGTTGTACAGATTTGACATGTGATTCTGTTGCCCCAATAACTAGGAGGTCATCAACATAGACTGCAAGTAGTATCATCACATCATCTGATCCACATGTGTATACACAAGGTTTGGCCCTGCAACACTTGAAACCAAATGCTTGGAGTTGTTCATCGAGTGCTGCATGCCACAATCTGCCAGCCTGCTTGAGCCCATAGAGAGCTTTCTTCAACCTATAGCATTTGTTCTTGGTCACTTCCATTTCGAACATCAGTGGGATCTGTACATACACATCCTTATCAATCTTACCATTCAGGAATGCCATACTGATGTTGAGTTGAATGGCATGCATTCCGTATCGGCGGGCAATGGTGAGTAAGATTCATACTGTTTGTAAATGAATGACCAGACTGAAGGTCTGGTTGTAGTCTAATCCCTGGTGCTGAGTGTCAGGGGTCTCGCGCCTGAAACCCAGGTCGGTCTGTCGAGATACTCGGTGACTATCAAACTGTGCGACAGCTATTGTCTCGAGATACTCGGTGACTATCAAGTTGTGCAGTGACAGCAGGTGGCGTTTGTTGTATATACTATCGTAGGTTTCGGCTGACCTCTGTGGACACTCCGTTCAGGGGTAGCTCGGCACGATCAATATCAATGTTATGATGACACCAAGGTCTGGTGTGAGTGTTGATGATGATGAGGTTGATGGTGTTGGTGATGAGATTGGTGATGTCGATGATAATGAGGTTGATGGTGTTGGTGATAAGGTTGGTGGCGTCAACACGAGTGTCCAGTGTGTTGACTTGATGCTTGAAGTGATCCCCGGACCGCAGTGGACTACTGCCTTCGGTTCTATCGATATCCGGACCGCTAACCTGCTATGGGGCGCCTTCGGACGTCAGGTAGTGGTGATACAACACACACACTACGATGAGGAGCAACCTTGATAGATTGCTGCTATGCTGACTGAAACTAATGTATACTTATGCTGAAGTGATAACTAGTTATGGTGAGTAGAGTGGATGGGGATCCACTCGACCTATGATGATGAGAAAGCATGGTTATATACCTCTTCACAGCATCGCCAGCGATGCTGCTCCTGCTCTCTCTCCAGAGAGTACCTTCTTCATCGAGTACTGCTCAGGGGCCTCTCCTGCTTGGCACCCCTGTTCCTCTTGAGTGGTGTCGACTCCTTCGACACTGCTCCTCCTCCTCATGACCTGTGTCGACTCCTTCGACACTGCTCCTCCTCCTCATGACCTGTGTCGACTCCTTCGACACTGCTCCTTCTCCTCATGACCTGTGTCGACTCCTTCGACACTGCTCCTCCTCCTCATGACCTGTGTCGACTCCTTCGACACTGCTCCTCCTCCTCTTGACCTGTGTCGACTTCCTGTCTCTCGAGCCCCTGAGTGGTAACCATCTGCATGCTCCTTGAGCTTGGTCCTCTTCGTGGCTGTGCCTGGTCCTCCTCGCATGTGGCTCGGTTCTCCTTTGCATGTGAATCCATAGGAGTCCATGGTCTCCATGGAGACTGCACTACGACCATGCTCTCTACTGGTATCGACTAGGTCTTCGATACCTGTGCTCCTTCCATACGAACCAGTGACCCTCCTGCTTCTTGAGCATCCAGGCCCATGACACTGAGCATATCCCTGTGCAACCAGACACGCTTTGTATTGTGTGGCATGGCATTGGGCGTCAAGCTTGAGTTTGTATACCCAGCAAATGCCAATGAGTCTGCCATTTGCTGGTATGTCCACCAGGTCGAAGACATTCATTTTATGCATGCTGTCCATCTCGCTCACCATTGCCTCTTGCCATTTCGGCCAGTCATTGTGTGCTTTAGCTTCATTGAGAGATAATGGTTCCAACAGGATACTGTCAGCACTCCGAAGGTGTTGGCTGCTAGCAATCAACACAGTACCATCCATTATTGCAGCTGCAAATGCCATGCAGTCCAGATGGTGACTGCTGACTACAGGTATGTGGGTAGCAGGGTTTGGTGTGAGTGAGCACATTGTAGCAAAAGCCATGTATTCAAGGTCAATTGACAGGTCCGGTGGTTCCATGCAGGTGATGTTTGTCAGGGGTCTCGCGCCTGAAACCCAGGTCGGTCTGTCGAGATACTCGGTGACTATCGAACTGTGCGACAGCTATTGTCTCGGTATCAGTGACTATCAAGTTGCACAGTGACAACAGGTGGTGTTCATTGTATATACTATCATAGGTTTCGGCTGACCTCTGTGGACACTCCGTTCAGGGGTAGCTCAGCATGATCAATATCAATACTTCGGTTATGATGACACCAAGGTCTGGTGTGAGTGTTGATGATGATGAGGTTGATGACGTTGGTGATAAGGTTGGTGTTGATGAGGTTGATGGTGTTGGTGATAAGGTTGGTGGCATCAATACAAGTGTCCAGTGTGTTGACTTGATGCTTGAAGTGATCCCCAGACCGCAGTGGACTACTGCCTTCAGTTCTATCTTGATCCAGACCGCTAACCTGCTATGGGCACCTTCAGATGTCAGGTAGTGGTGATACAACACACACACTATGATGAGGAGCAACCTTGATAGATTGCTGCTATGCTGACTGAAACTAATATATACTTATGCTGAAGTGATAACTAGTTATGGTGAGTAGAGTGGATGAGGATCCACTTGACCTATGATGATGAGAAAGCATGGTTATATACCTCTTCACAGCATTGCCAGCAATGCTGCTCCTGCTCTCTCTCCAGAGAGTACCTTCTTCATCGAGTACTGCTCAGGGGCCTCTCCTGCTTGGCACCCCTGTGCCTCTTGAGTGGTGTCAACTCCTTCGACACTGCTCCTCCTCCTCATGACCTGGTGTCGACTCCTTCGACACTGCTCCTCCTCCTCATGACCTGGTGTCGACTCCTTCGACACTGCTCCTCTTCCTTTGACTGGTGACAGTTCCTTTGACTCTTGTCTCTCGAGCCCCTGAGTGGTAACCATCTGAGCTTGGTCCTCTTCGTGGCTGTGCCTGCTCCTTGAGCTTGGTCCTCCTCGCATGTGGCTCGTGTCCTCCTTTGCATGTGAGTCCATAGGAGTCCATGGTCTCCATGGAGACTGCACTATGACCATGCTCTCTACTGGTATCAACTAGATCTTCGATACCTGTGCTCCTTCCATATGAACCAGTGACCCTCCTGCTTCTTGAGCATCCAGGCCCATGACACTACCCCCCTCTTAAGAGCCGAGCTCCGTCGAGGCATGCTCTGGTCTGGTTCATGCTGACTCCTCCTCCTCCTCCTCCTCCTCGACATCATTGCCAACATCCCTCTTCCTCCTTCTCTCAATCGTCATTCTTCCTCCTCCTCCTCCTCTCTCTACTCCTCCTGTGCTCTCCTCCTCTCTCTACTTTGTCTACTCGCTCGTCCCCCCTCCGACACCTCATACTCCTGGATGAGGTCGGGGCAGTTGAGATTCTCCACTGGTTCCCATGAAGCAGCTTCTTCTGAGTACCCTCTCCACAACACTTTGTACTCTGTAGTCCCATTGTGTGAACGCTTGTCAATGAGTGCTTCGACTTCGAAGTCAAGGTCCTCATCTGGAAGTGATGGTATGGTGGGCTGTTCAGCATGTTGAGGAAGAGAACTTGTTCTTGCTGGCTCGAGCATGGAGACATGGAACACATCATGCACCCTAAGGTTTGCTGGCAATGTGATTCAATAAGCTCGGCGTCCTACCCATTCCTGAACTGGGTAGGGTCCTGCAAACCAGGTATCTAACTTGGGTGTGGGTCTCCTAGTCTTCCAGTTTCGACAGTTGATATAGACCATATCACCCACCTTAAACTCGATGTCTTTGTGCTTCCTGTTATACTGGTCTACTGATCTTTGTTGTGCCTCTCTGATCTGCTCCTGGAGGTACTTGCAACACTCCTTTCCATCCATGAGGTACTCAAAGCAACCTGGATCATTGACTCCTAGTTGTTGAGGGATGTCAGGATGAGCTTTGGGGTTCCATCCATAGCATGCAAAGAATGGTGAGACACCAATGCTGTTGTGGACCGTGTTGTTGTATACAAAGGCTGCAGTGTCCAGCAGGTTGGCCCAGTCATCCTGCTCATAGTTGCAGTACATCCTTAGGTATTGCTCTATGACCTGATTGACCCTCTCTGTCTGACCATTGGTTTGAGGATGGTAAGCCATGCTAAGTGAGTGCTTCACACCCATTTGTTCTGCGAATGCCTTCCATGCTCCTGATATGAACTGCCTGCCTTGGTCCGAGACCATGTGATCTGGGTATCCGAAGAGTCTAACCATGTGTCCATATAGCAACACTGCAGTCTGTTTGGCCGTGACTGTGTTATGGGTTGGAGCTAGTATGGCAAACTTGGTTAACCTGTTGACAATGACTAAGATAGAGTCATAGGTCTTGGAGTCATACTTCTTCAATGGTGGTAGTCCTTCAATGAAGTCGAGGGATTTGGAGCCCCAGGGCCTGTCTGGTGTTGCTAGTGGCTGTAGCAAACCATATGGATGGTGACGAGGAGCTTTGTACCTAGCACATACAGGACAACTTTCTACATAGTCTGCAATCCAAGCTGTCATGTTTGGCCACCAGTAATGTCGTTGAGCTGCCTTGATGGTAGCATCTCTTCCCACGTGTCCAGCAGTGATGCCATCATGGCATTGAGTCATCACCATGAATCGCAGGTGCTCTACAGAGAGAGACTGTCCATCTACCTCTTTGGCACTCCTTGAGTGTCGGTTGTTGGTCCTCCCTGGCATGATCACTTTGGGGATAACCAACCTTCCTCCACTGTACCATAGGTCATCCTTGACCTCAAAGGGCTTCTTCCTATGTATCTCCTGTAGCTCTTGGTCTAAGGGCTGGAAGATCTTGACCAGGTCTCTGAGACCTTTTGATGCTATGGACTCCATTGAGATCATGGGGGCCACTAGGATCAAGTCATGGTATGCTGTCTCCTTGAACACTCGAGGAGGCAGTAGTTGCCTCACATTGTGATCCTGCTCTTCACCAGCTGGTTGCATGTCTGTCCTTCTGGTGAGAGCATCGGGTTCACCACCTTTGTCTCCTGGTCAATACTGCAATATGAAGTCGAAGTCTGCTAGTAGTATTGCCCATCAAGCCTGACGACCTGTGATGTGTCTCTGTGACTTGAAGTACTTGAGGGCTTCATGGTTGGTGAGGATGACCAGTTGGCTCAGTAGTCCAGCTAGCATGTGTCGCCACTGAGTAAGGCAGACGACCACAGCTAGGAGCTCCTTGTCATGGATTTCATAGTTCTTCTCAGCAGAAGACATCTTCCTAGAGTAGAAGGCCACTGGATGCCATTGTCCTTCATGCTCCTGCTTGAGTACTCCTGCTATAGCAAAGTCACTTGCATCAGTCTCCATCCTTGTTGGAAGGTGGTAGTCGAAGTGCTGAAGCACTCCTGCTGATGTGAAGGCCTGGATGAGCTTGTGGAAGGCCTGTTGGGCCTCCTCTGGTAGCTCGAACTTCTTGAACCGTTCTATAGGCTTTACCAGTGATGTCAATGGCTTGGCTATGCAAGCAAAGTGGGCTATGAACCTTCGATAGAAGTTGGCAAAACCCAGGAACCTCTGGATGTCATGGATTGACTCCAGCATTGGCCACTCTTTGACAGTGCGCACCTTTTCTGGGTCCATCTCTATACCCATTGGCTTGATGATGTATCCCAGGAACTCGACTATCTTGGTGTGGAACTCACACTTCGACAGCTTGGCAAAGAGCCTGTTGCTCCTCAAGTGAGTGAGGACCTTGGTGACATGCTTCACATGTACCTCCTCAGTGTCACTGAAGATCAGGAAGTCATCTAGGTATACTACCACATATATCCCAATGATGTCTCAGAAGATGTCATTGATGAATGACTGGAAGTGAGCCAGAGCATTGGCTAGGCCAAAGGGCATCACTAGGTACTCATAGAGTCCCAACTGAGTGCCAAAAGCTGTCTTCCATTCATCTCCTTTAGCAATCCGGATGAGGTTGTATGCTGCTCTAAGGTCTAGCTTGGTATAGATCCTTGCCTTCCTGAGTAAGAACAGCTGCTCCTCGATGAGGGGCAATGGTGCCCTGTTCTTGACAGTGATCTCGTTGAGACCTCTGTAGTCCACACAGAGTCTGAGACCTCCATCCTTCTTTGGTACGAAGAGCACTGGTGATCGTGCCGGGCTCTTCGATGGTCTTATGAACCCCTTCTCGAGGTTCTCATCCAAGTATCTCCTCAACTCGGACATCTCCTTGGGTCCCTTAAGGTATAGGGGCCCTTGAGGTGGCTTCCCTCCTTCTATCAACTCGAGGTGGAGATCATGCCCGGTATGATGGGGCAGCTTGTCTGCTTCCACCTCATCAAACACATCTTGCAGGTGTTGGTATGGCTTTGGTATGTCTGCAGCCGTCACCACCTTGTCTACTTCCACCTCCATCTCGACTCCTTTGTCTGCGCCTGTAGGTACAAAACCAAAGGCTGGGAGTGATGATGGTGGCTCCTCCAACAGCATGAACCCTATGGGTCCATCTTCCAGAGCTGCTCGTAGTATGCGCTCTGCTGAGACAAACTCGTTACCATGAAGGGTTGGTCTCCTCATGGTTAGGTCCCCTGCTCTTGCTGCCTCAGGGGGTCTCCTTGGGGGTCGGTCCTGCTCCTGAGTCTTGAACTCCAGCTGGCCCATATCCCATTGTATGGTGGGTTTGAGCCTCCGTAGCTCAGTGAACCCCAGGATGAGGTCATAGTCCACAGTGTCGGCCACTGAAGCTTCGACCACACCCAGATTGTGTGTACCAATAGATACCTGCATGCTCGCAGAACTATTGATGGAGAGTTGGTGCCTGGTGACACCATGGATCGATCTTGTTTTTATGGGTTTTGTGGGTATTTGGTACTTACTAATGAAAGAATCTGAGACTATGGACAAACCAGCACCGGTATCAGCTAGTATCCAAGCAGGATGGTCTTGAACCATTCCAGAGAGCTCCAGTACTGCTTTGCCTCCACTGGTAGAGAAACATACTTGACAATCTTGATATATACAGAGTGATGGCGAGGAGGTTTGTAGAGCAATGCATGCCATCAGTGCATCACCCCACTGACGTTTCCCTCATCGTCATCATCATCATGCTCCTCCTCCTCATGGTCGAGGTCCATGGGTTGCTGGTATGAGCTGAGGTCCATGGCCTCGGGGTCACCCGTCTCAGTACTGCCTGTGTGGCCATCTCCTGAGTCGGTGGCCTCCTCAAAGGGGTCTGCTGTGGTGACCATAACCTTTGGTCCCATGGGTCGAGAGCTAAGAGGGTCTACCCTCCTGCTGGGGCAGTCTCTGGCCCAATGGCCGATACCCTTGCATACATGACAGGTGTTGATACCTGATGGAGCAGGGCTTCCTTGCTTCGAGGGTTGAGTGGGATGATGAGGAAGGGGTCGGTTTAGGTTTTGTATAGTTGCTTGTGTAGTTGCTTGTGATGGTGATCGAGCTGGATAAGGTTGAGTGGGTTGTCGGATGGGGATCGAACTTTGATTTGGCCGAGACCCAGTTCTTAGTGGAGGTGATGTGGCATTTGGGAGTGAGTGTCTAGCCGAGGACTGCTGTAGTAGCATCCTCTGTCGATCGATCTCCTCAACCTCTCGGTACCACTCCCATCTCTTCCCAGGTGGATTCCTCTCGAACTTCTCCTGTATGCTGCAAGTGAGACTTCCTCTGAAGAGATCAATTACTAGCTCGTTGTCATCTAGGTTGACCTGTCCCTCCAAGTCTCTGAACCGCTCTACATGACATGTGGCAGCACCAGGAGCATCACTTGTGAGTCTGAGAGCCAACAGCTTGTTGTATGCCTCCATCCTAGCATTGCGTGGGTTGAACTGTTCTGACAGTCGCTCTGTGAAGTAGTGCCAATCATTGAACAACCTTCCTTCTCTAGCTCTATCAATACGGAGCTTGGAGGTCCACCACTCTCTTGCTGTCCCTTCCAGTTGAGCACCCATGTGATTGATCATCCTAGACTGCTCATACACCTGGTTGAACTTAAACCATGCTTCGGCTTCTAGAATGAAGATCTCCATGTCTCGGGGATTGAACTTTGGAAAGGGGGTGGCGATGGGCTTTGACCGGTTAAGCTCTGCCATGATGCTGGTATCCTCCTTGTGGTCCAGGGGGTAAGGGTCCGTCCTAGTCCTGCTGTAGGGGTCCAGCTTAGTCTTGACATATCTTGGCCCAGTAGGTGAAGCATACTTCTCATAGTTGATGTCCTCCTGCTCATCCAGGTTGAATGAGACTGATCGTCTTGGTCATGGAGCCGGAGTAGGAGTATGTGGGTCTCCTATCATAGACTCATCTCCTCCTCCTGCTTGGTCTTCTGAGTGAGAGAGGTCCATTGTCTCCTCCCTGCTCAGTTGAGCTCGTTGTAATCGTTCCTCTCGATGACCCTGTCTGGTAAGCTCTAGCTGTGCTTCCAATAGAGTGAGTAGTCTATCGAGCTTATTGTTGAGGTCTGGGTCCGTCATGGTGATCGTGAGGAGCTGCTTGAACGATCCACTCTAATGTCAGGGGTCTCGTGCCTGAAACCCAGGTCGGTCTGTCGAGATACTCAGTGACTATCAAACTGTGCGACAGCTATTGTCTCGGTATCGGTGACTATCAAGTTGTGCAGTGACAGCAGGTGGTGTTCGTTGTATATACTATTGTAGGTTTCGGCTGACCTCTGTGGACACTCCATTCAGGGGTAGCTCGGCACGATCCATATCAATGTTATGATGACACCAAGGTCTGGTGTGAGTGTTGATGATGATGAGGTTGATGGTATTGGTGATGAGATTGGTGATGTCGATGATAATGAGGTTGATGGTGTTGGTGATAAGGTTGGTGGCATCAACACGAGTGTCCAGTGTGTCGACTTGATGCTTGAAGTGATCCCCAGACCGCAGTGGACTACTGCCTTCGGTTCTATCTTGATCTGGACCGCTAACCTGCTATGGGCGCCTTCGGATGTCAGGTAGTGGTGATACAACACACACACTACGATGAGGAGCAACCTTTGATGGATTGCTGCTATGCTGACTGAAACTAATATATACTTATGCTGAAGTGATAACTAGTTATGGTGAGTAGAGTGGATGAGGATCCACTTGACCTATGATGATGAGAAAGCATGGTTATATACCTCTACTCAGCATCGCCAGCGATGCTGCTCCTGCTCTCTCTCTCCAGAGAGTACCTTCTTCATCGAGTACTGCTCAGGGGCCTCTCCTGCTTGGCACCCCTGTGCCTCTTGAGCTGTGTCAACTCCTTCGACACTGCTCCTCCTCCTCATGACCTGGTGTCGACTCCTTTGACACTGCTCCTCCTCCTCATGACCTGGTGTCGACTCCTTCGGCTCTTGTCTCTCGAGCCCCTGAGTGGTAACCATCTGCATGCTCCTTGAGCTTGGTCCTCTTCGTGGCTGTGCCTGCTCCTTGAGCTTGGTCCTCCTCGTGGCTGTGCTTGGCCCTCCTTTGTATGTGAGTCCATAGGAGTCCATGGTCTCCATGGAGACTGCACTACGACCATGCTCTCTACTGATCTCGACTAGATCTTCGATACCTGTGCTCCTTCCATATGAACCCATGACCCTCCTGCTTCTTGAGCATCCAGGCCCATGACAATGTTCTCGTGATTCTCGTCATGTGGCAAGCTTAGTATCATATTCCCCCTTTTGGGTTGCACCATGTCGAGTTCCACTCTGAGTTCTGTAGCAATTGCATCTATGTCTATAACGATCTCACCAGCCTCTTCAATGTCCCCCATCATTCGGTCCCATTCACAGCTGTAACTTGAGACATTTGAAGAACTTGAATTGGAATTGATGGTATGCTGATGAGAATACATTGGTTGCGATGAGTGAGTCATAACACCTGTTTCTGTTTCATCCATCACTTTGTCTTGGGGGAACCAGGTGTAGGAACATAACAGCTCATGATTGCCTGCAAGGACCCGTCTGTGGAGAGGTTGAGGATCTGCACCCGGCTGTTCGAGTTCCAAGAATCTAATGTCTTTGGCAACAACCATGCAGTTGAGCTCTGGAAGCCAGACTTTGTGGCCTTTGACCCCACATGGTTCATCTGAGAAACCCAGATATGTGCCCCGAAGAGCACATGGCCAAAGGTGTTTACTAACCACCAGATGATTTCACAACCATGTTGAGCATGTGCTTCCTTGGAGTATGACATAAGCCATGCAGCCAAACCAGCAGATGTGGCATAAGTCAGGGCAATGACCAAAGAAGAGTTCAAGGGGTGTAATGCCTCCTCATGTTGTACCCATGAGTTGATTGTGGATGTATGCTGCTTGTAGCATGGCATGTGGCCACCATCATTCATGTATACCCAAGTCATAGATGAGACTTTGGGTGATCTTCTGAATTGTCTGAATTGCCTGTTCAGCAAATGCATTGTTGGTATGTTGTTGGGTGGGTGAAGCAGAGATCTTCATGCCCATTGAAGAGCACAGCTCATGGAAGGTGGCAGACCAAAGTTCACCCTGGTCCACCTGGACCTCAGATGGTCTTTGATTCTTGGTGGCATGAATTTCAGCTAGCCACCAGGCTGCTTCCTGATATGCGGCCCCTTTGTGTGCTAGCCCTCGCACCCAAATCATACTAGAATGGGCATCATGAATGATGAGGACAAATGAATATTGGGTGGCACTGTGTAGTGGACCCATGATGTCCATTGACACCAGTTTGAGTGGCTTATCGATCTGCCGAGGGTGAGCAGTAGTCCATGCAATCACCTTGCTTCATGTGCAAACATCACACAGAGCATCAGGGTGGATCGCCAGGGTTGAGGGTATGTCATGGAGGTTTGTAGCTGCTCTCATCCATAAGATTGCATCATGACCTGCATGCCCCAGTCTTCAGTGCCAGATGCTGGCTTTGCTGCTGGCCCCAAGGGAGTGCTCTGTGCTGGTTGCCATTCTTGTCATGGCAAAAGCTAAGGAGATGGCTGGCTCAGGCATGGTATCATTCCATATGAGCATGGCAACAGTGGGGTAACCATCTCCAGTCATTGACACTTGAATGGCATGGCCATGCTTGTCTTGGACTGTGACAAGTTCATCCTCAAAGCTCACTTTCCCTTTGGCACATGTGACAGATTTGGTCCCAATAAGGTTTGTCACCAGATTGGGAACCAGTAGGCAGTCCTGGTATGTCATTCGCTCCCATTGCCACATCTTGGGACTAAAACTTAGTAGACTAACTGTACCTCCCATCTTAGATGCCGAGAGTTGCCCACTGTCAGCAGTAGTAATACTAACTTTATGTTTCATTTCTTGCCAACCTTTCCCATAGTGAGTGTGATTGACCATGACACAGGAAGTGCCAGAGTCAAACACAAATGGCACAAGCTGAGGTGGTAAATCAATTGGTGCTGGCTCGACCTCTGTAAAGAAGGGCAAGACCAGTGCTGTGTCCTATTTTTCCCGAGAATCTGCAAGCAGTAGTACTACACATGTTTTGGCATGGCTTTTGGGTGGTACTTTACTCCTGCTTTCTTTCCATCACATGTGGGCTACATCGTTGGGACAGTGGTTGGCTGCATGACCTAGTTCGCCACATGCCCAACAGTTGATGAGGGTGGCGGCCCACAGTGCAGTGAGTTCAGACTCCTCTGTTGCATGGTGACATCCTGTGGGAGTGACTTCAGCAGCAAGTTCATAACACTGACGTAGGATGTCTGATACACTTTCAGCAGTTTGCTCCCTGCCATGAATCTTCTCATGTAGGATAAACACAGAGTTGAATAAGGCATTTTGATCTGAAGGGAGTGCTCGTTTAAGGATCCTGTAGCAGTAATCCAGTTTCCAGGGGTCCTGTAAATACTCATGCAGCTCTGATATGTGAGCTTCCCACTTGACAAAAAGTCATATGTGTGGCTCCCTACTTGGTCCCAGTATAGGTCAAGGGTCACCACAGACAGCTCAAACTCTTTGACTGTAGAATGTACTTTACATTTATTCACTGCCCAATCGAAGAGATCTATGGTGATAGGTATCAGTTTGTCTCTGTGCTCAGTGAAGTATTCGATATGTAGCTTATTAGAGAAGCTCTGCATGAGGATTGAGCTGAGTATTGAATCAGCATCCTCAAATGTTGTTGATTTTCGGTCGAGAATGTTTCGTGCAAAAGGGACGATGGATAGCATTGCAAAGATATTACATTGCCATGCATGCACAGAGACCACTCTCAGGTCGAGAAGGTTGTGTTCATCCCACCACATCCTTTCATTCAAGCTTGAGAGGGTCTTGAGGTGGTGGTTTGTGATAGCACTAAGTTCAGGAGTGGGTCCTGGAGTAGTGTGATGACCAATCAAATGGCGGCGAGTGGTGCTGCTCACATCAGAGACAGAGTGTCAGCTCAGGACAGCATATCCATCTTGTTGATGTCGACTCTAATTGGGCTGGGTGTCTCCACCTTAGTATGATGTTGTTGCTCAAATGGGCCCTCGATTTTGAAGGCAAGAATGTGACCAGCATTCCATTCTTTGTTGGCGAGGAAGTTATTTACTCTGGTTCACATTGCTCTTCCTAGTTCAATTCAGCTCAGGAACAGGCCTAGGTCATGCATTCCATAATACAGTTCACTGACACACTCAATCATGATGGAGAGAGGTGAGATGACTTGTTTGTTGTCACTGGTGACAGTGAATTCTAGAAGACTCCCCTCCTTTGGAGTGTTGGGTGTGCCATAAACTTCACTGGCTATCATATGATTGAACTGATTTTGAAGCATTTTTGGTAGTTGTGGGAGGAGGTCTTCCATCAGACTAATGAAGTCATCATAGAGGGAGTAGTTTACATCAGGCATCATTGAGGGTGAGTTCAAGGATGAGGTAGGGCTTTGGTTTGGGCTCATAACCTGAAGAAATTGAGGTTGTATGAGGTCCTGATACTGGTGATCAGGGATGGTCTAAGTACAATGTTACTACTTTTGTTACAGCAGAACCATATACTAAATTGACCTACAAGAATGTAGCGAGAGCCTAGTGCTCTCTGTGAGATAAATATACATGTGTGCAGCACAAGCCAAATGTGGGACTGCTCCTACTTAATGATCTAGCCTGACAACGAGCAAGACTTGGTTGTACCCGATCCTCAACAAACTCGATTGTCTCCGATCTCCGATCTCGTCGCCCTAGCGTCACTTGTTAGCATCATCACTGGATCGTTACTTTCAGCATGCACGACCCATTGGTAAAGGTTGACAAAGGTAACGATCAAACATGACATTGGAAGGTGACGCAAGCCGATGGTGTAGGAATCGGGACAAACAGATCTGATCAGAGATTCAGGGGGACCGATCTGGGATGAGATTGGGTACAACACAGTCCCGTTGGTTGTCATGGTAGGACATTAGATAGGAGTAATCCCACCTCTGATAAGTGCGACACAGATGTATATATAGCACACTGAGAGCACTAAGCTCTCAGTGTTTCACTTCTTAGTCAATTTAGTATATGTTTCTGCCGTAACAAAGTAGCGACATCGTACTTAGACTCTCCCCGATCACCAGTATCGGGACAGAAACGACTTCAGTTTCTAACAAAGGTCCTTCCTACGATACAGGCACTCACAACAAGCTGTGTCTCGACCCACGGCGATGGCGATGGATGGCATTGATTCAGGTGCCCCTTCTTTCAAAAAACGCTCACGTTTCTTTCAAACATAGGGTCCTCGAAACCTTTTCCCACACCAACACTGCCCTTCGCTGTCCAAGTCAAGCGATCGATACCAATGCCTAATAAGCGCTCATTCGAACGGTCCTGTATCGTACGAGTCTGAATGTCAGTCCAGCAACCTTGTTCGAAATCGAATTCGAGAGAACATTGTTTCTGTGAATTGCAGCAGTCCGAGAAGTTCGATGCGTGTTGACACCAGATCGACTCCCTTCCAGACACAATCGGAGGCACAATCCTTCGCAACACCATGCGATGATGGTCTTGTATGATGAGGGAACAAAAGGCAATGTAAATTGGAATCACGATCAACAGGAAATGAAGCGAGGAAGAGAGGAGATAAAGAGAGCATTCGAACAACGACAAAACCGAATCACAAAACCAACCAGGACTGCGCTTAGACAGGAGTACCCTCGCTTCCATCCTCAACCCCCTTTCCACCCTCCTTTCCACCCTTCGAACCCGAACAACCGTGTTCCTCAGCGTTCTCTCCACCAGCTTCGGAACAATGCTTGCAGAATGCCTGCTCCCACCAACGTACATCGCCGGGTTTATTTACCACCTTTTTAACGTTCTCTACACATTCAACATAGTTAGGGCCAATCAGAACGCAATGGGCGTGCTTTTGGGCTTCGGTGATAAACTTTTGAATCGGGCGAGCTTTAGTATCGACAGCCGGTTTAAAGTATTCGTCTACATGAGCAAATGGTAACGTGCAGCCACCGAATGCTATTTCCGGTTCGTTGGAGAGGATTGAATTGACGAGGATCGTGGACGCTAGAACCTGTTTGCCTTTGCCGTTGTCTCGACGAAACTTGCCGGAGGTACTAGCTTCAACACCAACATTGGCGAGGAAGAGGCAAGAGGCTACGAAAGCAAAAACAAGAGATTTGGGAAACATTGTAAAAAAAACTTGACTCCAGGTCGAGGTTGGTAGAAGATGTGAAGAGTTGGTGAAAGAAGAAGAGCGGTAGAGGTGAGGAGGGGGTGTTTATATGCTTTTTAGATAGGTGACACGAGTAGAGAAGAGGGGAGCCTATTTCACCAAGGTTCCACAGAGACGGTTTCGCCGCTACCGGATTAGGGCTTGCTCGGTGCGAAAGAGGTGGTGTCCGGTGGTTTGAGTCGGCATTTCATTCAGTGGGAAGGTTGGTGATGGTGGTAGGAAATATGCACGACCCATTGGCAACGGTTCCCATTCCCACGATACAGGCACGCACAACAGGCTGGGTCTCGACCCACGGCGATGTCGATGATTTCATTCAGCGGAATGAGGACTTTGCACATTCCGTGGGTCTCGGTCTGTGCCTGTACTCAAGTCAAATGACCACCCCACCTCCTCCTCCTTCGCAGCCCTCTCCCAACCCTTTTGAAGAAGAGGTCAAGTATCAACTGAAACCAAACACCGCAACACTTTTCCCTGGTCATCCAGCGCAATTGAAGGAAAAAGAAGCGCTCTCAGAAACGCCGTTCAGAATAGCATCAAATCCCAACAACAAGACGGTCCTACGACAGGTGAAGAAGCATCTAGTACACTTACAAGACATGTTGAACGCACATGCGATCGTCATCGTCAGGAGTGTGGCGATCGAGGTTCACAAGAAAGGAATTCCGCTTGTCCAGGCGTTTGTCGTGAGATGCGCGCTTTAGATGTATCGTGCGTAGATTTGGAGATAGAAACGATTACATTTGCAAATCCCTCAGAAGGATGCGGGATGTGGTGTCGATTGCAGTTCGGATGCCCGGTTGGAGGGTGCAAGCTTGCCATATGTGGGAAGGCAGACCAACATGCCTTTTGGGAGGGAAGCACAAGGACGCAAGATCGTACAAGTCCGTGTCTGTACAGATACGGGAATAGAACACAAATGTGCAGCAGAACTACTAGACTGTGTGGCGTGATTGCGAGGAGCAAAGCAAGACCTTGACTAAGGCTCTGCATCCTCATCGCTTCTCTCAGCAACCAAGTGCGACTGTGCTCGGATAGGAAAAGACCTTGACACGGAGAATGATGATGAGGAGGAGGAGGGAAAGAGTCGGGTTCAACACCAATCGGACCTCTTTGAAAACACAAGACCAACGATGCAAAAAGCAAATGCGAAAAGAGAACAGGATGCGATCTACTACAAAAGCCAACCAAACATGACGACGATGATGATACAAACAATAACGAAAACAACTAACAACGATGAAGAAGAAGAAGAAGATGATGATGATGATGGGATATGCTATGCAATGCCAAGGTCTGCTGATACTGAAACTGACTTGGAAAGTGACTAGAAGGTGGAAAAGAGATGCTTCGTTTCTCGTATCGGAGCAAAAGCCTCTCTCTACCTTGCCGATTCTACCTGCTGGATGAGTTGGGAGGATGGCTGCGAACGGGATGACTGAAGATACTGTCTGCTTTGAGCTGCTTGACCACGGGTAAAATCGATCATTGCTCCCAACGTATCTCTAGCCGACAAAGGCACTCTTGCCGTCCTTTGAGCTTCCGTCTCTGTCCTCCTCTTTGCATATGCCGAAGCGAGTCCTCTTCCCCCCACCGTGGCGGTGGTATGAAGACGGCCAAGAGGCTCAGCAATCAAGGACGAAGCATCCCAACCGCTCGAACCAACTCGAACCAAAGTGGAACCAGACCAAACATGGCAAAGCTGACAAGGGCTTCCAGAGGAAAACTGGAGCATTCTAGCGGCAGTGTAGTCCAACTGTTGATCGACTATCGGCCAAAAACGCTGTCTCTCTGGAGCACCAACGATGCTTTTTTCATCGTACATATCCACTTGTCTCGACTTGGCTCTAAACGCATCTGCTTGCGGGTTGGTTAGGGACAACGAGCCAATGGGTGCGGTGCGCGTTGCGGAAAGCAATCGAAGCTCTGGTAGGATATCCACCCTTTGCTCTGTTTGGGTGCCGGTTGGCGTGGCGAGTGGCGTTCGTCTACCGCGCTGTCGCAGTTGTCTAGCTTTCCTCCAAGCAGCGATGGGAGAAGAGGGTGTGTTGCATGCCTGTCCGTTCAAGTCGGAGATCGAGGATGAAATGGCAGTGGAGCGTATGCCAAGGGCGCAAGTTATGGCGTTGCAATTGCGTTTGGCGGGTGCAAGTGAGATGATGTCTCCTTCAGAAAGGACTCGCTTAGTTGTACGGCTTGCGCGTTTACGGGTGAGGGGGGGAGAATCACGACATTCGGAAGAACTACCTGCGCTGGAGTCGGATGCTTCTTCTGTGTGGAGATTGTTAGATGCGGCAGTGTGGAAGCAGGAGGAAGAGGAGGAGGAAGAAGAAGCGACGGAAGGTGGTGGAGAAGGAGATGCAGAACCCTTACGCCGAGGGGTTGACTCTGAAGTCGACATCATCGCGAAAGGGCAATAAAGAGGGCGCGCTGGGGTGATGGATTGCTATGCCAAGGCGATCAATACTATGTTCTGGCGGCGACCGAAAAGCCGCAAGACGATGAACCAAATAGTGGGACAAGTGCTGGGAGATAATGGCCTTGTCTCGATATCGAGGTGGTGTTGAGCGCGTCGATCAAGATAAAGGCGAAGAAACAAGACGTAGCTCGAAAATGTTGTTGTTGGGAGTGATGGCGGTAGTTGGATGAGCGAGCAAGATCGAAAGGGGATGGTGGGAGGATGGAGAGAGGGAGGGAGGACAAGCACAAGCACAAGGAAGCACAAGGAGAGACAAGACACCCGGGCCATGGACCCAGGAAAGGATAGGGTTGTCCATTGCCATGGATCTCTTGCGATCGAGAGAAAGCCAAACGCTTCCGAGCCGAACCTCTCTGCGGTGGTGTAACTATAACACAGACAGTATGACGTTTTCTGGACCCTTACTGTAAAGCAAGAATGCCATGTTTTGGCTGCGCACCACGATCGATTGCAACACCTGCATACCCACCCTCCTCTCTCTCTCTCTCTCTCTCTCGCCTTCGATTGCTTGCTAGAGGTTGCGGCTGGCTGGTGGGATGACCGTCGCGATCTTCTCTTGCTTAAGCATCCAACCGATCCTTCCAACCGATCCTTCCCACCGCATCGCCCCTAGAATCAAGCTTCTCGGCTCTCGTTTCCCGGTTGATCCCGATCGCGGAGATGGACGCTCATTACACGGCAGGAAGCCAAGATGGGTAGTGGGATTACAGAATCGCAAGGACATTACTTTCATACAAATCAAGCTTTCTCTGCCATGATCGCCAGGCGGAATCTTGGTAGGTGCAGCGCAATCAACTCAACGCACCGCCGCTTGTGAATGTGAGTATGAGACGGGAAAGAAGCTGCTATGCTTTAGCTCTTTAGAGGAGGTGTCTTTTACAGCAGCCCTTGTTGTTCCAAGAATCGCCTTTCGATACTGTTCAACCCTCTTGCCTCTCCCTCGTTGGAAGCATGCGAGAAGAGACCGAAGGGGACCGTTTCAAACCGGTGATTCTTAGGCCCGATCCCAAAGGCTGATTTGACAACCCTCACCTTACCTCTTTTGCTCCTCTCCATTATCCAAGTTGCTTGTTTGAGCTTTGAACGTATACCTAATGGATCCTTCTCCCGCTTCTTTTCCTCCTCCTCTGCTTTGGTCGGTGTGCAAGAGGGAAGGAGCAGCAGCGGGGCATCATTGAGTATCCTCGCGTAGATCCTTCTTTGTCTGCGAGGTTGCGAGTAGTCTTTTGGGTTAGAATCCCATCCCTGTGTCCTTAAGGCCTTTGTTCGGTGCTGTGCGGCGTTCATTTTGCTTTTGTACTGCTGCACCGCTTTGTACGCTGTCTTGAGATAGGGTTTGCTGTCCTTCCCCTCTCTCTCCTCTCTCTCCTCTCTCTCCTCTCTCTCCTCTCTCTCCTCTCTCTTCTGTTCGTCTCTGAGGCGGAATCGGGTTGGAAGGTTAACAAACTCTTCAGCCATCGGTCTAGCCTTGTTGACCAACCGGGCGAACAAGGAATCCTCACTTGCCCTATCGCCAGTGACAATGTCGAGTGGAACCTTGAGTTTGCGCATATAACTTTTCAGATGTTTCTTCCTCGCTCCGCTAACCCTCCTCCTTCCCGATGCCTTGTTGAAGTATTGCACCAATGCGTCGTCCTCGGCTGGCAAAAACGGCGGTGGAGGCCGACTGGTGAGATGGCTAGCGTTCTTCACTGGCGCTCCATCCATGCTCGCTTCGCTGGTCAACAATGTAACCAGCAGCGGTGGGAATTCTTTCTTCCTAAGCTCTTTCGGATATTTCTCCTCGGAAGGAGAGGCTGAGGGTTGTGGGCTGAGATCGGATAAAGCATCTCGTCTGAGCTTGCCACTTCGAGCATAAGCGAGCGATAGGGAGCGGTATACGGCGTGTTCCCAGCCGAAATTGGCGTCTGCTAAGTGCCGACGTTGCGTTCGAGCTCGGAGTATGCGTTTAACTTCAGTTGAAGGTGAATAGCCGCTCGAACATGTGGGTGGGAGATGAGAAGGGCGAGTAGTGAGGAGAGGCGAGAGGTTGCATCGAGCGAGGTACCGATGTGAAGTCAAGATAACTGGATCGTTGAATGTCGATGAGAGAAGACGCGCTTGGTGGAGGATCGTTCGATAGAGGTGTCTCAGCCCTTCGTTCGACGTTGATGTGAGGATTGTGCTGCTCGAGGTTGATGTTGAGGCCAACATCTTGTGGCGCAATCCCTCTTGGAAGTGATGAGCAAACAGAGCAAAGTGGTGAGAAGCAAGCAATTGGCGTTGCACCGAGAACTTTTTAAAGAAAAGTGGATCGCACGGGTCCCGATCGCTGGCGATCGGTGAGAGTCGGAGCACGATGTCACTGCTATTTGAAGACAGAAACGTGTATACTCGATTGACTAGAGGAAGGAATGTGGCGGGAGCCTCAAGCTCCTCGCATGATATATATACAAACTGGGTGGCACTCGCCGGACGAGGGTGTCGGTTGTACCCGATCCCCAATCTCCGATCAAATCGTCCTTCACCCGATCCCTCTTGTAACTGCTTACGTCACCCCATATCATCACTCTGGATCGTTTCTTTCAGTACTTTTTGCTGCTTCCTCCGACTCCCGAATTTTGGGCTTGAGAAGAAAGAGACAGGCGCACGGCCCAACACCTCCTCCTCCTCCTCCTCCTCCTCCTCCTCCTCCTCCTCCTTGACCCAACACCACCTTGCTAACCCGCGGATCAACAGCAATCATGTCAGAAGTGACACGCACCCCTACTAACACAGAAACAGCATCCTTCTGGCAAGGCCTCTTCCACTCGATCTTTACACCAGAATACAACACAGTCGCACAAGGAATCATGAATTTTTCCTTTTACGCTCTCTTTTTGGTGCTGTTCATTCTAGTTTTCCTTACCAATTACAATCCGCATGTGATTGCGCTATTGACATTGGCGGTTGGTTTGTGGATGAGCGTTAATTGGTAAGCCTGGCTGCTCTCTGACTCTATTCGATGGCGATGGCAAGTGTAGCGCTGACAGACAGTCTTTGCGTTGATTTCGATTGGGTTGGCCTTGTAGGTTCATGAAAGAGCTTGCAAAACTTCCTGCGAGTAGTAAGCAGGTTCAACAAATGCCCGATGCTATACAGGAAGAGAAAAGCAAGAAGGATCTGTAGCACAGCAACACCAGATCTCGCTCAATCCATTCTGTATCGACAGCACATTTGCAAACTTCAAAAGATACCCTTCAACAGCATACCTTTTCTTTTTCCCGCTGCCAATTCATCGTCTCTATTGCGCCAACCTCTACTGTGCCCAAGTCGTGGAAGCTATGGTGGTGGGAATGTTACTTGTTGCTCGTCGGCGGTTCCCTCCTCACAGCACTACTAGAAGTAGTCCTATCTAACCTATCAAGCTTCGGACTACCGGCTCCTCCTCCACCTCCCTTATCCTTCAACAAACTTTGGAAGAAACTATGCAAAACTTCACTCTGTTTTGGAGCTCCTGGACTAGTCGTGCCCCCTGAACCTGACGCTGTTGCTGGACTAGTCGCTCTGCCTTCTCCCGCAGCAGCTCCCGTCATTGCTGCTACAGCCGCAGCAGCAGCAGAAGATTCTCTCTTCTCCCTACCACTCCTCTCCCTCTCTCTCTCCCTCTCTCTCTCTCTCTCCCTCTCCCTCTCTCTCTCCCTCTCCCTCTCCCCGGCTGTTGGTGTTCCTAGAGTTCCATCCTTGGCCATATATTTCTCCACACTTGGCAGACCGGCACTACCCCCCGTCATGGGACCGACTACGGCGCGTTTACTGAATTTGCATCTGGGATCGGGATCTTTTTGCAACGTTGCATAATGTTGGCCCAAAAATGCCTGTTCATCTGGAATCCGTACTTTAGCAATTGTGTCTTTGCCATTGGGAGTAGCTTCCCAGTCGGATACGATATCTTCGTAGAGCTTCATCGCCGATTGAACCTCATTCCCATCAGCAACCTCGGAAATGAGCTCTTTCTCCAATTCATCCTCCACCTCTTGAGTCCTTGCCAACTTGCGCACCCGCCGTTGCTGATCAAGGTGACAATCATTCTCCCACCCTTTAGCCATGCTTTGAGCATCAAACGGTTCCCGCAATGCTTTGATTTTACCCCAACTATCCCAGCCTGCAGGAACAAGCAATGTGTCTCTATCTGTAGTTGAGGCTCGATAGGGGAAGTTGAATACTGTTGTACCTCCTGCTGCTGCCGAAATCCCACCACCACCGGATTGCAATTGCGATTGCGATTGCGATTGCAATTGAGATTGCAATTGAGATTGCGATCGGGATTGTTGAGCGGAAGGAGTGAACAAGCGATGGAGCAAATAAGAGCGCAAAATGTCGATAGACTGCGAACGAAGCGAAGAAGTATAGAAAAGAGCTGCACCATACTTCATACAGATAGTTCGAAGCACTTGTTGGATGTAATCGAATTGTTCTTCTTTGAATCCTTTATCACGTTCGAGACGTGGGATTGCATCGGCTTTGGTGCAGACGACGACGATGGGGATTCCGAGGTTGTCGGTGAGTGTACCGTCTGATAAGGGGTTTGCTTCGGACGAGTCGAGGGATATGCTGACGGTTGTTATGGGTGTTGGGAGGGCGTCTGCGTCAATTGTGGATGGTTGTGCTGAAGAGTTGGCGGGTTGGCCTGTTGCTGCTGCTGCTGCAGTTGTTGAGCTAGTGTCGGTGGAAGGTGTCTTCTGTGCAGCAGGTTCGACATAAGCTCGGATGTAGGATTCGAGACTGTCCTTGATTTCGTCAAGCGCGACACGTGTCCTGCTCCATTCTGCATCGCGATGTTGTTGTGAGGAGAGTGCACCGTCGGCGGCATTGTCGATGAGCTCGCGTAGGATGTTGAGCCAGTTCCGAAGTTGCTCTAGGAAGGACCAGGGCTGCTCCCAGTCGAGCAAGATGACGATGATCGAGTCCTTGAGCGAGTCGATCGATGGCTTTAGTGAAAGCAGGCTGCTTTGGTCAGCTGGTGAGGTGGACGCAGCAGCAGTGGTGTTCGAGGAGGAGACGGTGGTAGAAGCAAGCGCAGCCATAGCAGCGGCTGTATCTTGTTCCGTCGAGCTCAAGTTCGGTTCAGGGAAGGCGAACGGGAGCAGTGACGTATAGGCAGGCTGAGAAGAGTGAAGGGTGTAGGCGCCTACACGAGCTACGATCTCGTCCCTGTCCTTTTCATCTCCAAAGTCAAAGTATGCGTATGCTAGACCGAGGTCATTCGCAGCAGCAGCCGCCGAGCTGGGTTTGGACCTCGAAGCGGCCTTGTCGTCCGGACGAGCAGCAAGTGCAGAGGCAGCCGAGGTGGCAGAATGGCTGTTGCATCTACCGCTGACGAGACCAGTTGGCGAAGTGGAAGCGAGGGCGGAGAGAAGCGATGATTTGCCAGACTTGGGTTCGCCTAGAAGAACGAGGTTCTTGGTCGAAATAGCTTTGGAGCTCTTGACGCTGTTCAAGATGCTTGACCAGAGATCTTGCTGTGATTGTGCGTCATTTGGTTGCGATGCATCGGCGGTACTGTTTCGTGATGCTTGGCCGGCCTGCGTTGTCAACTGTGAGGGTCTGACGGGCGAGTCGGCGTAGCTCATTGCGCAAGATGAGGCAGCTTGTGGGCTCGCTGGAGATGCGAGAGCGTCCATTCTGTCGGGGGAAGAGGAAGCAGAAGCTGGTGCTCTGCGTGTTGAGCAGTGCGCCAATCGTGTAATGGGACGATCAGACCGAGGTGATGGTGAGGGGAGATGATGGTAAGAAGGAGATGATGGTGAGAGCAACACTTGAATGTGTCCTGTGCGTGTCAAGAAAGCGTTTTTGGCGCTTTGTGAAAGTAACACTCAGCCAAAGGAATCGGGATCGGGCTGCCGATGATGAGGGTCCCCGCTGGTTCAAGATCGGGTGCAGCTAAAAACGGCACTTTCCCCGTGAATCAGCAGCCTCTCTCACTCGTTTTAGCCTGAGTTTGGAGGGCCGTCACTTTGTACTGACAACCATCATCATCATCGATCACACATCATCGATCATCATTCGAACGTCTGAAAGAGCAATAGCACACAACGCAGTCCCACTTCCCACTTCCCGCTTCCCACTTCCCACTTCCAGCATCGCAATCTCGCTTTTCACGCAGCCCACGAGACACACCATGTCGAGCCCAAGACATTCTCCTCCTCCCTCTGCTGCGGCACCTAAGCCCAAAGGTATTCTCAAAAATGCAGGCGAGCGCAGACGATCGCAAGGTGAAGCGCTCAGCCAAGAGGACGATGCAAACAGACTGCAATGGGACGAAACCAACCTGACACTGCACGAGATCGAACGAGAACACCAAGAAGCACGTATGAAGATCGATGAACCCAAGACCCCCTTTGTTCATGATACTGCACTCGGTCCTGTTGGTGACGATGATCGTAAGTCAAATCTCGTACCACATTTTCGCATAGCTAGCTGATTGACCCGATCTATGTCCTCTCTTGCGATAGTGTTTGACCTGGACGGTGCAGCGCCTCGTCGTGGCTCTGTCGCAGACCAGCTTGCAGCCAATACATCCGCCAATGCAGGTCGAGCACCCGGAGAAGATTTCGGTCTCGCCGTCGGACTCGATGCCGCCGAACTCGCCAAAGGCAACACCGCTTCCAACTTGATGTCTGTTGACAGCAACCAAGTTCGAGCCAACTCGATCCGATCCACTTCTCGTTCACCTTCGTTTTCCTTGCCTCCCAAGAGTCCTTCTTCTCGACGATCCAGTTCTAGATCGGCTACTGCTGCAGCAGCAGATGATGATAGAAGTGGAGTGAGGCAACAGGCAAACGAGATGCAAGTGGGCGATCAAGATGATGGCGAGGTTGAAGAAGAGGATGCTGATCCTGAAAGTAAGTCGCGCCAACTTCTCCATCTGATGTGTCTTAGAGGCTGGAATACTGACGAAAGGATCTTTGAATTGCGGGTGGGGTGTGGTAATGACAGCTCAAGCCAAGCATGCAGCCTTTACAGCAAAGAGGAACCAACATTATGGGAACGAGGCAGAAGTGATGAAGATCGCTGCTTCTCTAGCGTCTTATCAGGATGAAGATGACGAGGAGGAGGTTAACAACGAGATTTGACTCCCATCTCGGCCACTGTGAATGGCGCTACTGCCAGCTGAAAGCATTCATTGCTTCGACCGACATGGTCTCGACAGTGTCTTGGTCCTTGACTTGCTTCATACCCTGGTTTCGGTGACTAGTATGTATCTTGATTGTTGCAACTCCAATTGCATGTTGGGTTTTCTTTTTTTGCTCGGTGTATGCTTGCAGTCTGACTTTGCGAAGTCGATTTGAATCCCTGCAACAGCCAAACCAAGTGCATCTCTTACTGCCAATCAGGTGGCTTGCTCGAGTGAGACCATCATATCACTTTAACGAGGCCCAATGTCATGGTGGTAGCCTTCAGGGGGCGCAAATGAGGAGCTAAGTGATGCGAAATTTATCGCCCTGCAAAGCGCCTACAATTGCTGAGATTGACGATCCAATGATGACGCTGAAGGGCGACGCAACGTCGACCAGATCGGAGATCAGGCAGGGCCGATCCGATAAGGTGGCAGATTCGACTAGAGATCGAGGATAACCGATCTCGCTAGAGATCAGGGACAACGAAGTCCTGCTCATTGTCAGGCTGGATCATTAACCATAGCAACTCCCACATTTGGCATGTGCTGCTCCTATGTATATACAGCTTGCATGTAAACTGTCCCAAGATTTTACATGTCACCATACATCACTCTAATGCTCAATAGCTATAAGTTGTATTGCCACACTGTCTCATATCATCTGAAAGCCCTGCTTCTTCTCTCCAAGACTGTGTAAATGATATTGACATTGACTAAAAAAAATTGTGCTATGAAGAAGAGCTGAATTTTTTTTTTATTGTGGGACAGTTTATGGAGTGCTCCTCAAGAACACCTTAGTACTTTGTATTCCCTCCTTTGGCCTTCAGAACCACCTTGATGCAGTCTGGCATGCTCTCTATTAGTATCCTACATGTCTCTGGAGTGATTGCTTTCCATTCAGCTTCACATCTCTTGAGCAGTTCATCCCTGGACTTTGCAATTGTACTATACTGTGAAAGTCACAATTTGAGATGGTGCCAGAGGTGTTCAATTGGGTTCAAGTCCAGCGACTGCCCTGGCCATTGCATAACCTTATGTCATGGGTGTCAGGGGTCTCGCGCCTGAAACCCAGGTCGGTCTGTCGAGATACTCGGTGACTATCAAACTGTGCGACAGCTATTGTCTCAGTATCAGTAACTATCAAGTTGCGCAGTGACAGCAGGTGGCATTTGTTGTATATACTATCGTAGGTTTCGGCTGACCTCTGTGGACACTCCGTTCAGGGGTAGCTCGGCATGATCAATATCAATGCTTCGGTTATGATGACACCAAGGTCTGGTGTGAGTGTTGATGATGATGAGGTTGATGACGTTGGTGATAAGGTTGGTGAGTGTTGATGATAATGAGGTTGATGGTGTTGGTGATAAGGTTGGTGGCATCAACACGAGTGTCCAGTGTGTTGACTTTGATGCTTGAAGTGATCCCTGGACTGCAGTGGACTACTGCCTTCAGTTCTATCTATATCCAGACCACTAACCTGCTATGGGGTGCCTATGGACATCAGGTAGTGGTGATACAACACACACACTACAATGAGGAGCAACCTTGATAGATTGCTGCTATGCTGACTGTAACTAATGAGTACTTGTGTTTCTAAAGTATTGACTAGTTGTATGGTGAGTAGAGTGGATGAGGATCCACTCGACCTATGATGATGAGAAAGCATGGTTATATACCTCTTCACAGCATCGCCAGCGATGCTGCTCCTGCTCTCTCTCCAGAGAGTACCTTCTTCATCAAGTACTGCTCAGGGGCCTCTCCTGCTTGGCACCCCTGTGCCTCTTGAGTGGTGTCAACTCCTTCGACACTGCTCCTCCTCCTCATGACCTGGTGTCGACTCCTTCAACACTGCTCCTCTTCCTTTGACTGGTGACAGTTCCTTTGACTCTTGTCTCTCGAGCCCCTGAGTGGTAACCATCTGAGCTTGGTCCTCTTCGTGGCTGTGCCTGCTCCTTGAGCTTGGTCCTCCTTGTGGCTGTGCCTGGCCCTCCTCGCATGTGGCTCGTGTCCTCCTTTGCATGTGAGTCTGTAGGAGTCCATGGTCTCCATGGAGACTGCACTATGACCATGCTCTCTACTGGTATCGACTAGATCTTCGATACCTGTGCTCCTTCCATATGAACCCCCCTCCTGCTTCTTGAGCATCCAGGCCCATGACAATGGGCCTGAGTGCGCAGGAAGCAGGAAGACCCGCTAGTTCATATGAAGGGAGTGCAAGAATCAGGGGATCGGGCAGAACGTAGGATTTGTGGCAGAATTTGCTGAGATCTGCAGTAGAATCGGCTTTATGACAGATCTCAGTGAGATCAGTATGAACAAGGATGATATCATGAATCCTGATGAGATCAGTAGTAGGAGAGGTCGTATAGTAGATTCTGCAGAGATCAGTGACAAGGATGTTTGTATGATGAATTCACATGTGAAGAGGACCAAGCTCACAGGCAAGGAGGACCAAGCTCTGCCAAGATGGGGACCAAGCTCAGTAAATTGTGTCATGGGCCTGGATGCTCAAGAAGCAGGAGGGTCACTGGTTCATATGGATGGAGCACAGGTATCGAAGACCTAGTCGATACCAGTAGAGAGCATGGTCGTAGTGCAGTCTCCATGGAGACCATGGACTCCTATGGATTCACATGCAAAGGAGCACTGAGCCCATATGCGAGGAGGACCAGGCACAGCCACGAGGAGGACCAAGCTCAAAGAGCAGGCGCAGCCATGAGGAGGACCAAGCTCAGATGGTTACCACTCAGGGGCTCGAGAGACAGGAAGTCGACACAGGTCATGAGGAGGAGGAGCAGTGTCGAAGGAGTTGACACAGGTCATGAGGAGGAGGAGCAGTGTCGAAGGAGTCGACACAGGTCATGAGGAGGAGGAGCAGTGTCGAAGGAGTCGACACCACTCAAGAGGCACAGGGGTGCCAAGCAGGAGAGGCCCCTGAGCAGTACTCGATGAAGAAAGTACTCTCTGGAGAGAGAGCAGGAGCAGCATCGCTGGCGATGCTGTGAAGAGGTATATAACCATGCTTTCTCATCATCATAGGTCGAGTGGATCCCCATCCACTCTACTCACCATAACTAGTTATCACTTCAGCATAAAGTATACATTAGTTTCAGTCAGCATAGCAGCAATCTATCAAGGTTGCTCCTCATCGTAGTGTGTGTGTTGTATCACCACTACCTGACGTCCGAAGGCGCCCATAGCAGGTTAGCGGTCCGGATATAGATAGAACCGAAGGCAGTAGTCCACTGCGGTCCGGGGATCACTTCAAGCATCAAGTCAACACACTGGACACTCGTGTTGACGCCACCAACCTTATCACCAACACCATCAACCTCATTATCATTGACATCACCAATCTTATCATCAACACCATCAACCTCATTATCATCGACATCACCAATCTCATCACCAACACCATCAACCTCATCATCATCAACACCCACACCAGACCTTGGTGTCATCATAACATTGATATTGATCGTGCCGAGCTACCCCTGAACGGAGTGTCCACAGAGGTCAGCCGAAACCTACGATAGTATATACAACGAACGCACCACCTGCTGTCACTGCACAACTTGATAGTCACCGATACCGAGACAATAGCTGTCACACAGTTTAATAGTCACCGAGTATCTCGACAGACCGACCTGGGTTTCAGGCGCGAGACCCCTGACATTAGAGTGGATCGTTCAAGCAGCTCCTCACGATCACCATGATGGACCCAGACCTCAACAATAAGCTCGATAGACTACTCACTCTATTGGAAGCACAGCTAGAGCTTACCAGACAGGGTCATCGAGAGGAACGATTACAACGAGCTCAACTGAGCAGGGAGGAGACAATGGACCTCTCTCACTCGGAAGACCAAGCAGGAGGAGGAGATGAGTCTATGATAGGAGACCCACATACTCCTACTCCGGCTCCACGACCAAGACGATCAGTCTCATTCAACCTGGATGAGCAGGAGGACATCAACTACGAGAAGTATGCTTCACCTACTGGGCCAAGATATGTCAAGACTAAGCTGGACCCCTACAGCAGGACTAGGACGGATCCTTACCCCCTGGACCACGAGGAGGATACCAGCATCATGGCAGAGCTTAACCGGTCAAAGCCCATTGCCACCCCCTTTCCAAAGTTCAATCCCCGAGACATGGAGATCTTCATTCTAGAAGCCGAAGCATGGTTTAAGTTCAACCAGGTGTATGAGCAGTCTAGGATGATCAATCACATGGGTGCTCAACTGGAAGGGACAGCAAGAGAGTGGTGGACCTCCAAGCTCCGTATTGATAGAGCTAGAGAAGGAAGGTTGTTCAATGATTGGCACTACTTCACAGAGCGACTGTCAGAGCAGTTCAACCCACGCAATGCTAGGATGGAGGCATACAACAAGCTGTTGGCTCTCAGACTCACAAGTGATGCTCCTGGTGCCGCCACACGTCATGTAGAGCGGTTCAGAGACTTGGAAGGACAGGTCAACCTAGATGACAATGAGCTAGTGATTGATCTCTTCAGAGGTAGTCTCACTCGTAGCATACAGGAGAAGTTCGAGAGGAATCCACCTGGGAAGAGATGGGAGTGGTATCGAGAGGTCGAGGAGATCGATCGACAGAGGATGCTACTACAGCAGTCCTCGGCTAGACACTCACTTCCAAATGCCATGTCACCGCCACTAAGAACTGGGTCTCGGCCAAATCAAAGTTCGATCCCCATCCGACAACCCACTCAACCTTATCCAGCTCGATCACCATCACAAGCAACTACACAAGCAACTATACAAAACCTAAACCGACCCCTTCCTCATCATCCCACCCAACCCTCGAAGCAAGGAAGCCCTGCTCCATCAGGTATCAACACCTGTCATGTATGCAAGGGTATCGGCCATTGGGCCAGAGACTGCCCCAGCAGGAGGGTAAACCCTCTTAGCTCTCGACCCATGGGACCAAAGGTTATGGT